ATTTTTTCTAGTGGTTCAGTATATTATATTATACAAGTTACAACCTGTAGCTTTGGTCAAGAAAGGTGAAACAATATTTCAGTTTTTTTGTTTTTGACAAAAATGAGATTGACAATTAAACTTGTAAATTAAACACATTTTTTTTTAATTGCGTTACAACAAAAATTTCATTCGCAGGCGAAAATTGATTTAAGTTATTAAAAGTTTTATTAACATTAAAACTGTGATTTCATGTGGAAAATAACAACTTATAATGTGGTTTATTTGCCAAAAGTGAGATTTTACAGACCCTTCCTGACCCACGCCACAGAGAATTGCGGTACACCTTGTTTACATATAAGTACAAATATTCTCCCCTCATTAATGACGACAGCGATTAATTAACGACTCGCGCGTTAAGCCTTATAGGTCGTATCACGTGTATACAGCGATGCACGAGTCCTGCGGGACGGTCATGCAAGGTGGTATTATTATATTTATTGGACATATACGAATGAGCAGTTATGATATATATTTATATGTATAAACTATAAAGTCGTTAAATCGGCTTAGGTTAACAACAACCGCGACCCGACGCGGCTTATGCTGGATAAAGGTACACTATGCACACACCATCCAAATCAATAATTAACGGTATTTATAAATTTGCTACCAATTCGATAAAAAAAAAAAAAAAATGACATACAGTAAATCTGTAAGATACATATTCTCTCAACATGGTTCGCCAATTACATATATATATATATATATATACATATATTATATAATAAATAATTATAAATTGTACGCCGACGGTGTTTAATAACTTTTATAACGATATAAATCGGCCACGCTGTGTTCGTGTGTGTTTTTGACATATTTCTGGTGGCCCGTATTGTGTGGAATGTTTTTTTTTTTTTTTACTGTTTTGTGTTTGCCCTCTGTCGCGTACCTATTTGAAAGTCTCGTTTGCCTACTCAACTTAAAGCATACTGTACGTAATTTTTGAAGAAATAAAAAAAAAACGACAACCGAATACTTGGGAAAAAACTTTCATCGGGATATCGCTGTCGGTTGTCGTATTCGTGGCGTTTGCTTTAAGTGAGTTTGCGAAGAACGCTAGTAAAAAAAAAAAAAGGATAAAAACAACAAAAAGAAAATCCCGTTGCTTCAGGCAATTGTTTTCTGTCACATTCCTCGCTCTCTTGTGGCCATTTAACAGACGTTACATTATGCTAGCCAATTGTTTTTATTGCAGTTATTATTACTATTGTTATTATTTTATCTTTATATAATACAATATACATTTACTACACTTAATATTTGTTTTGTTTTATCCGTACTGGGTGTTTTTTTTTTTTTTACCCGACTACGGTAAAGTATTTTACTTGTAATAACGTTGTCCGAAATGCGTAAACGCAAAACTATAAATAAAAAAAACACCCCCTTGAAGGAAATAGTAATGACCAAAAAAAAAAAAAGGTTTACAAATTCATTTCGTGTCATTTCTCACGCTCCAAACGGAATAATCGCCTCCTATACGGCACGGCGAGTTGCTTAGGCAATTTCAATGCGTTCGTGTCGAGAGAAACGCTACCGCCTCGGTGAACACGCGATGTCATGTTTTTGATAACAATTAATATTTCTATTGTAATTTAATATTATTGCTATCGATCATCCGAGTTCGCCTTTTGTAGGTTATCGACAATATTGTTTATTTGCATAAGTCCACATGAAGGATATTTTGCGGGACTCACACCCTGGTGAATCACTGTGTGCGCTCTAATTTGGTAATAATCACAATGACTTCTAAAGTCTGTATAGCGTTGTCGACTCGTGCATTTCGTGTTGGGACCGTGTTCGGTCCGGTTTACGGAGACAATTCGGAAAACTCATAATGTGCACATGTAAAACATCCCTTTCGATGCGATTTTAATTTTAAATATACTCGACCCGGGTGTTGTATAATAACCGATCAAATTACCTCAGGTAGGTCTCATAACGTGGCGTGTTCGGCGGCAGTGTCGTCGTCTCGTGTGCGCCTCGTTCTGTGATCGAAGGTCATAATATATACAATGGAGTGCTTGATAGCTGGGCATACAACCTCCTTTAGCGCCGTGTAACGATTACCATGCGGCGCATATATAGCCTTGTCGGAGGGATAATTATATTCAGTCGGACCTTTTTTAGCATTTTAAATTAAACAATGTAGTAATTATTACTTATTATTTGCTGACGCCAAATTCCATCGATACGTAGTTAATTTACATAATTGTGTAACAGTAAAATAATGAACGGTTAAATCATATCAATAAAATGAGTGTGTTTTTAGTTTGTGCCCGATCCGTGAAATTTGACATAAACGCAAAAACGACACCGCGCTGACGTCATTGACTCAAGGTTAGCTGACAAGAGACTAGTAATAAGATAACAACATATTCAGGCTTCAATATTTTCGGCTTTAACTAAACAATTATTGATGACCTTAGATGTTTAAAATTTAGAATAAAAAGGGTTTTTACTATTCTTTTTTTTTATTAATTTTTATTAGTATCTAATTATTAACCGTTGTGTCGTAATAATAACTAACCCTCAATCCTCTTATAGTGATTACTAGGTCACATAATCTATATTTCACTACCCATCCGTAGGTCATACCGTACTAGTTTATGCCGTATGTATATACGGTAAAGCTCTTGTAATACATTATTATTTATGAATAGTTCGTCTTATTTTGCGAAACTCCCAAGTCTTAGTATACTATAAGTGCGTTGTTAAAATTATTCCACCGACAGAAGCGGTTTTATGCCATCATAGTATATTACCGTACCTATACAAATTCAATGCAACGTAATTAAGAAACACTTAGAATAATTGTTGTACTTTTTTTTTAATGACTAATTATGGTGTCTATGGAGAATACATTTAGTATGAATATTGTATACGTAAAATTAGTTTAGTCTAAGTAGTTATGAACACGAGAAGAACAACGTGAAAATTCAGGCGTTCAACGCATACCCTTATTTTGTTGTATTACAATTTTTTTTTCACCCCCAAATGTGGGTAAAATAATGCGTTTTTTTACCGTCGTTAACGGTCAAGTTTATCGAATATTATAGAGAATAGTTTCTTAGTTGTCGACCTGTTTCCGGTGTTTCGATTTTGTACAATCAAAAGTATTTTTTCCGCCGTTATCTAAACACGCCGACACGATATTATTATTAAAGTTGAGCCGACGAGGGCAAAGCGAGCGCTATACAACCACAACTACAACAACATTGAACGGCGGTAAATCATTATGGATATCCAAAACCCATTACGCGAAAGCGGATGAGGAATCCCTCGGCCAATTATAGGAATTAATCTGAACACGGTGTAGGGGTGAGGTAGTGCTCCATCAAAAAACGCATACCTTCGTCCGGTTACTCGCGTATCCATCCCGTTCCATAACTCTATCGCTGTACAATAACAATAATAATTTGTTACTTGGCGTTCAAATTAGTTTACCGGTTTGGGATTTAGGGGTTTACGGCCAGTCGTATTTGTACAACGTGATTGGAAAGAGCGAGAGAGAGAGAGAGAGAGACCGGAACAAAATTATTAGCGAACGGAAAGGACCTATGGTGTGCATTGTGTGAGTATTATAGCTGTTACCGCCAAGAGGCAGTTTCTCGTTGGATCAATTATAGTTTATCTATCTATTTAAATCAACGCTGACAATACATAAAATGAAAACACAATAAATAAAAATGCGCCTAAGAATGTAAAAAGACGATTGCCAATCACTTATTAAGCCCTTTCTGTTGATAGGGCAACAAATGGAAAAGTCGTCGACTGGATTCAATAAAATGTAAATCGGATAAAGAAATGACGTTTTATATTATTGTTTGTAAATGTATTTTTATTGGCTCGTTCTATATGGAGGATCAAAGTTACTTTTTTTTCTGTTTTACGACTAAAGTGTTTGCAACTCCGGTAATTGTATTATTTAACAATCATACGATGTTTGTTACCGTATAAATCGTGTCAAAGGGAAAAATATAGTGAAGTATTCGTTTTTTTTTCTCACAAAGACTGCACCGGAGGTAACAAAAGAAAATGAGAACGAACAAAACTATAATGTTATTGTCGATCAGGATTTCACGTTTGATTAAAATACCCTTTAGTTCTTTCCGTCGTTTTCGCGTGTACCCACGACACACTCGACTCACTATGTATAGTAAGTCGAGTGTGTCCCGGTAGTTAGCGCGGTGGTAAAAATCGCACTTAGCCCGGACTTCGGTCTGGGGGAAACACGGTGTCGGTAAACTAACAATAACGATCGTTCTCTCGCTGCGGGAACACAGGGATTGGAAGTTGTCTGAAAGCGCGTTACTTATTCCTGTTAAGGGTCGACTCTTGGACTTTGAATTTGTCCGCACGATCGCCGTACAGTATAACGACTGTGTTATTATAATTATGACTCTTCGGGCGCTCCCGTGGTGTAAACCCTTCGACTATTAGTTCAGAGTAAAGTGGTATTGCGTTCGGAGGTCACCGTGACCGTGTTCGTGTAATGACCCTCCGGCATTCGGAGACGACCGGGTAGGACAGAGACATCGTTTGTTACCGGTAGCTTGTATTATTTCGCCCTAATCGTGCCCTGTAGTAGCGACAACATGTTGCTGTTGTTACCTCAAGTTCTGGCAAAACTACGATAAAGGCGCACAAAGATGGTTACCTCGGCTACTCCGGAGTAGCCTTAGTAATTATAAATACTAAGCGTTTTAATATGTATATTATAATATTATGCAAATACGGTTCCGCTTTAACGGCCTCTATTACCATTTACCACTGCTACTTATATATCCTATTATATATATTTCTTAATCCGGTGTCGTTTCATCCGGACCACTCGTGTCTTATGATTAGCTTTAACTCGAATTAAGGTAGAAGCCGCAAATCGCGGTGTGCTCGCCGACATTAGTTATAATGACATTATGACTATTTCTCATCGAGTGAATTTAATTAAATTTTTTCAGGAAACATCAGGACGATGGTGGTGTTGGACGCGGAAACGAAATCGTCGTACTGGCTGACTGTGATGGCATTCGACCACGCCACCGTTCCACTGCACTCTCGCATCGAGGTAAACTCTAAACATATTATATACCTATATTGCTCTGAGCAGTAGTCGCTCATTTGCATTAATAGATTATTTATATGACTAATGCGTTTAAAGGAACCCTCGTTCCACAAGCAAAGGCACTGTGGACGTCCATACACCTGCAAATTGTATGCATTGCACGTCACACAAATTCTAAAACCGTCGGCTTATATACCTTGGGTGCTTAGGAATTCAATACCGTTCACGGATGGAGTCCAATTTTTTACTCTTCTCTATTTTATCCTTATTCTTCTCTTTCGTCTATATCCCAACTATTTGTGGTCGCCCACCCTTGTCCTAAACTTCCACTTAACACGATCTCACGCGTCATTCTCGCATACACCAGCTGTCCTCGTATCATTGTCAATCGCATCCAACAACAACAAATCATGACCATACTTACTGTTTCTGACTCCGCTCTCACCAAACCACCTCAGTCTATTTTATCTCATTTAGACCGAGACAGATTGGAAATGTATACATTATTCAAATTGAATACTAAAAAATTTGGGTCGCTTATTTACTGACCTATATTTTTGTATTTAAAATTCTTATTCTATCGTAATTACAAGCTAATTCGGACTAACCCACAATGAAAAGTGAACAAAAAAAAACCCCCCGAGCCACGTAATTGGGACGGATTTCCGACCAAAAAAGCGTATGTGCAAAATATATATTATTCCCATTGAAAAACCCTACCGGGCTCTTGGGTCTTAGCGAGAATCGAGGAAACAAAATATTAATGAAAAGCAGCAGGTCACTCATGCGGAATAGTCCGGGGATTCTTATCGCGGGGTCATTTTACCCCTCGTCCTCCGGACTGTCTATTTTCCATGTGCTGCGCTCCAGTTTTGACTTATAGAATTAATATACATAAATATTGTACCGTGGACCAATACTAGTTTTATTATTATTATAATTAACGAGTATATAAACGTTTTACAAATATCCCTAAATGTATGACTATGACTTCCGGTACTTACTATACAGACATAATTAGTTAATTAAATGGAGCAACTTGTCCAGCTCTGCCGTGAACGTGCTTAAGAAATCAAATCTGAATTAAATTTTAACTTGATCATTAGACCTTCGTGGCCATTTTGAATAATCCAAAGTCAGGCTGGTCTGGCCGGATCGGCGCTCACTATTCGTGTGTTAATACTTTGTCTTTCAAACGCAGGTGTACGTTGAAGTGAAAAATGTTAACGACAACGTTCCGTTGACCAATGCACCTGTATATTATCCACGGATAATGGAGAATGCAGCACCTAACACGGCGGTCATACAGCTGGAAGCCACCGACGGTGATTTGTCAGCCACCAGAATAACATACAAAATTACCTCCGGCAACCCGGGAGTGTTGTTTTTCATAGAGCCCACTACCGGTTTGTATATTATAATATATAATATTTATTAATAACTACGATAGGGCTAATTGTGCCTTTTGAGGAGAGAACATAAATGTTTGTGTAAACTTAAAACATCCAGAAAGCAAGCGCCAATAAATATAGCGTAAAGGTTTAAACCCCTGATAAAAAAAATAAAAATCATATTACGTCATCCCATTTATTACTCAATTAACTCAAGAAAAAAACCCCTTTACCGCCGACATCAATCTATATAATCCCTTCTATTCTAATTTCTATTTATAGAAAGTAAATTATAACAATTTTATCTCGATCCATTTACTCGAAAATATTACAAATAGAGTATAATATTTAGTATACTCAATATAGTTGAAAAGGTAAACTTTTCTTTTAAACAATTGAAGAAAAACTTCTAAAATTTAATCAATTTATATTATTGCGCAATAATATTGGAAATAAAACAATAGGTTAATTATTAATATCATCTTAAAAATATATTGTTATTATTTTATGCATGATAAGAATTTTACACAAATTGCTTTACTATGCACTATTATTACGTATTAGAAAAGGTCGGTGTATTATTACTTTATAATAAAATAAAAAAATAAAAACTTCTTTTAAAACTGACATATATACAGCTCAACTAAAAGTAGTTTATTGTATGGTAAAAAGGAAGTATTTCCCAGTTATGATATAGATATAATATTTATATATATAATATAATAACGGCGACGCGACGTCTGCGAGATTAAAGAGGTGGGGCAGCGTAAAGTTGGGTCCATTTCATTTTTTTATTTTCAGCTGAAAGTTTTTTAATTAAAGGCTCAGCTTGGTTTTTATGACGCTATTTGCTCACAAATTCATTTACTCTCACTTCTTCGTGGCCTTATACTTATTAGTTGACGTTTTCTTATCGGATCGCCGTCTAATGCCAAATCATAAATTATTACCACTATACATGAGTCATGACGTACAGCTGCTGTTCGGGCAAAAACATTTTTTATACATGAGCAAAAAAAAAAAACGATAAATATTTCGTCAAACTGTAAACTTACTGTAGTTGTAATAATGTCTGAAAACAAATGTCTTGTCACATATTATGTATGTTTGCGCTCGTTGCACCTCTTTAAACACGATTTTTCACTACATGAATATAGAAACGCGTTTTTACAACAGCTACCGTAACGTCGCCAAGAACAGTTCAGCGCTAGCCTATATATTATATATATAAATAATATATATTTATACATATATGATGTATAGTATGTTATTGTTTATACTATTGAAAGCCACGTGCTAACGAAAACACCAAACTTAACCGCCGTCTTTCTTTTGCCCGGTGAACATAAAATAATATTGCACGACTAACTGTTTAGTATCAACGCGTCGTTTTTATAGTTGTTGTCCAGACAAAACCGCGTGTCAGCAACAATTGAATTCAAAATTAAAACGTATCCGTTTAACGCGACAAATAATGGTCAGCTTAATAAAGCCCATTAGGTTTTCTCTGACGAACTTACAAAGGACATACGAGACGATGCACCGAAATGTGAACGTTGATTTGGATGTGTGGAGACTATGTTAGACAAAAAAAGGAAAGAGTATACACGAAGAAGTTGATAGTGGCGTTTTAAAGTATTTTTTTTAAACCAATGGTAGTATTGATTTCGGCGTTAAACCTTTTTTCGTGAACACAGTTCAGAATTATATTATTCTAGTAGTAGTTGTATAGTATTTTTTCTTCGTTTCTATGACAAACTAACCTTATTGAGGGTGGGATTCTTGGCTCGGACAACATTTGAACTTATGCCACTAACCCCGGTGTGTAATGTAGTGTTGGGGACAATTTGGCCCGGGCAAGTATGTTATTTAATCGGGGCAATATGACTGTGTCTTTACTATTTGTTAGTAGGATTATTTTCCCCAACTTTATCAGTACAACGATAATAATTATGGCACAACTATTCTAATCTAACAATAAAAAATACATATAACGCAGCATATGTTTTAAACTAAACCTGACATATAGCAAGCAAAGTAATAATAATGTCTGATGTATGTTATAATAATAATAATTTATGTATGTGCAATACGGCCGTGGCGGTACACTTGGCAGCAATGCTCTATGTGGACGTACTTTATTAGCCAGAAAAGACACACTGCCAATGGTGTACTGTTCGTGTCCAATATGTGTCCTATATATATATATACAACAGTCACTATAAATTACATGTGTATATTGTATAATGTATAATATAAATACATAATATTATGCCGTGCACACGACCGGGATAGATGATAAAGTCATCCCTCGGGCGACGAGCGTCAATAGTGCATTATGTATGTATTAACGTTAATATAATTTATTTTATGTCAGATATGTGAGATAATAATATGATCACTAAAAGGGTAGGGAATCAAATTAACGCGTTCGTACTTATCGTTCGAAGTCACGTGCGATTTTCGACACCTTTAATAAGAGATAGTTAGCTTTCCTGCGATCACTATGTATACTTAATATGGTAACCGCAGCACGTGACGTTATGCATCCAGGGGGATTATATACTATGAACCAGAGATCAATCGCAGCAGGTTTCGGCACAAATCCTCTGGTCGTTTGCTTTTACAAGGGGGGGGGGGATGGCGAGACCCTATTAAAAACTTTTACAAGTAGATTTGATCCCGGAAAATTTATAATATTAACTAGCAAATACTTTAATAATGCCAACAAAAACAACATGCGTGTATGTATGCAGGTTACATACTCTCTACCGAGTATGATTTGTGTAAGTTTTGTATCTACAAATACTAATACTATGGTTATGATATCATAAATATATTATTTATACCGAGAACGCATGTATTACTTTGGCGGGTGATAACGCGCTTTATACATATAATAATATACACAGTTATGGAAAACCAAATGTGTGTAAAAGGGGGAAAAAAGATACCGCCTCGCCGGAGTGGTACGTATGGGTTAGCAGAGCACAATAGGACTACTTTCGGCAGATCGTGACCCAAAGGTATAAACGTCGAAAACGGATAACGCCAACGTCATAACACTGGCGTTATCCGTTGTGCTATATTATAATAATTTCATCAGTCGGCATCGGTAATCGAGTTGGCGGTACTAAATATGTTTAGGTTGTGTGTGTTGTAACTTCTTAAATTACTTATGTTAACGGTTATCTGTGATTTTTTTGTCAACAGGTCTTATCACCACTACCGGACGGAAACTAGACCGTGAAACCGAAAGCGAACACATATTAGAGGTAATTGGAAAATAATTTTAAGTAATTAAACATTTTAAATGCAACTCAAAGATCGTAGTAGACGCTCGAAGAATACATTGATCAATCCTAACCTTATCGAGCAGTTCTTACCTCACGTTAGGAGTCTTGACTGCAGCACACCTTCAGTTATCGGCAGTACAGAGGTTATTCTTTTCTTTAGCAGCACCACAAACCATAGTAACCCTTGGCTTCTATCACAATTTGTCTCCGCTCATCCCGGTAATGGACTGTATGCCTCCAATTCGGTTTACACTCATTATTGAGAGATCTTTCTCTACTTTATCTCACCGTGTATCTTTTACAGTTCTTGCATACATGTCACGCTTGATTATTTCCTTCCAATCGTTAAATACATATCCCAATATCCATCTGATCGATTTCGTTGCTATTCCTAATCCAAACAATAATCTAAAATACAATGACCTTGTGTTTGCCATTGACAATTATTATTTTATCGGTTCGTTTCTTAATACGTTTGTATTTGATTTTTCCCCAAAGGTGACGGTCATCGATGATGGAATACCGGTGTTGACGTCGACTACCAGTGTGATAATATCGGTGGACGATGTCAACGACAATGCCCCCGAGCTGTTGAAGAAAGCGTATCGGTTCAAAATACCCGAAACTCAACCAGTGCAAGAACCGCTCACCCAAGAAAATGGTACGGCTGCCCTCGGGGAACTTTCCGAAGTCGACCAACAGCTGTTGGACAGCAAACCGTGGACTCTGTTCGGACCCAACGACATTGTCGGTCCTATACTTTTTAGAGTGAGTGTATATGTTTACATTGCGACAGAATAACACAAATTTCCGAATAATTGAGAACTAGCAATATACTTGAAAATAATAACCGTGTAGCTGGTAACCGTTTATTTGCACGTATTGTGCGTTTAACCGGTACAGTATACAATGTTCCGGATTTTGTTCGTGGTTTAGGAGGTCTCAATTTAGACTTTAATTTTGTGGCTGGTTATTTTCCATTACGTTTGTACAAGTCTTGAATTATAAATACTAGCCGTCTTTCCGTCTTATATATAAATAATCGTGGACAGATTACGTCCCAAAGTGGTACGCCCCCGGATGTTGACAACTTCTCATCTAGAACCCGTTGGTCGACCGTTCAAACAGTTATAACCAGAGTTGGGCGAGTTTTCGTAATATTATGTTATTTTGACGAAACGTCAAATCAATAATGCACATGACATTTGAACCGCTGCTTTGTCAATGCGTTTCATATCAACGCCCCTACTCGTAATTAGATTAATTTAAATATTATATTATATTTTATTTTTAATTTTTTCAGATCTTGGCCAAAGACCGCGACTTCGGCGACAACGCCAAACCCACTTACACGTTGAAAGCTGCTCCTGGATACGACGACATCTTTGCCGTGGAACCCGAAACCGGTTTCGTACACTCGGACCATAGTTTCAGAGGCAACCAAGATTATTCATTTTACGTGAGTTTTGCCCGTGTTTCATTAACTGCTTTGAACATAAAAAAAAAAAAAAAATGCTATAATTATGAAATAAAAACAACGTACCTGTGTTTTGCATACACATGCCGTGCTTTTCTCTGCGAGGGGATTCGGCAAAACATTAAAGCCCCGTCGTCGTACCTATCTGAACGAGCTCTTTTGTTTTCCGTCGGGATAGTCTGTAGTAACAACGATTAAAAAGGTTTTTTTTTTTTATAGCTCTCGTGTTTAAAGTTTCCTTATTTTGTTTATGCGTGTGTATATGTTTTTTTTTTTACTTCTAATTTAACGCATGGCGCGCCGTCGTTACAATATCAAAGTCAAATTTATTTTCCACTTTCAAAACTACCCATAAACTCGAGTCTTTATAACGTATTTTTTCCTCAGCCACAGCAGTTATAAAAAACAAGAACAAAATGAACTAAACCTCGCCGTTTTCATTTGATTCACGTGCGCCGAGCCACCCGTTGCACTATTCACTTACTGTTCAAATCTGTCCATACACGCTTAGAATGGCATTTCTGTTGAAAGCGCGCCAAGCATAAACGCATTTCATAACGCTCTTGTCGGTTTTATTTTATTCGCTATTCGTGATTTGGGTGTACAAAGGCTTTAGTACATTTCGCTGGCGATGAAAATAATGTAAACCCACTCCAGTTATTATGTTCAGCTGTATACGGGGCGACGTGAGGTCTCTAAGCCAACGTACAAATCAAATTGTCCTCTTCGGTTTTCATCGCCAAATCCCTCCTAAACAACACTACTCAAATTTCAAATCAAACGTGAGAGAGGGGAAGGCTAATGGTGTAGAACTTGGATTGTTAAACGCCCTCGCTATTATTATTATTACGGCAACGATCATTTCTACGTGGACGGCCGACCCGAACGCGTAAATAATATTATTTGTTAGAAATGAGGGGGGGGGGACATTAATATGACTTTGCAATTATTGCCGGACTTGGTTCAATACCGGGTACGTCAATCAAGCATGCGGTCCTGGTTAAAGAAGAATAACGTGATAAAAACTTCCGTGATCGCAAGTTAAAAAGCGAGTGTTTGTTTATAACAACTTTTTCAATTTTGAACCGAACGCGACCAGAAGTTTGGTGCTCGGGCCCGGCGACGTAAACCGTGATAATTTAAAGCACGCCCTTTGTACGCTCAAAGCCGTATTTCATTATTAGTATCATTATTTTGAAAGAAAACCTGGTATCCATTTTTATTATACAATATTAAACATTCGGAGTTGTGGGAAATGAACTAGTAAAAAACGGGCAATACAGCTCGTTGGAGGGATTAAGAGTTCGATTGAAAACCTAGTTTAAGTTTTTTTTGTTAACGTTTGATTAAAATCCTCTCAAAGAACATCATATTCGCATTACCCCCTACTTAACAAAACACAAAATTCAGAGTAACGACGCATGCACAAGGGCAACGCTGTCCCATGTGCCCCGCTTGTCCTATTCTTTAATTTTAACGCCAAAAGAAAAACTAATGTTTTGGACGATATCCGCAGGTAAGAGCGACGGACAACGGATCGCCGAACATGAGCTCCATGGCCAAAGTCAACGTCGAAGTGTTGAAAATCCCAGAAAACTCCAAATACCCTCCGGAAATACAAAACCCCAACCTCAAGGTGGACATCACAGAGATCGACACCGTCGGTTACACAGTAGCTCTGATCATGGCCGTAGACAAGGACCAAGACTATCTGTGGTACAAGATAGAAAGTGAGTGTATTCGAAGTTTGAATAAAATTGAAACTAGTGAAAATATTTTGTATGGTAGAACCCAATTGAATTAGGTTTTCCTTTTGAAAAAAAACTTCAAATAAATAATATCGCACATGTGTTTCATTTTTGACACGACAAAAAATAATGTTTTGAGAAAATTGCAAAAAACCGGCGAGTCTAAAAAAAAAGCATCAACATAACTAATCATTTTTCCAAATTGTATTTTCGCTAGGAAAAAATTATTCAATAATTGTATACTTCGTGAACTACTTTACCAAATCGCCATTGAAACAAATGTAGGTAGTTTATATTTTAACTGAATTTTCAGCTTGCCGGAATATTTTTTTATTATTAATGTAAACGAATATTGATGAAAGTGTGACAGAAAAATATCTTCTCTCTCGCCTCTACTCGCAAAATATTTGGGGTCGGCCACCTTAGCCCTCAACCTCCGCCCAAAACGATCTCTCGCGACTCCCGCGCTTACACCAGCCGCGGTCCATGCATAATTTTAATTACCTAAAACAACTTTTTTTTATCCTTTTTCTAACCTCTGCCATTCTACGTTTGTCCTTACACTACAAATGTGTTATTTCTAGTTTTATTTAAGAATTATTTAACGAATAATTTTGGAATTTTTTTAGACCGAAACAATTCCAATTTTTACACTACAATATAATATGCGTGGTCTTAAAGCCGACATTTTTTTCTTCAAATACAACTGTTGTTTCTGTGCTCACAGGCGGTGACCCCGACTCGGAATTCATGATCGAAGACGACGGCAACGTGCTGCTCGCCCGGCAGTTGAACTGGGAGTCCGTGAAAGAGTACAACTTGACCATATCCGTGACGGACGGCGTGTACACGACAACCACCCAACTGTTTGTCAGCGTCAAAGACATCAACGAGTACCGACCCAAGTTCTCGCAACACGTGTACGAGGTGAACGTGACGGAAAACGCGGAAACCGGATCGCCGGTCGTCAGGCTTTCGGCTACCGACGACGACCAGGACACGAAACTGCTGTACGGCATACACAGTGCTCAGCACGTCAACTCGATCAAATCCTTCGCCGTCGACTACCTGTCGGGCATCGTGTCCGTTCTGCAACCATTGGACCGGTAAACGCTTTTTTCTTTTCTTTTTTTTTTTATAGCAATAATTATCTACACGGGCTGGGGTTTTGACCGGAGCGAGTCTTGATGATCACGACCCGAGTTCTTTCGCTAACGTGCAACCGTGTGTTTTAGGGAAAGCATAGCCAGACACGAGCTGACCGTGGTCGTGAAAGACCAGAGCACGCCGTCCAAGAAGAACTTCGCCCGAGTCATCATCACGGTGGTCGACGTCAACGACCACGCGCCCGAGTTCAGTTCCAAGATCATACAATGCCGGGTGTTCGAGACGGCCGCCGTCGGCACCAGCGTGCTTCGACTGATGGCCACGGACAAAGATCACGGCGAGAACGCGGCCGTGTCGTACCAGATAATGTCGGGCAACGTCGGTAACGCGTTCGGCCTGGACAGCAAACTGGGCACACTGCGCGTCATGAAAGAATTGGACATGTCCGTTGCCACCGAGTACGTGCTCATGGTTAAGGCCATCGACTCGGGATCGCCTCCCCTGTACTCTACCGTGCACGTTTACATCGTGGTCGTGATGGCCGACAACGCGTCGCCCAAGTATGTATATTTTCCACCGTGTTTTTTTTTTGTACGGTTCGCCGTGTAACTCGATTCCGTTTAAGGTTCGACAACGCCGTGGAATCCGCCGAGCTGTACGAGAACGAACCGTCCGGCACCGTCGTGAAACGGTTGCAGGCCCGGAGCACGTCGTCGCTGCTCTTCGAACTCGTCCGGGGCGACACCTACGACGTGTTCGCCGTCAATCCCAGCACCGGCGTGTTGACCACCAAGAGGCCCCTAGACTACGAAACCCGCCACGTGTACAACCTCAGCGTGACCGCTACGAACATGGTAAGTCTGTCTTGGCTTTGATTCAGTGCGTAATGGTGCCCCGCTAATACCGATCGATGGTGGCCTTTTTTTTTTTTTGTTTAAAGGCCGGTTCAAAAGCCACTTGCCACGTTTCGGTGCACGTGCTCGACCGAAACGACAACCCGCCAGTGTTGCTCAACGCCAGCTACAAAGGCATGATCAGCGAAGCCGCCCCCATCGGTTCGCTGGTGCTGTTGAACGATACACTACCGTTGTTGATACGTGCCACGGACGCCGACTCCGGTTCCAACGGGCTGTTGCAATACGAAATCGTTGAGTTCGCCCAGAGCAGAATGTTCCACGTGGTTTCCAACACCGGTAAGTCCCCGGCCCGATAACATAGTGGACAATCGATTGATTACCGTTGTCCCGTAGGCGCCATAAGAACCACTACTCTGCTTGACTACGAAACGAGTCCGAACATAACGTTCCGCGTGAGAGTCATCGATCAGGGCAACCCCAGACAGACGTCCGAAGTGCTAGCCACGGTGTTGATCTCGATTTTGGACGTTAACGACTGCCCGCCGGTATTCACCAGCTACGAGTACAACGCTTCGGTATTGGTACCGACTTACGCTAACGTCGCAGTCGTTCAGCTTAAAGCCACTGACGGCGATTCCGAGAAACTGACGAAGCTCACCTACTCCATTGCCGGTGGAAACGAAGCAAACGTGTACGCCATCGATCCCGATAGAGGTCTTATAACCGTCCGGGAACCTAGTTCTGGAATTAAATCTAGCCCTCATAGCCTAATGGTGTCTGTAACCGATGGAAAATACTCCAGTCAATCGTGAGTATTCGACAACAAAGTTTCCTAGTTTTTTTTTGCTTTATTTTTTTTTTTTTTTTTTGCCTTGTCAACTGTTGCAATTATTTAAATATAATATTCCCTTTACATCAATTAAATTTTTAATATACGCACAAAATATTGTTTTAGCACCGTTAACATTATCTGGTACCGAAGTGAGGACTCCAGTCTCAAATTCCAAAAGTCAGTTTATTACGCCACTGCCACAGAAAATGACACTAAAGTCAGATTCCTGTGTGCCGTCACTGTAGTCGGAGCGCATCTCAATGAACATCTTTTGTTTTCAATATCCAATCCCAGTAAATACTTCCAAATAGGTCCCACTACTGGAATAGTAAGCACCGCCGGAATTGCTTTCGATCGTGAAGTCAGAGAAATGTATCAAATTATTGTACAGGTTTGTAAAAATAAATAAAAATATACCTATAGGTATTCACAATTTGAAATTATTATTTTTTTTTTTTGCATAGGCTAAGAGTATGGATGCCGATAATGAATTAAGAATTGCCCACGTCCCTGTCAACGTTACTATTTTAGACATTAACGACAATGCTCCTATGTTTGTGAATTTACCATATTATGCGGTCGTATCAATTGATGCCAAAAAAGATGATTTAGTTACTAAGGTAATTATTGGAATATTATGCTAATATTATTAATTATTTTGGATCTATTTAATTTACCACCCTGTGTTCATTATACGGTATTATAATCGATTGTTATTAACTTTAGGTACACGCTGTAGATTTGGACCAAGGAGAAAATGCAGCTGTGCGATACGAATTAACAAAAGGACCTGGTGAGCTTTTTAGAGTTTCGAGAAGTACGGGAGAGATATTTTTAAGACATAACCTTGAAAGTCAAAACAATGGTCGTAGCAATGAATACAAACTAACCATAGCAGCATTTGATGGAGGTAAGCTATCGAAAAATTAAAAAAAACAAAATAATTAAAAATACAACTAAATTGTGCACAACTACAATCAACAATATTATAATGCTATTTAGGATTAACATCATATTCAACTGAAGTAGAAGTCAATGTAAAAGTCATGGATCGATCAATGCCAGTGTTTGACAAACAGTTTTATTCAGTGTCTGTTCCTGAAAACATCGACCTCTACACTCCTCTACCCTTAACAATCAGAGCTGATTCACCACTCGCCAGAAAATTAATATACAGTATTGTTGGTGGAAATACTTTTGAAGAATTTGCCATCGACTTCAATACGGGTGAGTTTTACTTCGTTACCGTTTACAATTAATATTTTAACTATTCTTCAGTATTTCTTTTATTTAATGGTGAAGGATGGTGCTTTGATACTTATGTATATATGTATATAATATATATGTACATATAATAAAATATAACATTTATAATTTGTTTTTATTTTTTTTGGTGACTTAGCAGCTGATGGTTTTGGTAGTACTAGTGAGTACACATTAAAATTAGTTTTTATGTGGGTTTTTTGCATTTTAGACCAGATGCATTTGACCATTAATATTAGTATTATTATTAACATAGTATTATTATTATTTCACAGCATGTTAAAGCATCCTTTTATTAATATACATCTCTTAAACAAACTATTACCATCATTAATAATCCTTTCAATTTTTTAATGAGCTTTTTTTCTTGGAAATATTCAATTATGTAATATTTAATAACACATATTTGCTCAATTAAAATGGAATTATTTTTGTACTTCATATTTTTTGTTTTTGTATAATGGGCCAATTACACTGATTTTATTTTTAAATCAAATTAATATGATTTTTTTTACTAATTAGGTTTATTGTATGCTGTGGATAATTTGGATTTTGAACAAGTACAACATTACACACTAACTGTTCGGGCGACCGATAGTGTATCCGGTGTTTCAGCTGACGTGTTGGTCAGCATAATGGTAACAGATGTCAACGATTGTGCACCTGAATTTCTTCAGGAATCCTACAACGTCTCCGTATCAGAATCTTCATCATTTGGCTCATTCATACTCAAAGTCACGGCCACTGACAACGATACTGGTAGGTGTATTGGTCTATGCATTTTGTTCCTTTATGTATTTATATACCTACAACTTAATATATTTGTCATGTTTTAGATATAAATCGTGTGGTTAAATATTCAATAAAAAAAGACAGCGAGAACTCTACCGACTATTTTCACATAGACGATAAAGATGGATCAATTTATCTGAAACAATCTCTAGACCATGAAACACGCCCGTCCCATCATTTAGTACTAGAAGCAACCGACTCGGGTGTACCGCCTCTTAGAAGTACTGCTCATCTTTGGGTAACTGGTGAGTACAGTCATTTAATACCTTTACTTGAAGCAGCCGCGTTTATCAACTCATCACTATTTTTGAATTTTTTAGTTGTTGATGTGAATGATAATGCACCAAAGTTTGAGCAATCTTCTTATTCCTGTTGGTTGTCCAAAGACGTGGAAAGAGGTCAGTTTGTCACAATGGTGTCTGCTACTGATCCCGATATTGTTGATCATTCTCGTCTGATTTACGGTATAACAGGAGGAAATATGCAACAGATGTTTGATATTAATTCCACTTCAGGTAAATCAGTGCTTAAAAAATAAATGAATGTTATAAATGAAATGATTCGGTAAAATAAATTGTTTTACGTATCTAGGGGTTGTTATTGTTTCGAACTTAAACAAATTGGCTTCAGAAAATGAGCACGTACTTAACATATCTGTCAGTGATGGAGTGTATACAAGTTTCTCAAGGGTAAGGATTGAAATGGTATCAACAAACAAGCATTGTCCGGTATTTGAGAAGCTTCAATACGATGCACGCATTATGGAAAATCAGATAGCCGGCACAGAAATCATACGGGTTCAGGCAATTGACAATGACACTGGTCCTTACGGTGAAGTGAATTACTCAATACAGTCGAAAAAATTATCGAAAATATTTCATATCGACAATGTTACTGGTATGCATTTAGTATATCCTATAGTATATTAATAAATATCCTATTTGACGATGATCAATTTTATTACAAAAAAACTAGGTGTCATACAATCAAGAATGACATTGGACCGAGAAGAAACACCAATGTATGAAATCAGCGTGTTGGCTTGTGACCAAGGCGCTAGATGTGGATTCACATTAGTAAGAGTTCGCGTGAGTGATGAAAATGATAACTCGCCCAGATTTCAATTGCCAGAGTACAAAACTTGCATTGATAGCTTGTTACCAATTAACACAGGATTTCTCACAGTAATATTATTATCAATAAAAGTTTTTTCAAACATTATTTTTATACATTTGTATTCTATCAAAACAGGTAAAAGCCGTAGATGATGATCAAGAAACAACTGGTCAAATAACATACTCAATTAATGATATCGAACCCAGCGACATCACAAAATTAATGACTGTAAATAAATATACAGGTGCTCTTGTACTTTTGAAATCTGTTGAAAATTTAAGTAAGTTTGTTAAATATTAAATACATAACAGTGTGTTTTAATTAATTTTTTTTTTTCGTGTAGAAAACAATGTGTACCAGTTTTTCTTGCGTGCAACTGACAGTGGAACGCCTCCTAGGCAATCGGACGTTCCAGTTGAATTATTTATACGATCACCTGAAGATTTACCTCCCGTTTTCCTTCAACAAGACCAGAAATTCAACCTGACGGAAAGCGCTCCGATTGGTAATATAAATATATTATAATAATAGCAATAATGTACATAGATAATAAACATTGTTGTATTACAGGCACAATTGTCACTACTGTGAAATTAGTGTCCGAAGTGGATGCTAAATATAGGGTAACGGCGTCTGAAAATACAGCAAAATTATTTACAATTAACAATAAAGGTGAAATAACAACAACCGGTTTATTAGACCGAGAAAAGCAAGCGTTACACATACTAGGCATAGTCGCTTACACAGAGTCTTCACCACCGCTAACAGCTCTGACCGAAGTCCATGTGAAAGTGTTGGACGAGAATGATAACATACCAGAGTTTGATAATGACTATTATAATATTAAAATATCAGAAATAATAGCCGAAGGAACACCAGTTGTCAAAAGTAATTAGTTGTTTAATTTTATTTAAATTTACAGTGGAGTTTTTTTTACAATAAACAATTTTTTTTTTTTCAATTGCAGCTCGTGCAACTGACTTAGACGAAGGAAAAAACAGTGAACTTAAATACGTGATAAATTCCAATATGAATGTACCATTTGTGATAGATCAATATTCGGGATCTATTAGTGTGTCTGTGTCAAATTTGGACCGAGAAATTAAATCATCGTATACGTTTGATGTCATAGCTTTTGATAGTGGTACACCATCTCTGAATTCTACTGTGAAAATACATATTGCTTTAGTTGACTACAACGACAATCCGTCCCGTTTCTCACAAACCGTGTACTCAGCATCAGGTGCGTTTTTTTTTTTTTGTTATGTCTTGTACCACATAGTTGTTCTTATGCCACATTTTATTACAGTGGAAGAAGACTCATTACCTGGAACCGTTGTAGTACAATTGACCTTAATAGATGAAGACAACGAGCTCCCATCTACTCTCATGTATCACATCTATGATGGTGATGTACACTCCAACTTTGCGATTCGATCAACAGGTGAAGTTTATGTGACAAACATGCTAGACAGAGAAACAATAGACAAATACCAACTTACCATCTTGGTTACGGATGGGAAATATGTCTCTACTACGCAACTTCATATCACTGTTATTGATGTCAATGGTACATAATACTTAATTTAAAAAAAGAAAAAAGAATCATATCCGTTACAAGTTAACTCAGCAAAATATTTATTGAATTTTAGACGAAAAGCCGATATGCTTGCGCCATAGCTACAGACGCATGGTATCCGAGGGAGCTCCCATTGGGAGTGTAATTTTAACTGTTGATGCCAGAGACGCAGATTTAAATCCAAAATTAAGATATTATCTGACTGGTAATGGAGCGGAGCATTTTAGCTTAGATATTGATACTGGTAAGTCTTGGTTAGGTAAGGTTTTAACATTGATGGGACTTTTTAGTCAAAACAATTTTTTTTTACTACGGAAAAACCAAAAAATCAAATAACATGATTACGAACACATTTTTTGTCTATAAAATAATTTATAGTTATATCTAATAGTTTTGACTATCTAAAGTGTCTACATTGTTTGTTAAAATATGATTTTTAGTTTTAATAATTCCTGAAGACTTATGTTACCTCTTCGATCACCCTGTGTCCTGACCCCAATGTTCTTTAACAATGAGTTTATTGTTTCAGGCCTATTTAAGACTGCAGTGCAACTAGATCGAGAAAGACAATCTCGATACAATTTAGAAGCGCATGTTCAAGATCGAGAAAAAAATGACTGGGAGTGTATAAGTAAAGTTGAAATCATAATGGTAGACATTAACGACAACGCTCCTGTGTTTGTATCTAACAACAATACGGCTTCTTTATCCGAAGATGCACAAATCGGCACCATTGTAATTAAAATGCACGCTAATGATGCTGACATAGGTAAATTGAATTAATCGATTAACATGCTATTGTGTACAAAAAATATTTATTAACAGTATTTCCATTGATTTAGGCTTAAACCGAAAATTAAAGTACTCGTTGCAAGATTCAGCTGATAATCGCTTTATTATATCACCAGACAGTGGTATAGTGACTCTTGCTAAGAAATTGGACCGAGAGACATGTGAAATGTATAACATAAGCGTCAAAGCCGTCGATCATGGTACACCGCCGCTTTCAGGACTTGCCCAATTAACTGTAATTGTGTTGGATGTTAATGACAATCCTCCAATATTCGTCCAAAGGTATTTAATTGGAATTTAATAGACAAACCATAATATATATATATATATATGTTATACATTTCACAACTATATATATATATATAGTTTAAACAATATTTAACTAAATGTTTGTATGGTATTATAGAATGTACTATGCCACTGTTTCGGAAATAGCTTCCATTGACACCGAAGTTACAAGAGTCTTGGCTACATCATTAGATTCGGGTATAAACGCTCAAGTGGTTTACTCTATTGTTGGAGGCAATGAACACAACAAATTCTCGATAAATCCCGAGACCGGCATAATCAGTGTTTTCGAAATATTAGACTACGAACGCGTGCGTGATTATTTATTAACAGTCCAAGCAACCGATCTTGGTGAACCTCCTCTTAGCAATCAAGCTACTGTAAACATAACTGTATTGGACGCCAACGATAATGCACCGATATTCGGACAACTAGCTTACACCACTCAAGTCAGCGAAGACATACACATAGGTGAAGTGGCTATCAAAGTGTCTGCTACTGACTTGGACAGTGAGATTAACGGAAAAATCCGTTATGCTCTTGTCAAAGGAGATCATCATCAACAATTCTCCATAGATCCGTACACTGGCAACATAACTATTACCAAGCCTCTAGACCGTGAATTTGTAAGTACCTCCTTAATTGATTATGTTATTTTATTAAATTTTTTTTTTTCAACAATCTATTTAGGTGTCAAGTTATAATTTACAAATCCGAGCGACAGACTCTGGCACTCCAGAACTGATCAGTTTTGCGTTGGTCAACATACAAGTGACTGACGTCAATGACAATCCTCCACTATTTTCCCAACACAACTACTCAGCATTTGTTCATGTGAGTTTTCTCTAGCATTTACTGTTTTACAATGATTCTGGATCGTAATTGTATTTTATTTACCTATTAGGAAGATAAAAAACCTGGTTGGATTGTTTGCCAACTCTCTGTGACTGATGCAGACATGGAACCGAATGGTGGGCCGTTCATTTTTGACATACGCAACAATGAAGATGGCAGTGCTTTTAGCATAGACCCAGATGGTACTGTTAGAACTGCTTCACGTCTTGACCATCGTTACCAGCAAAACTATGAACTAGAAATACGTGTGTTTGATAACGGAAAACCTGTCTTGCACTCAGATACATGGCTTAACATTAAAGTAAATTATTAAAAAAGTGATCTTTGCGTATTTATATAAATCCCATAATATTTTTGTATAGGTAATTGAAGAATCGCAGTTCCCCCCAATAATAACACCTCTTGAAATTTGGGTGGGATCATGGCAAGATCGATGGGAAGGTGGAACTGTTGGGCAAATACATGCCACCGATCAAGATGAATATGATACGCTAGTCTATTATGTAATGAGTCAAAAAGAACTTTTCAAAGTAGAAGAACGTTCAGGAGAGCTCAGAGCACCTCAAGGGCTAGACGCTGGGATTTATTCTATAAATATTTCAGTTAGCGATGGCAAATTTACTTCATTTTCAACAGCCAACGTTGTTGTCGAATCACTAACTGATGATATGTTATCTGAAGCTGTGAGCATAAGGTATAAAAATAATGTGTTTATGTAACATTACCAGTTATGTACGCTGAGCTTTTAAAAGAAGATTTTATTTTTGTTTAATTTATTATGTTACGTATGAAAATATAATGATCTCAATGACGTTTTAAATATATAAGTGTATCATCTGTTCCAGATTGAAGTCTGTCACTCCACAACATTTCTTATCGACCCAAAAGAAAATGCTAATGCGTTCACTAAAATCGAATTTAGCCAAAGAAGTGAGCTTGATTAGTGTCCAAGATGCTCCTCAAGGAAATTTAGATATTTTGTTATACATCAGAGGGGTTAGTTTATTTGCAATTGTAACCATGATGATTTTCCTAATCTTAAAAACAAATTTTAGGGAATCGACTTGAGTACTATGCATAATGCTCTTCAAAAGGCTGGCTTAATCATATCAAATAATGTTCACCCATGCAACTGTACTCCGGGACACGGTGTATGCAGCCAACGTATCGCTTGGTTACCTGATCAAGTTCAAACAATAGTGACCGACATGATATCATTTGTGGCTCCTGCACATACCCACCAACCATATTGTTCATGCCGCCTAGGCTTCATTGGTAAACAGTGCGAGAGCAAAATGACAACAGAGTGTTTGTGTGAGGAAGATGAGATATGCATTCCCGACAATGAAGTAGATGGAAAGTTTAAATGCGACAGGCCTCGAGGTGTTGGTGACCGTTGTTTGGCCGGTAACGAAACAGCATGTCTGCCACCAATATTCTCGAATTTGCACATCACCTGGATACAACTCATAGCCGCTTCAGCAGCTGTAATTTTCATCATAATGGTTATTTGTATATTGATTATTTGCAGGTTTGTTCAAAACATAAAATTTATTAAGTATTAAAATAATTTTAAACTAATGTGATTTTTAATCACTTAATTTATTTTTTACACATACAGGAAGTGTCGAGTAAAACGTCGAAATGCTCGTCGGAACAAAAATATTACAATGTTGAACACCGAATTTAAGAGGAGTTCGAAAATAAGCAACTTGGAAGTTTCTCAAGTATGGAAATTATTGAACTGTAGTTTAATATAGATAAAATATATTCTGATCATTTTTCAAAATAATTTACAAGTCATTAGTTGTTGGGAAGATAATATAGCCTGTTTTTTTTTAGCGCCCTGCGTCATATACTGCTGTAGCCACCAACCCAGAAACTGCTTACATGGCCGCCGTAGCTTCAAATCAACTTAACAACTTGGATACACTGAGGAGTTATGGTTCTGCCGGCGACGAATTAGAAAATGTTCCTCTAGATTATTTGCGCAATTTAAACAGGGGCAGCAATAATAAAATAATGAATGGTAAACTACTTCATTATCATATTTTTTTATGTGTTAATGTCTAAACCAACTAATTGTGCTAAAACGTAATAATTAACCCCCTCAATAATAATCAAATAAATGTATGTAGGTATAAGTATATATATTAGTTATATACTTGTATAGTTTTATGGATCCAAATTTCTTATACCTTTTCTAACAGATCAAACCCTTTTCGAGGTGTCTAAAAAAATGGGTAGTTTTTAATGTACTTTTGTAAAATATTAAATTTTAATTCAAATACTAAATAAGCATTTTTTACATAACTAAATATAAACTAATTATTATAATAACTTACTTTTATTTTAGATCTCAAAACCATTCCAGATGTGACTAGAATTCCGCGTCGATCAGTCAGTTGTGCCGAGGAAGACACTAGAATACTTGGTGGTTACCATTGGGATTGCTCGGACTGGGTACGCCGAAGTCAAAATCCATTGCCCAACATCAGCGAAGTTCCTGGCAGCGAAGTACCTGATTCTTCAGATTTTCATAGTGACAGCAATGACGAAGTCCACCACCCAATTATTGGTAAATACTAAATAATCAATTTATAGTTTTTATCAGGGGAAACCTCTAGCTATTATGTACTATTATATTAATATTCATTTAAAGATAATTTTACTTTTTCTAAATCTACGAAAAGATTAGTGATGCAAAGCAAGCAATAGAAAACAATTATTTTCATTATATTATTTTTTTACAACAGTTAATTTATAACTTAAAATTGTATACATTACATATTTTCGATAAAACAAATTAATTTAATTAGAATTGTATTTAAAATGGTAATAATAAAAATAAAAAAAGTTTCCCTTCTGTTTAAACAGCAAAACTTGCCAAAGTCAAGTTTTAGCGAATTTAAAACAACAAATTTATTAATTTAAGTACCAGTGGCGTTTTCTCTTGGTGTGCAAGTTATATGTTAACGCCCTACATAATTTATGTATGTAATACTGTAATGTATTTTAAATCATTTTATTTACAAAATCTGTAAATTACTAGACTAAGGCTTTGAAAATAGAATTAACAATTAGCCAATAGTGGTTGCCTGTCGCCAGTGCTGATCGTTTACATCAATCACACAAAAGAAATATTCATAAGTGCTTGCATTGGATCCGGTTTTGTTCTCTTGTAGACACTGGACACTACGATCGACTGTTGGTGTTTAAATATTATTGTTATTATATTCATGCCGTGTATACTACTAAATTGTCACTAATTATATGATAAATACACTTATAATGTTTAGATTTTTTTTTTCCCCCATAAAAAGGGTTTTTCTTAATCTATAACACATAGCACCCCAAATCAGAAAACGCCACTGCCTAGTACATATCTTTGAATAATCATATGAGTGTAAATAACCATTTATTATGATATTTTAGATCCAGCTAGAGATTTAGAAACTCTCGATGAAGAATTGTACCTCTCATATCGCAGTGAAGATGACGATGTGGTAACGTATGGATTTCCTCAGAGATATCCAAGCCAAAGTGAGCTGTCAACAAATGTTTGTGAAATTGAAGATCCAGATATGCCAATGTCGACTGCTGTGTAAGCTGTTGTGTTGTTCAAACATTCCGTTTAAAAATATTATTTGCTGTTATGTAGGATGCAGCCTAACAATTGATAATTGACAATTATTATTATATGCAATTTGTATATGTTTGTTTTTGACTAGTTTTGTCCCTTTCATTATTATTATTTTTTTTTTCAAAAGACTGAAAGATTCATTTCTAAGTATTTGTATGTATATAAAAAATATACTTCTGTGATAGTTGAATAATTTTTTTTTTTTTTTATTCATACAAATTAATGCCCTTTGAAATAAATATACTAAAAATAAATAATATAGTGTTCATTTATTGTCAACTTTATCTTCATTGTATGTTGACAATTTATTTTTTATTTTTATACTTGTATTTTTCTTACATTTCCCTTTAGAAAATATGATCTCGCACCATATCCAATGCCAGTTTAATTATTTGTTTATTTAAAATTATTATTTAATATAGATAATTTAATGTGTAGTAGTTTACCTAAACTAACCTAGTCTTAAAAATTGTATAATGCATCTCTATGCTAATAATATACCCTTAGGTGCTACTCACATGTTCATCAATTTCATATTGATTTAAATAACAAAAATAATGCATTTAGTTTATCCTGAAAACTGAGATAAGGGACTTGGGCAATAAAAAATAAAAATGATTATTTATTAGCTTTGTAATTTTTATTATGAGCATTGTACCCAACTATTTATAAATATACGTATTACATATTATATAGTTGAACGCCTAATATGTAATACTCTATGTGTGTGTGTGTGTGTGTATTATTAACTGCAGTATCATTCCATTACAAGTAATAAAATATTTGAAACTTTTAATGGTGAAAATCTAATATCAAATGTTCATTTTTATATATATATATTAAAACAATTTTCTTATTGTAAATAATTATTATTAATCTTGTATAAATTGTTAATTAATTCTTATACAGTGTCGACCAAAAGTGCCTAATTGACTTTAAAGTATTAATTTTTTTCTAAAAGCGAATTACTTCTATATTATACTACTATTGATAATAACATATACAATTATGAGTTATTACTTATTGTTTTTTTCAGAGAACTACTTTTTTGTAACAGGCCTCCTATAGTTAATTTATACATATTTTTTTCCTTCTATTTATAACTCGAGCAAATTAATGACACAAATTATAAACTTAAAAATAGTAATTTTATAACAGTCTTTATGAACTTTTTTTTATCAATGATGTATATTGTATTTTATAATGTTATAAATCAGTTGATTTATTGTTAGCTTTTGAGTTATGTAATAAGAGTTTAATATGTATTTTTGTAATGACAAATGTAAATTATTTTTGTAATAAACAATTACTTCGATAACACACTTATGTTTACTCAATTATAAGTGTAATACCTTATTTCTAGAGCCTAAATTGTTTTACTGCTGCCTACCAACAAATTTTTTTAACAGGAAATTTAAAAATTTTAATATTAAATATACATAAGTAAACAGTAATTAACCTTTATTTGTATTTTTTACTTTAATGAACAAAGTCTTAGTACTAATAGTATTATATTAAAAATTAAAAAAGAAAGATACCAAAGTCAAGACAGACAAGTTATGAGTATTACAGTTTGAAAGAAATACAGATGGAAGGTGTGTAAGAGTTTCAGATCAGTTTGACTGACCGAAAATACTGTAATTGTTTTTTAATAATACTGCGTGGATGGAGAGGCGTTGAAATTAAAATAAATACCAAAATTTGTGTATATAACAGGGTTTATTAAAATTTGGGGATATCATTATTACACATTTACTTTAACCATAATTTGTGCATATTTAATGCTTGTGGAATGATTTATTTATAGAACATTAACTCATTTTATTGTTTTAATTTTAAAAAAAAAACTTTTCATTATATATTATTGACAATATAATAATAACACATTTTAATACTCTCTTTTTTTACCACAAAATAAAATTAAATAATATTTAAATAATTTTTTTAAATGTTAAATATAAATATAAAAATTAGTAAATAGGTAGTTTTATTTATAAATATTAAGTCGTAAAAATGATTCCTATGTCTAACAATTAAAGGGTAAAACAAAATATGGCACATAATAGTTTATAAAACATTTGATACTTTTTATAAAACAATTAAATTATAAATATAGTTTGACAAAACATATTATTATTTATTAATAAATTATAATGGTATTTCTGTGCTACTCAAAATATATTTTACAGTTACAACAAATACTGTCTATTTCGGTTTGACTAAAAAAAAACCAATCAATTTACATGCATAGTATCGTGTAATACTTGAATTTTTTTAGTAATAGTATTTAACTAATACACTATCTGTTTAAGAAATGCAAGCTTGTAGGGAAACATATTTTACAAAATTATAAAACAACAATAATAAATTACACTGATTTTTAATTACCATGTAATTTACAACTTTTTGCATGGTTTTATTACAAACAATAGTAGATAAAAAGATATATACAGAAAAATCATAGAAAAGTGAAAATTATATTTAGTAAAAGTATACAAAAATTAAGTGTCGTTAACAATTTGATTTTTCATAAATTCTTCTGATACATGCCCCAGTGTAGAATGATAACTCAACTCATTAGGGGATAAAACTTTAACTGTAGCAGCACCGATTTTCTGAAACTTTCTACGAAGTATCAAATTTTTCATCCATTTGTACATTTTTTTAATAACTGAGGCTAATCCAGGAACATATTTAGCAGTTGTTAATTTCAGTCTTTTTGTAGTAATATTATGAATAGGCCCAAACGCCAATGCAACAACAGTACAAGCTAAACAAATGACATTGTATGGCATACTGAAATCTGGAGTCGGCAACGTTATGATGAAATTTTCCGTTTTTAAACTTATAACATAATTAAAATCTGATGAATTTAAGTTATCGACTATCAACGATTTGTCAAATGTCAAAGGCGTCAAATGTCTAGGAATAGTTGCTATTACTGTTGAAGATCCTATGTAAAACCCATGATTAGCATCTGGTGGGTATTCTTGCCACTTTAAAAATACATAATCAAATTGTATGGATATTTCTGTTGTTGAACGTGCTGCTAATTCCAAAACCATTTTTAAATAATAAATGCGTGTTCTTCCTTTTCCAGGCTTATAAACCAACGATTTTGGTGAGAGTTGAACACCATTACACTTCACTTTTAATGTATGGTAGTAAATTGGCAAAAACCAAGGAATGTTTTCAATCACAGTTACTACAATTGGAGATGTATGCTCATTATAAATACGTGTGACTAATCCACCATACTCTTGTCCAAAACCTGTAATAAATCGATCCGTATACAATATAGGGCGAAGTTCAGAGACAACCATTTTGGGCTTTGGGACAGATGCAGCTAAATGAAAAACGTCTTTAAGATTATACACACCAATTTTTCCATTAATAAAGTAATCTGGCTCTTGTGAAATTGCGTAAGGTACACTAGAATTAGAAGATGTGTCTACATAGATTTTACTGCTATCTGCTAAAGGGCAAGTTTTGAATAAACCCGTACCAAACATCCTACGTAGTGACCAATCGTAATTATTATTAAAACTTATAAAAGTTGAATCGTACACCAATGATACAGTTTGGCGAAGTTCATATACACAGTTATCGCCATCACATATAGGCCGGAAGTGAATACCCAATGAATGATAATTAGCATTGTGTACTCGACCTGAATTTAAAAGGCTAGACAGTCCTCTGGAAGAATCACAAGGCAACAGTTTTTTCCATGGTGTTAAATTTTCAGTGCACACATTCTCTCGTGGCAAATTGGAATAGCGATAAACTCTGTCTTCGGATGATTCAAAAGTATTTGCCTTATTGATAAAGTTAAGAGACGTGCACAATAAACCTGATAGGGCATTTGTCAAACCAAACCAATTTTTGTTAACGTCTTCTGTATTGCTGTGAAAACGTGCAGATATCTCTGCGCCTGACGGAGCATCTATAGCTGGATAGCCCCATGCTTTGTGTCTCCACAAACCAGACGTCAGGTCAATGTTGAGTTCATCCACATTGAAACGATTAATGATGTCACCCAGCGAGTGAGGAAACAAATGGGTGTGGTTAAACAAGTTATCTTCGCGGACAATGGTAAATTGGAAAAACGAATACACGTAACCAGTAGGTAATGGTCTAATAAACAACTCTTCGTTATAAGATTCGGCAGTCACTGAAACTTGACGGTAAAACGTTGAAAACAACAATAGTACTATTTTAAAAATGTTGGTCATAATTAAAGTTTGACAAATTAAATAAATAATTTACAACTTGCGAGTTTAAAAAATCAACGACATAATATGGGCGGCGGCACGAGGCTGTTGTCAGTAAGCAATGATAATAGCATATAAATATTGATTTACCGTTTTTATAGATATTCTTCTTTTTTAAAAGTTCCAAAGATGTAATGCCTGACGATTACTTTTGACTTTTAGCTGTTATTGCCTTGTTTACAACACATATAACTCAATAAATTGTATTATACTTAATCGGTATAAATATAGTCAATAAACAAAGTTTATATAATTTAATTGTTTTTAAAGTATCAACTGTATTTGTGAACCAACAAATATCTTGCACTGTTGACAAACAAGAAACATTTTCACCTTAATATACAAAGAACTAACATAGATAATAGCAGAATGCAGATAATAACAATAGTAATCAAATGAATATTTAAATGATATTGAAAGATATGAAAAAGTATACAATAGAAGAAATGGTCCTCAGTAACCTATGCAATTTGGGAAAAGTGGTGTTATCCCTTTGCAACAAGCCAAAATATGAAAACACTAAACCATGTATTTTTATCATTCAAAACAGTTACTGTGATAGTGTGATTAGATTTCAGAAATGGGAATTTACATTTTGCATGGACATGTGAAAAGTTGAAAATTTTAATAATGTAATTAGTATAGTTAATAGTTGTACAGTTAATGATATATGTGACGGTCGCTTAAAGTAAAACACTTAAATACTTCATGGTATTTTGTACAAACTCAATTTAATTTAAACCACAGTTTATTTTATTTATTATTTGTCGACTGTTAAGTTAAAATAAGAAGAATCTGCACATAGCTGTTGAAAGGCCATTTCAATTGTTCTTGTCTTACTCCTGTGCCGGTAATCAATTTTTAGTATTCCGTAGAAAATACCTCATTTATTCATTATGTTAATTAAATAATTTTAAGAGAAATGTTTAAATGAAGTGTGTACACATTTTTTTATTGTTAAATATGCATGTATCTTCGAAAAATAAATCTAATAAACATAAAAAAAAAATTCTGGACATGGATATAATATACTTACTATTTAGTTCCATATTCAATTAAATTACGTGCCCACTGCCCAGTCTTATTTAATAATTTATTGTCCCTCAATAACTAATACTTGTTTGTTACTAACTGGATGATTTAGTTTGACCCTTTACTATCATTATGTTAAGTTAATATTTGCAATTTGTTTATAACTTAGAGTAAAATTACATTATAATTATTTATTTCATAAACACAATGTTATGAATTGTTGATCAATGGTTCAATCTTAAATTTAAATGTGTGTGGATTACTAAATCCAGACTACAATAGAACTCACGCTACAGTTAAATTTAATGTCTTGATATTTGGCTTTTATAAACATTTTTATTAAAAAGAAAAATCTTATCCAATTATATCTTTTTAGAAATGAACAAAGTGTTATCAGTACCGCGAATTAAATTTGACAATGAAACACTTGAAACAGATACATCATCTAGTCAATCAGAAGTGGAAAGAAAAATTTCATCATTATTTGAATTATATTGTTCTAAAGTAGAATGTGATCCAGATGTTCCAGTTTTATATAAACCTATTCACTTGTCATATATAAGAAGCCATTTGTTCAAGCTGCCTCAAAATTATGAGTGTTTAGATTCGAGTCGTCCATGGTTATGCTATTGGTTGTGCCAGTCCCTAGCACTCCTAAACTATGAACTCACATCGGAAGAAAAGTCCAATGTCGTTTCTTTTCTATCAAAGTATGTATTTATTCTTAACTATTGAAAATATCAGCTTATTTATTTCTTATTTTACATTTTAGATGTCAGCACGAAACAGGCGGTTTTAGTGGAGGTCCGAACCAAATGCCACATTTAGCACCAACATATGCTGCTGTCAGTGCTCTGTGTTTGATTGGTACAGAAGAAGCCTTCAATACAATTAATAGAAAAAAATTACATTCATTTTTGATGTCTTTACGAATGCCAAATGGCTCGTTTTGCATGACCAAGTATGGTGAATCTGACATTCGTGCTGTATACTGTGCAGTAACTGTGGCTCAATTAACTAATGTATACACCGCCGATATGTTTGAAAGTACCAATCGATGGGTAATTCGATGCCAAACATATGAAGGTGGATTTGGGGGTGTACCTGGAGTGGAAGCTCATGGAGGATATACATTTTGTGGATTTTCATCTCTAATTTTACTTAAATCTATTCACATGTGTGATACAAAAGCCCTTTTGCGTTGGGTAGTCAATAAACAAATGTCATTTGAAGGCGGATTTCAAGGACGAACAAATAAACTCGTAGATGGATGTTATTCATTTTGGCAGGCTGGTATTTTTCCAGTATTGACAAACCTTTTGGAAAGTGAAGGGAATTGTACTTTGTGGCCATTGTACGATTACAAAGCTCTCCAAGAATATGTGTTAATATGTTGTCAAAATAGATACAGTGGCGGTCTTATTGATAAACCCGAAAAACCTCCCGACGTGTACCATACGTGTTACGTGTTAAGCGGCCTAGCGTTAGCTCAACATGCTGTAAAAAACGAAACTAGTACTGTTGGGAGCCATAAAAACATATTGAACAGTAACAATCCTATTTATAATATGGAGCTCACGTGTTTAAAAAAAGCATTAGATTATTTTAAATCCACAACACCAATAAACTAATATTGATAAGCTTTGTATTGACCGCTAAGAGTAGAGTGAGTAACCTAAGCTGTAAAGTTCAAACAAATACTACTTGAAATTATTTAGCATACAAGCAAAACTTTATAATCAACACAATAGTAATTATAATAATTATATTTTATTCTCAAAAAAATGTAATTAACAACGGTAAAACTAAAATCTATAAATAAATTCCTAACAAAATAAGTAGATTTAATAGTATTCTGTGGCCCTCGAATGAACGACCATGCGCTGAAACTAAAATGCATCACTCCTGTGAACACCTGTGCAAACAGTAGTAATGCATTTTAGTTTCTGCCCATGGTCATTCTCTCGTGGGCCGCAGTATAGAATATACATTTTTATTGTATTGTCTTTTTTAAATAATTTTAATTTTTAAAAAGAAATCATGGACATTTTGGGAAAATGTAATACAATTTTTGAGTTAATTAATATTATATTAATAAATATTTTTTAAAGTAATTTTATTAAGAAAGTGGAAAAATATGTTTCAATAAAATTGTTATAATATTTGTAAATTTTTTGATACGTGGTATTCAGTTATTATAACTATTTCCATTTCCTCGTATGAAGAATACGGAACTTGCCTATTTATATAGAAATTTAGAGTGTAGATTTAAGAAGATGGCCGCCGCGTTTTTGTGTGATGAGTATCTTGATACTTCATTGATGTCTCTTGATTGAGAATTCCCGGAGTGCCGATGACTTGCGAGTAGATGGTCCTTACTGACGTTGATGGTGCTCCGTCGTTGCGTGATGTTTGTGTCATGTTAAACGAGTTCGGTTTTTTTTTTTTTTAATTTTTTTTTACTAACAATATGTATATAAAATATGTTATATACTAGCAACAAACAAAAAAAAAATTATTAAATCTTCGTCGCCAATTTGTTGTATACTTAATTGTTGAAGAATACAACTCAACTTTAGGATTAATAAAAGATGTTAATTATGAAACGCTATAACAGCAATGACAAGTAATTATTTTCAATATTAGCGTACTCCGTGAACAGTCCCCACTGCGTACACATTAATTAGTGTTATCTGAATAATCATATTATAAATATAACGAATTATCAAAAATAGTATTCAATACCAAATAATGTATTTAAATGTCGGTATTAAAATACCTTGCGAGACTGATATGTTATTTAAAATCTATTAGTAAGTTTTTAAAATAATTATTATTCACTTAATATTTTACAGAGAGAGAGAGAAACAAATTTTATTTAATTAAAATACAAAGCGAGCTGCCCACTATGCGGGTTGCCAAATGACACAGCATACTACTCAATAAACAAATACATAGAGCAATTTCAATTTCACAGTACAAATAAACACTATTAAATTTATAGTACAAATACATATCTAAATGACAAATTTAACAATCAATAAAATACTTATAAAAAGTTCATACACAGTAAAACTAACTTGTTGCCATGAATACAAGTGTTAATTTATCATGTATAACGTGTCTTTCAAAATAGATAAGCATATTTGGATAAGGTCATCTGTAGCGAGGTTATATGATCGGAAGAATGATTTTAAGAATCCTGAGGCTGTACCCCGAGCTCCAAACCAAAGTCCAAATACTTCTCAACTTGTGGGAAATATATTTTTATTAAATAAACCAAACTAAACAATATGAATTTGTTCAGTAATAGTTATTCAAATGATTAAAAAATATGATTAAATTTTTGGTCAATATAAATTTGCAAATTTACAATTATCTCTTGATTTCAAAATATATTTGATCCATATTTGATAGAAGATTGCATAGCCCATATTTTGTTAATCTAAGTACTTATTCATTTAATATGGCCATTTACTTAGAGATAATCAAATCTCTACAATGAAGTTAAAGTTTTAATACCACACAAAAGTATCCTGAATATTTTAGTACATAACAGCTTGGGGATTTTATTTATCTTTTTAAGACACGTCTAAACAAATTTGTGTTGTTATTTATTGTTTCGTTTTTTCTTATAATTACTACATCTTTAAAAATGTTTATTAAAGTCTCTTCGTGATTCTATTGTTTTAGTTAAATGTCTTAAGGAAGTAGAACCAAAAAAAAACATGCTTTCCTTCAATCACACTTCATATAATTACATCAAAATACAATAAAACAAAGGAAGTAAAGTATCGGTTTTTTATCCGCGACCGCAACCGCTATACATATACTTACACACAGAGCGAATCAAACGCGGTTTATTAATGCGGTTTTTATTATTTATAAAATATTTCGCGCCAATTTAGTGTTCGCGCTAATTTGTAACAGTTTAATGTGGGATCATACGGTAAAGAGAGTGACTGTAATTTTTTTTTAAATGTCAGCGTTTGGTAAAAAGTTGTATGCAGACAAGGTAAATTTACCTCCAGAACAATGTCTACCTAGGGATAATCAAGGCGTACCACAACCATTTGTACTCGTGACTGATGAGGCTTTTGCACTTAATAAAAATGGTTGCAGCCAATAACTGCACACTTATGATTTCAACCCTAATAAGGTCGGTAGACAAAAACCGCACACTTATATTGGGTAAAAAGAGTTACAACTGAAAACTTTGGAATATGCTCTAAATTTTGTTTTAAATTGCGATATTTCAAACTGCCAAAACGAAAAAATGACCTATGTGTAAATAGGTAAAATATTGAAATTTTATGTAATCATTGCGATGAATATTTAGCTGACAGTAGTTTTACATATAAACCAAAATATTTTTATCAACAGTATAGTATACACGGATGGAGCAGGAATTATTTTTTTCCTTTAATGCATTGCCTTCGAAATCTGAATTATACGACGCTGATCACTGAACACACTGGTAGTGCTGAGTAGTACAAACTACTAATTAATTTAAAAGGTAAGTTAATTATCACCTTTTTAACATTTTTAAATAACTGTAACTTTTCAAAAAATTAATTTTTTTTTTTAAAAAAAAACCGTCTTGCTCTCCGGAATATTGTTTTCTTTTAATTTTATAATGGGTGCTTTTACTCTCTCTAAAACCAAAATTAAGCGAGTTATTTTTAGTCTGCTTAAACATGTTTTTACCACTGAAAATCATCGGTGCGACGCCCTCTTCAGTAGCTAAAAATTGAAAAACAAAATTAAATTTGTATGCCGACTTGAAGTCGAATTAAAAAAAAAATTTTTGTTTAATTCTGACACACTAAAAAATAAATGTTTGTTTAATTCTGACACACTTGTAATCACACTTTTTATTCATATATATATATATTTTTTTAAATTTATAAGTAACTTCAATGTTTGGTATTTTACTAAAAAGTGTAATATTTAAGAGCCTATACATTTTTAGGGCTTGAACAAAATATTCTGAAATTTCTACAACACTTACTTTTATGTATACAGAACATCTGGTATAATAGTTTTATAACGGAGACTTATTTTTACTTGAAGTTGTAAGAACTTGAATAAAAAGATGTTATACGTAGTTGCTAGTTTTAAAAAACGGAATTTGAAAAAAATGTTATACTTACAACTTCTAGTAAAAATAAGTCTTCATTACCAAACTTTTACCAGATGTTTTATATACATATAAGTAAGTGCTATATTACTATACAAATTTTAAAATTTTTAGTTTAAATATTATGGCTTAAGTAATAAGCTCTTGAATATAGCACTTCTTAGTCAAATTTAGCAAAACTTTGAAGTTACTTTACATCATTAAAAAAAAAGGTTTAAATAGTTTTAAAAGTTATAAACCAAAATAGTAGGTAGTTTTATGTGTAAGAATAAAAAAAACATTTTGAAACATTGAGTTAGTATACAAATAAAATAAAATGTATACAATTTTGAATTTGTTTTTTAAATTATTAAAATTATTGATATATTATAAAATTAAAATACTTAATAAATACCTAAACCAAAGCACAAGGTGGAGCTAATAATTAATATGTAATTATAATATTTTATTCAAAATTTAAAAAAAAATTGTTTCTTAAACAGACAGTCGTGATAAATTTTGGTTTAATTGGGTTCCCAGTTTGACGATTTCTATAATATATTTTTTTAGCGATCTATTAGTAAAAAATGGAAGATCGTATGAAATGTTTTCTTATAACCTATTTTGTAGGCAATTAAATTTTATAAAATAAAAAATTAAATAATTAATTAAAAAGTTTCATACTTAGTATATTTAATAGACACGCATTAGGGAAAGAGTGGGCTGGTCTCAGCCGTCCATCAACAACGTACCAGGGACGTGAGATTTATTGGCCATTATTTGTCAATGTATATTTATTTGACGTCATAAGGTTTCTATAGTAAGTAGGTATTATTATTATAATAATATACTATATGTTATTCTAAGTTTTTTGTCTACCGAGTTTTATTTCCCAAAAACAGGCAGACAAGCACTTGTATAATAAGTTAGAGGACTCAAAACGTAAAGGTATGTCGTACCAATTATTATAATCTTGCTTTGATAATGGTATTAGTTGAAACACGCTTTATTATTTCAGGAAAAACGGCAGATAGCAATTGTATATTGTACACAGATTGAATACCTACAGTCAACAGAAAAGTAAGTCGTACCATTGTATTATTCCATTGCACAGACCGAACCAGTGATCCAATAAGAAATCTAAAAACAGATTTGAATTCACCATTTGAGTTTACTTATGATCGGTCAGGGCACTTTTTTGGGCTCACCAAGCTGTTTCAGTTGCCTAGTTTTGATATGTGACCTGCTATATTATCTTTTGGGTCCATTATATAACTATAGAATTATTGTTGTACTAACGTTATGCTTGTGTCTGACTTCTGCTCATAAACGCTGAGTAACTTGTCCCACATGGCCTTTGACGTGTCACAATTCATTATATATTGCAGGGACTGTTCTCCCACAGACGTAACAATATACTTTTGAGCCGTATTGTCCACTCTCTTTCATATGGAATAATCTATATTGTACCCTTTTCTAGCGTCATCTTCAGATTCACCGCCGATATTTGTTAAAACTGGTTTCTTCGACTTGCCTGTCACTACATCGAGTACTTCAACTGCATTCATTATAACTTTCATTTGAAATTTCCACAAGTCCCATTGAGAGCGTTTTCGAGCTTGTTAATTTTAACAACTTCGTTTTCCATTTTACACGAATGCGTTGCACTGTCTGCACACAAATAAAATAGCACTATAGGTACACTAACTTTCCGCGAACACGCGAAAATTAAAGATCACTTCACAAAACAAACGTAATGATACTATGGCCATATACTGCCAACACACGGTTACTTGTTATTACTTAAACAAATACAATTTATTATTTAAGCTCTGGGTCCCATAAACTGTTGGAATAAAATCCTTATTCAGAAGCGTATCAAATAATAAAAGGTTGAATAAGTATAACAAATAAAATGTTTATTATCGATATGTGTACACGTATAAGTAAAAACGACGACTGTCTCCCAATAACAATAATTAAATACCCGGTGTACACGAAGTACAAAATATGCTTACTAAGAATTATATCGACCTACTAACTATGTAATATAATATGGTGTTTGGTTTATAAGTCCAACATTTTTAGACACGTAAATAATTTTAATTTACTATACATTTTTTTTTTTTTACAAATTCACTGAACTTTTTAGACACGTAAATAATTTTAATTTACTTTTAATAGACAGTATGGTCTATGTGAGAAATAAAGAGTTTTCCCAGTCGCCAATTTGTTATACCTTAGTGTATTGTCGTATACGCACTTTGGTACACGAACCGTTAAACACACACACACACTTAAAACCGACGGGAGAAAAAGTAACACTTTTAAATTAAGTAAAAGAAAAGTAACTCAACAGTTAATAAACACACACACAATTATAATATTCGTAAAAACAATGGAAAAACAATAATGCACGCGACAATACCCTCCTCGTAACAGAACGGTCGCTTACGGGAGAGTGCATCCCGGACAAAGTAATTTGGGCGGCCTTAAATAATAAACATTATTGTCTACTGTGTAGACAATTTTGTATAGTTTTGTTTTGATTGTTTGGCCTACATTTAATTGCTTATTTGCTAAAATACATTGGTCTTTAAGAACTATACTACAGTATGAAAGTAAAACACAATTAGATTAATATAAATGATAATATTCGCTGATGTTTATTATGAAACTCAAATTACACGAATGATAAGTTATGCCGATGTAGCACTCGCGTATGGTAGACAATTCCCACCATATATATTTATATAAACTGCTGATACGTAACACTTAAACTTTTAATTTTTACATCTGTGTATATGACATCTACTTGACCACCGGCTGAGACGATATCAACAATGTTAGTGTAATAAACCAACAGGTCGGTATCCTTAGACCTTTTATGTCTAAAACCATGTGGCTCATTAGCGAGCTAGGGATGTAAAAGCTTCGGAGAAACGGGGTAGCAAAAGACGTTCGAACAATTTAGGAGAAGGGTGCTTAGCTTCGAAATGGGTCTATAATTTTTAAGACCGACGACATGATTAGATTTCTAAATTAGCATAATGTAACTCTAAAAATCGTATACCACTTATATTTATCGCGTAATAAGGAACGTAACTTAAGATTCTTGTATTTGAAAATTAATATTAAAATCTCCTGCCAAGTATAATAAATAAAGAAAAACCGAATGCAGTGTAGGTTATCAAGTACTTTTAAGGGTAAAAATGTATTCTGTAGTAATAAAATATAAATATTTTATAAGTTTATAGACTTTTTGCAATATAAATTACCATAAAAGTTGAAAAAAAAGTTGTAAAAAAACGCAAAAAGTGTAAAGAGGTGGCCGGATTTGAACCCTGTACACAACTCACTCCTGGAAACCGATCACGCTCGACCGCACCACATATAGTTTAAATAGCAATACCTATACGAAACCTACATACGAAAGGGACTTCGTTCCAAACTCGTGTCCCGCGACACGAACCAGTTTTTTTTTTTTTAAAAGTTCAAATTAAAATATATAATATATCATAGCTAAAAAGACAATTATTCCGAGAATAATATTTATTTATTGCTAATTATAATTATTATTTTCCATTTTGAGTGGATTCAATTTTAATGGATTAATACTTTTTTTTAAAATTTTTATGGAGACCTGTTGGTAACATATGGCTTGCCTTTTGATGTATATGTATTTCTCAGCTGGGCGTCGACTTATTAAATCTATACACTGGCTCTATACTATTCTACAAACCACTATGGTCGCTAGTCAACGCTGGACAACAGTTATTGTTACTTGTTATAACAATTATTGTTAATTATTGTTACAGTATGATCAACCCGTTGTGGATTGTTGCCCCTCTGGCCTTAGCTGTAGTGACGTACTACTCGTACAAGTGCTATGCCAAAGGAGACGAAGAGCAGGAGTGGCAGGAAGAGGAGCAACAGGAAGAGGTTCGGCAGGAAAAGGAGCGACAGGAAGAGGCGCAGGAAGAGGAGCGGCAGGAGAGGATGCGACAGGATGAACAGGTGTGGAATGAAATATCTAAGACGAAAATGTTGAACAAACAAAGAGAGATGTTACAAACCTGCCGGGTACTAGCCCGGCAAATGGTTCGCGAACCTGGTCACTACTCCGAGTTCTTCGACCTACTGTCTGGGATATTAGCATTCCCGGATAACGAGGTAACACAAGAAACGAGGCTATTGTTTCAGCCTATTCTTCACCAAATGGGACCGGTCGGATTGCGGGTTTTCGACAAAATGGTGGACAAAAAGCGAACAAATTTAAAACTATTACCGACGCCGTTCGGCGGCAACGCGTACAACGATCTACTCGGAGGTGACAAGTAACTTTTCCCCAGTCATACAGCATCCGTGATCCACCGTAGTTAATCCTGAGGGGCGATTTTGGAATGTATATTGAATTGAACAAGATTTTGTAACCATTGGTTTAAAATGGCAACAAAATGTTGTCGAAATGGACAAACATTCTACAATCGGCTCCCTGGTCTCCAAGACCTGTCCAACCTCCGCTGAACGCCCTCACACCCTAGCGCCCTCATTCCCCCACGCCCTCATTTTATCCCTGTGGACAGGGGAGAAAGAATACTTCCAAGGTTCTCGCGCCTGTCGTAAAAGGCGACTAAAGCGACGTCGAGCCCAACGTAATGTGGCCTTCTGACAGGTCACTTCTTCTTGTGACACACCTTCTGCGGCCCGCAATTAACACCCAGGGCGCCGATTCTCGAATGTATATCGAATTTGACAAGATTTTGTCGCCATTGGTTTAATATGGCGACAAAATCTTCGTCGAAAGCGACAAACATTCGAGAATCTGCCCCCCCAGTGCTACTAGGCGGGTCGCAGTCGTAGGGGATCCCTTCGGGGTGAACCACTGAAGCCAAGGAACACCTGTCCCATGCACTTAGTGCATGGCATTCGCTATGACGTTAATCAATTGTGTTTAATCATCTATTGCGGAGTTTTTTAGCTTTTACAACGGTACCGTTTGGCGTCAGACAGCTTCAGGCTCGAGATGAAGGCAAGCATCGGCGATGGATCTGCTCCTGCTGGCCCTCTGGAATCGCCTACGAGCCGAGAGAGAAGACTTCCTCGGTCGCAACTGACGCAAGCTTCTGACAGGTCACTTCTTCTTGAGACCGCTAAAGGCCAAGGAACACCTGTCCGTGCACTTTGTGCATGACATTCGCTATGACGTTAACTAATTGTGTTTAATCATCTATTGCGGAGTTTTTTAGCTTTTACAACGGTACCGTTTGGCGTCAGACAGCTTCAGGCTCGAGATGAAGGCAAGCATCGGCGATGGATCTGCTCCTGCTGGCCCTCTGGAATCGCCTACGAGCCGAGAGAGAAGACTTCCTCGGTCGCAACTGACGCAAGCTTCTGACAGGTCACTTCTTCTTGAGACCGCTAAAGGCCAAGGAACACCTGTCCGTGCACTTTGTGCATGTCACTTGCTATGACGTTGACGCGGTCGCATCGCGACCCGGTGGTGGCCGAGTACTAATCACACCCGAGCCCGCTTTCCCCTCTTCTCGTCCGACAGGCCACGCTCGCCGCTCAACCGGACACTTCCATTGTAGATGGATACACGGACATTTTTATGGATATACCTTGTTTTTAACCATTTGTGTAAATAATAAAGAGCAACCGTGATACTTAAACCCGGCGTATATTTTATTTTCACAACAATTACCCTTTTTGTCTATCACGATTTCAACATTTGGTGCAGTCGGTATTTTCAGGACCTAAGGAAATTTATATAATATATATATTTTTTTTTTTCTGCAGCCCCTTAATTCTAACGAAGTTAGCTTAGCTGGACCTTGAGGTTAGTCTAGGTTCCCACCGTAAGAGAGTTTTTTCTCAAAAAAATTACAAATTTGTGGTATTTAACGCTTAAAAGCGAAAAAATTAATAGGGTTTCTGTATAGAGTTGTACCCGAGTGTGCTGCGGATTTTTGGTCCAATGAGGAAGATCCCGCTGCCAAAAGTCTTAATCAATGTTGCAAGTCTGACCAAGACACACGGTCTGCTGCATTGATTATGAAGGCCCCAATGGACTGGTGAAGTTTCCGCAAAATGGAGTAAACGGCCGTAATGGACCGAAGTAACCCGGAAAAGATATTCTGTTCCATTTTAACCAATTTTTATTTGTGTGTTAACAAGACACGACATGTAGTTTGACTATTGCGATTGTTCGCATTTTGGAAACCAATTAATTATACATTTTTGTCGCCAATTTTTGGTAGCATTATAGGAGTTGGGGGTAGTTCTTCCAAAAAATGATAACGCTTGATAAGAAATAAATGTTACATAACCCATAAAATCTGTAATACTACAGACAGACCTGCGTCCTTATCAGTTTAAATTCCGTCCACTGATAAAAAAATTCGCCATAGACGAGCGAAACGTGCGTCGTACATCTCAAATCGTTTTAAAATCCAAATAACTTCAATTTTAAGATTTAAAACACGTTCAAATATTCATCACCTTGGCATTTTTATTTTAAAATGAAGCGTTTTACTGTCAATTTGTACCAAAAGTGTAATTCCACAATTAGTAAGTATTAGTTAATTAAATTATAATGATATTGCCTCTATTGTTACGGTAACTTATTATATTTTTATATACCAACTAGTCAGAAGATATACTTCGACACTAAAAGAAGTAAATACAAAAAGCGATGAAATCATATTATATCAAAATAGTTTGTTCGATAAAGAACAACAAAAACAGCGCGAGGCAGTTGGTCGTATTGAAAAAATTAAAGTCAAACACATTGGTGTACCGGAAGATGTCACATTATCCATGAACAAAAATATTTCCACACCTTTCCACTGTGCTAAACGTAATAAATACATTTTTGACAATACCTATATTTTATCATAAATTGTAACACATTATTTAGTAAAGAATAGTGCAAGTTACGCTTGGTTAATTCCTACATTATCTTTCTGATTTTGTATAATTATTTCTCGCTCTCAGATATATCTGAAATGTTAGTCAAAAGAAGTGGATTGGCTTTGATAAACGATACCTATTTGTGGGATATGCACAGACCCCTTGAATCTGATTGTGAACTCCGCTTTATGCATGCTCAATATCTTCCAGATCCATACCATTTTAACAGAGCTTACTGGCGTAGCTGTTCGTTTATACTTGGAGCAGTTATTGCCAAAGCATTTAAGAATGACAATAGGCCAACTTTACATAGCTTTCCTTCACCAAACGGTAAATATAAATTAATTAAAATCACTAGGATCATTACTAAATTGCTTATGTATATTTAATATAATAGTGAAAAGTGGAAGCTTTGTATATGATGTTGAATTGGATAATCTACCAGACTGGAAACCTACAGACAACGAATTGCGAATCCTGTCAGCTAGCATGGTTAAATTGGCCCAAAAATCGTTTCATTTTGAAAGGCTCACGGTCTCTGAAGAGCTTGCTTTAGAAATATTTCAAGAAAACAAGTTTAAAAAAGAACAAGTCCCAAATATTTCTCAACAGTCAATAGGTAAATATTATTCATTAAATGATTATTTTATTAAATTAAACATACTATCATATTATTTATATATTAAGCCTATTATTTTATTATACAACGTAATATTGTCATATTAATAAATTTAAAAAAAAAATAGTTTTATTGTTAATGTTTATTTCCAGATAAAAAAGTAACGCTGTATAGGATTGGAGACCATATTGATATTAGTAAAGGACCGATGATTGGAAATACGGATCTTTTAGGACGCTGTACCTTAGCAGCGGTAAGTTATGAATTTTATTTACTAATATTTCATATCATAAATTTGAAATTGCTTGCATATAATATAATTAATTTTAATTTAGGTACACAAAATGGACACAAAAGATGGTCATTTGTATAGATTTCAAGGGGTCTCTTTACCTAAAGGAATAATGGTATTATAATATTTAAATATAAATATACTTATGAGGTACAAAATTAGTATAATTTTAAACAATTAATAAAACATGTTTTAAATATGATTTTTTATATTAAAAATAATGTTTTACACCAATTAATTTACTAATTTTTATAACATATTTTTCTAGTTAAACCATTTTGCCTACTCATTATTGGAACAAAGAGCTAAAAAATTGGTATGTGCTATGCTTAAGTGTATTAATTTATCGTTAACTTATGAATCAAGCATGCAATGTAATAAATATAGGTTTATGTAGTAAAACCATTTATTAATTTACTGATTTAGTATATTATACTCAATATTAGTAGAAATACAAAAATGTACCAGAGTAGCAAGGATGACTGGTTGAGGTTATCTGCTTTCTCTGTACCTCTAAAAAGTTGTACTTCATAATTACAAAATGTAATTTAAAATAAAAAAACACACTAATATTTTAATTTTTATCACTTTTTTAACATTACATAAATAAATTTTCAACTTACACCAAACTGTAATAGACATTAGACACAGTCGCTAGATAAAATAAATTTGTGGATATAGATTGCAGTAGACAGCAAAATATTAACATTACAGACATTTCTTCCAATATTTAAATTATAAAATAACTTTCTCGATAAACATATATCTTCTTAAACATGTCATTGTAACAGCTTGAGTGGGTGGATAAATTAATTAAAAAATAATAAAATTTAACAATTATAACATTTATTATTGTTTTCTTACAGAATGCTGCAAGGTTACCTGATCAGGTTCACGGTGAAATGTACCAGCCACATTTTTCTCCAGTTGAAACTGTATAGTTTAAGTTAAAATTTGCATTTTATGTAGATATTGGTTACTATTAATGTTTTTTATAAATTATAAATATACTTGAATATTGTATTCTTGTTAATTTTATTTTATTTTATCTATATTGGAGGACTGTAGGTTTTATCAAATCTAAATCTGAATATTTATGTGAGAATTAAAGTATCATGTACGCCATACGACATACCTTGTAGTGGCAAAGCTAAAGCTAGGATCTCCCCCAGCCCCGTTGACTTATTATTTTTTAACTTTTCCTTATTTATTCTTACCTTATCCTTACTTATTTTATCAATTATTTGTTTTTATGCTTTGTGATATTATTTCAACCAAAAAATTTTCTTAGACATGTTTTTATACAAAAATTGATACATTTGACATAATTGCGTTGTAAAAAAAAATAATAATGATTACCAATAGATTTAGTTTTGCTAGGTTAACATGCAGTTAGGTTAAATGTTTAGCTTTTTGTAAATTTCAATGAAAAATTGGCTATTGGGCCTTCATTAAAAGGCATAAACACATTATTTTAGCTTTTTGACAGCTGTTTTGAATAATACAAAAAAATGAAATCGCTTACAACTACGACTAAATCTAATTAAAATATTGAATATTTTTTTGTATTTATACATATTTTAGACACTATTTAACGACACGCTATATTAGGTTCGTTGCTGTGGTCAGCAATAACAAAATTAAAGTGATAAATAACGGTTGGCGTAAATTGTATACATTAAAACTGATTTTTTAGCTCATAGTTATGTTTAGATACCCGAAATTTAAGTCTCGCCAAATTTGGGCTTTTGAATTTTCTATTCCTTTTTTATATTTTTAAAAAATATTCATATTGTATAGAAGTCTATCTTCACCATTCGGTTCTTGACACTATACCCGCTGTTTTTACTGGTAGTACCTATTGATAAAACGATTTGTTAGGTAGACAGTAGTTGCTACGTGAGTTTCACACCCCGTTAAAAGTATTATTAAATATTTCTCCTTGGGTAACTACAGAGTTTCTTTTGAGATTTGGCTAAAGTCATCATTATTACTATTTTCTATTGTTGCATTACTAGAAATATTCAATTTTAACTATAAAACATTCAGCTAATTAGAATAAATTAGCCAAGTGCCGTATGTGTTTTATGTAAAATGCAAGATTCAAAATTACGACCAACAAAAATCATTGATTTAAAACGCAATGATGTCGAAATTGTGCGTTCATACATGCAAATCAAATCAAATTCAAAAGATTTTATCAAGTCAGTAACTATTAAATAAATTTACAATGTAGCCTGTAGGTGTAGTTGAGGGTACAAACGGGATAGGTACCTACATTTTTTATTATCATATTTTAAGTTTCATTAGGTATCTCATAACGAAACTCGCTATGATGTAATGACAAAAACAAATTGCTGAACATGTAAAAGCTTATCAAATAACTTTTCTAAGCTTTTTATCTGAAATTTAAAAATCCCAGTGAATTGCTTTGTATTTTCCAAGCTTTCTGCTTTGAATACATTATAAAAACAGTTTTCGTTAATTTTTGACCCCATAAATATAACACTACAAACATTCATCTTAGCACGTTTGCAAACTATCTTAAGAAGTCAAAACCACAATAAATAAAGATTACTGAATATTGTATTAGGTATTGTACTAATAGTTTGCTTATTTTTCTGAACTTTAAAGCGTGTATTTTAAAATTGAAAATTATTCAAAAGATTTACTCGTTTTTGAAAGGGAAACTGAGAAAGGGCTGGACTTTTTCAACTTCTGACTCTCTAAAGTACGTTTGGTGAACAATTTCTAATTTAAAGACTGACCAAATTAAAAAAATCGGACATGATTTAAATAATATTGTAAAAAATGTATAAATGTATACAATTTTAGTTTGTGGGTGGGTGAGCTGTATAGAGACCTCACCGATTTTTAAGAAATTATTAAATATTAGGTACAATATTAAATAACAGTATGGTTGATAATATCAATAATTTCTTCATTTATTAACTTTTTTTCGATATTATAAAAATGAAGAAAAATAAAGGCAGACGTTCCCACGTATAACAGTGATTCAGAGACATCTAATACTCATAGTATGACTTGACCTCTAGACCAAAGGCAAATTTACTACAATTATTGATCCCATTGCCATCAACAGCCTAAGTATAATAAAAGTAGTACTATATAAAATCATTTTCAATTGATCACATTTCAAATATAATAGCTTTTCATAAATTGCTAGTCTATATAATATCATATATATGTTTATAAATTTCAGGAAATTCCCTGAATGGGAGTATTTGCCTAAGTCTCTGGAAATCGAAATTGTGACTGCTCTCCGCGAACGAGATGCCGCTAAATCTCGATTGGAAACCAAGCGGAAAGAGAAAAAAACATTTGATAGAATAATGGACAAAAAGTGGAAAGACTTGGAACAAAAACAAAAAGATTTGACAAAAGCCGAGGAGATGCATGATATGTTTTCATCGGTATAGTATCAATTGTGTTGTATATTGTACACTTAAATCCAAAAATAGTCATACAAATCTTCGAGAGAACATAGTTTAAGTCTCGGTTTTTTTATTAATATCGAAATCATGTAAATATATGATAAATATGTTCAGAGATGTTTGCAGAACGTTAGCTATTTTTTTTTTTTAGTCGAAAAACTACAGCATAAGTCTATTGATGTTTGTTTCATAAAAAATATTAATAGCTACTTGGTATTGATGCGGCATCAATGATGCCTGTTACCTATCTTCAATAATTGTATCTTATAATGGAAATCGTTACTGTGCTAATTAAGCACGGTTATCATATTTTATAGGATTGTAGATCAAAATGTGAGATGCTAGCGGGGAAGATAAAGGAAGAAAATGAAGAAAAGAAACGATTGGAGATGCAAATGATACCGATGCAAGAGTCAATAACGCAGTTGGAAGAAACAGCAGACAAAATGCAACATAGCGTTGATGAACTAAAACCATTTGAAGTATGACGACATAAAAACGATAATAATGATAAATAATATATTTTACTAGTGTTGGTAATTGAATTAATAATAAACGTTTGAAAATGTTTTCTTCGTGGATTTTAGAATTTTTTAGAGAAAGTCGTGAGCGAATCAAACGAATACAAAAGCATCGACGACCTGATAAAGAGATATGAAAACTTGACGAACATGAGGAATGAGTTGATTCTAAAGTATGAAACAAAATCATCAGAACTGAGCCGACTGAAGACTGATTTGTTTAAACATTCCAAAGTAAAACATATTGTTCCTACCTAGTTACTAATATAATTTCAGCTATAATTTATATCTACTATCCGGTGCCCAATGTCCAGACGATATGTTCAAAAAAGGCTTAGACCACAGCTTATTTGTCTATCGACCATATGCGACGACATAATATTTTTAATTTATTTTTTATATATAACTAGCAAAAATACTAAACTTAAACCATGTAGAAACCAACTGGATATATTATACACTACTAAGTTGTTCACTGTATAATTTCGTATAAATTCGTATTAGGTATACCAATTATAATAAACCACATTGGACTTTGGAGCATTTCTATATCTTCTACTATTGTTGCTAAATAATAAGATATGTAGTTTGAAAAGACATTTTTTCGCGTACATTTTCAATATATATTTTAATTTTATTATTTTTTGTTATAATTTTTACCGAGGAAAAAAACGAAGAAGCTGAAAATATTTCAGTGGAAATTGCAGAAGTAACAGAGCTGTGGGTCAAAACAAGGGAAGAAATGATCAAAACGGATTTGGCTTTCCGAAAACTCGAAAACGTAGCTAAAGAAAAGAAAATTGAATATCCGCTGGTACAGTAATATCGTTATTAAAATTCCAATATCAATAGGCATTACCAATTACATTTTTTTTTTAGTCTGTCGTAATTTTTTTATAAATTGAGATATATATATATATATATATATATGTGTGTAACGATATTTGATTTTTATTTAATAAGATTTGGCCTATATAATTTTAGGTGGCCGCTTCAGTGTGGAATATTTACAAACAAATGTGCAAACGTGTTAAACATCCAGTGCCGCACAAAAGAGTAAACGTAGAAACTCAATTGGATTTCGTAGCGGACAAGTATCAAGAATTAACCAAAGTATTACACATGGCAGAGAAAATTAAGGAGAGAACCAACAAAAAATTGATCCATAAAAGTTAAAAAGATTTCACAGAATGTCCTTTTTTAAAGTTATAGTTACAAATTATTATTATTATATAACATTTTTTTTTTTAACTTTGTGCACATATTTTAACCCTTCACTGTATGATTTTTTTTTTTACCATATGCTATAAATATACTCAATACTACTTAAAATAATAAAAATAAATTTTTTTTTTAGTTTTGGTTTCATGGAAAACGCTAATTAAAGAATTGTACCAAATATGGAACATTGTGCAGTGTTATAAACTATTAAACATTTGGCCTAATTACAAAAAGTGTTATAAGTATTTAGCTAGGTACTTTAAAAAAAAAAATTATTTGTTTGGTTTACACGCAAAATATATGTCGTTTAACTAGTTACCTAGTCGTTTAACTAATTTAACTAGTTTAACTAGTTAGACTTTAAAGTAACGGTTTCCACATGTTACCTTTACCGGGGCGCTGCCACGAAATATTATCTGGTGTAAAAACAAATTGAATTCATATTTTGACATGGTTAATTCATGCATTGTTATTTCTAGGAAAGGGCGCCTTGAGAAAACCTTAGTTCAACATAGAGTGGTTCGGTCATTGGTTAATCTTTTTTTTCCGGGGTTAACGAAGTTTAAAGAGTAATACTGCATTTTTGCAGGCTAGAAACCTCTTACCGTGGGAACCTAAGACAGCTTAGCCGAAAAGGACGACGCGTTTCAAGTAAGTGAGAACCATTGCATTAAAGTAACTATAGAATCACGATGTAGAGAAGATCTTCCGTTTATTGTCGACAGATTTATTTTCTAGCTAAAATGCTTGTCTATTTAAAATGTTGTGAACCTATGCATTTAACTCACCATTCTGTATAAAATCGTAAATAAAAAAATTGTATGTTTTAAATAATCGGGCTTATTGTTTTACCTACTTAACGAAGTGATACTATAATCTAAAATATGTAGTCCATAATTTATCGTTAAGTACATAATATATATATATATAATACAACATAATAATAATAATAAATGCTAAAAATTAGTAAAGTCTCTGAAGTTTACATTTTATACCTACAACATTTAAATTTAAATTAATACTAGAATAATATATTTCTTATACACATATATGTGTTATTTTTTACTATAATTTTTAACAGCATTCAATATCTTAGATTCGATAAGATCTACGTAGAACGTCATATTGTACATGTTGGCATGCAGATCGTCTCCTGAAATATGAATATAATAATTACACGATTAGCGCCTCACAAGTAAACAAGTTTTTCATAACTTGTGTATGTGTATGTATGATATTTACAACAATGACATTTTTAATAGTACTAATACTAATACTATAAAATATAAGTTTATGCATAATAAATTAAGAGCGAGTGTCAAAAAGATTTTTCCGCTACGTTGGATACAAAAGAATTTATTTTGGCGTAGCCACCAATTTTCCTATTACCAATATACAAAATCAACTACTGAAATCTCTTGCGACTCGTAGGAAATTTGCAGATACATCTTTTATTTACAAACTCATTAATTGCTTTACTTCTTGTGCCCCACTCCTTGATCTTATTCTACTCCATATTCCGCGATTAATCGTTAGACCTTCTATCACAATCGACGGCATCGTTGACCATGCAACACCGTGCTCCGTTATTTCATCTAGTTATTATCAAACATCTCGTTACATTTTCCCCCGTTTTTCTCGTATTAAAAAGTAATCTTTTTGAAAAAGTGCCAGCTTTCCAACGAGTTGAACATCTCATTTCTACATCACCTCTGAGCCTCATCATTGTCTTTTTGGTAATTTATTTAATTAATATATTATTAATTACTAATACTGTCATCGCGGCCGCGCTCGGACGGTCCGCTTAAACCAGTTATTGCTATCGCGCGATAAATTTACCTGTCACCATGAATGAAAATAATAAAACAGTACCTCCGTTAACAATAAAAGCGTCACGTATACAGAGCGTGCCAAATCGACTTTCGCTTTCTTCAGATCTATCCGATCATACTGATGGACTTATTACTCCTAATAGCACTAAGCGACTCGGCTCTCCGGGGCCTATCGCCCAATAATAATAAACATCAAAAAAATCAAAATAAATCAACAAAAAACGACTCTAAATTTCAAACGGTTAAATACAAATCTAAACCGATATCAACTGAATCATTAGCAGGAAAAAACACATAACTGTTTTTGCTTCCTCTAATAGATTTGCTCCACTTGACATCGATAATGTTGAAGACGAAAATATCGAAATAGATCAGACGGGCAACGACCTAAATGAGGAAATTGAACAAACAAAAATCAAACCTCCTCCACCTATTTTCATCCGTGGAGTATTAGATTTTCACACACTTCGAACATGTTTAATCGATCTAATCGGCGCCAATAACTTTGTTGTTAAAGCAACGACCAAGAACTTAAAAGTCCAAACTACCAACTCCGACTCATAAGGATCAGTCATCAAATATCTAAAAGAAAATAAGGCTGAGTTTCATACCTACCAAGCTCAAGAAGACAAACCCTTCCGAATAGTCATTCGTAATCTCCACCCTTCCACTCCAACATCCGAAATAGGCTCAGCGCTTAAAGAAATTGGGGGATATACAGTCCGAAATGTCTCCAATGTTTTAAACAAAACTACAAAAAATAAACTCCCAATATTTTTCATTGATTTGGAACCCGCTGAAATCAACAGGGACGTCTTTCATATTAACTCCCTACTAAATACCAAAATAAAGATCGAAGAACCATACGAACATAAGAACCATAAACGTACTAAAGATATTGCTTTGGAATGCTAACGGGTTAAAACAACATGATTCTGAACTGTTAAACTTACTATCAGAAAAACAAATCGATCTGGCACTTATTTCTGAAGCCCACTGTAAACCAAACACTAAACTATTTTTCCCTGGTTTTAAGGTTTATAGAGCTGATCACCCCGACAATACTGCTCATGCAGGATCTGCTATTATTTTTTTCTCTAAAATCCAGCATCAGTTACTCCCTATTAACCAAACCTCTATTATACAGGCACCTAATATCCAAATCACATTAAATCACACACCGATCGAAATATCTTCAGTTTACCTTCCCCCTCATCCTGCTATTACTTCGACACAACTAAAAGATTTTTTAAAATCCCTAGGGCCAAACTTCTTGGCTGAGGGCGATTTTAATGCCAAACATTCCCAATGGGGTTGCATATCCGACAACTCGAGAGGAAAAATACTCCAAAAAATCATTAACAACAACAATTACACATCCATATCGCCAAATGGTCCCACCTACTGGCCCCAACACGAAAATAGACACCCTGATATATTAGATTTCTTTCTTTCAACACTACCTAGAACTATGAAATTCTCTATTAATAACCTAAATGACTTTAGCTCAGACCACACTCCTGTCCTTCTAAAATTAAATGAAAGTCCAGAACTTAATCCTATACATCCTTCTTTATCGCAAGGCCCAGTAAATTGGAAAGAATTCTCTGAAATTATGCAAAACACTACTAGTCTAAATATCTCCCTTAAATCAAAAATAGATATAGAAAACGCTGCCCAAGACCTCGTAACTTCTATACTATCTACCGTACACAATGCGTCATATCCAACCAGTAAACATCATTCAAATAATCATTCTTTGCCTTTATATATTAGAACGTTGATTTCCGATAAACGACGTGCACGCTCCAGATGGCAGAAATATCGATATCCTTCCGACAAACAAATATTTAATCACTTAACGAACACTATTAAAAAATTAATAATAAAACACAAAACTGAGTACTTCGAAAGAAAATACCAGTCCTTAAACTCAAAAGATGGCTCACTCTGAAAAACTACCAAAAGCTTACTTAACATAAAACAACAACTTCCACCTATAACTGGCCCAAATGGATCCTTGGCCATCTCTGACAAAGAAAAAGCCAACCTTTTCGGAGAGCATTTTTCCAACATTTTCAAACCACATACTGACGTATTTCCCAACCCCGAACACTTAGAAAAGGTTAATATTTTTATCAATAGTCATCTTCCAATGTCATTACCTGCAAAACATACCTCACCAAGTGAAATCAAATTTTTAATAAATAAATTAAAAGAAGGGAAATCACCAGGACATGACCTCATAACTAACAAAATCCTCAAAAATTTGCCAAAAAAAACAATTGTTCTAATAACTTATATTTTTAACTCCATGCTGCGAATTTCTTATTTTCCATTAATATGGAAAATATCCACAATAATTGTTATCCCCAAACCCAACAAATCAAAAAATGAGATTACTTCCTATAGACCTATCAGCTTACTCCCAACTCTCGCCAAATTGTTTGAGAAAATTATACTCATAAGGATAAGACCAATATTACATGCCCACAACATAATTCCTAATTCCCAATTTGGCTTTAGATCCAATCACTCGACTGTTCACCAAATTCACAGACTAACAGATCAAATTTGTTCTTCTTTTGAAAAAAAAACAATATTGTCCAGGGGTATTTTTGGATGTAGCCCAGGCTTTTGACCGTGTATGGCATGAAGGCCTACTCTTTAAACTCAAATTATTTCTACCTGCCCCATATTACTTAATAATTCGTTCTTATTTAGAAAATAGAAGTTATAGAATCAGATATGGTAATTCCTTTTCATCATACCACCAAATTAAAGCAGGAGTGCCCCAGGGCAGTGACCTCTCCCCTAATCTATTTAATGTTTTTACGGCTGACATTCCAAAAACACCAAATACCATTATGGCTACTTATGCAGATGACACTGCAATACTCTCCCCAGGAAATGATCCAGAAGTTACTTCCAATTTCCTTTAAACTCACTTAAATCTAATTGATTTCTGGTCAACTAATTGGAGAATTAAAATTAATCCAGATAAATCTGTCTACGTTCCCTTCACACTAAAAAAATCTGTTCCACACCCTCTCCAATACCAAGGAATACTTATCCCAATATCCTCGGAAGTCAAATATCTTGGTGTCACACTCGACGAACGATTAACTTGGGGCTCCCACATTAAATCTAAAAGGAAAATTCTCAACAGCAGACTCCATTTACTACGTCCAATCCTCAAATCAAAATTACCTTTCCATACAAAAATCATTATATACAAATCCCTATTAAGGCCTATTTGGGCATATGCAATCCAAATTTGGGGATGTGCAAAACCATCCCAACTTCGTACCTTACAAGCTTTCCAATCTATCACTCTACGTATTATCTCTTCCGCCCCATGGTATGTATCAAACTGCAAACTTCAAAATGACTTTAAAATAGAATCAATAAACCAATTAGCCATAAAACACTACAAAAAATTTCATTCCAAATTACACACTCATTCTAACCCTTTAATATCTCAACTTGCTTCTAATTCACTCCCCGGAAATCCATCTCGCCGACTTCGAAGACATTGGTGTCGAGATCTGTTAATACAATAATTTAAATTAATCTAATTAAAAATAATTAGAACAAAAATCACGTTGGGTTCTATCACTGGATAGCCTCCCTCCTCATACCAAATCACCGTTTCTATTTGTTTATTTTTTTTCCTCTCTCTGTATATATAACAATGTAACTATTTGCTTATTATGCCTTGCAGCATAGATTGTAAATATTCTTTAATAAATAATAAAAAAAAAAAAAAAGACATTCTATCATATCACACCACCACGCACAACCTGTAGGTATAATTTATAAATAGCTTTAGCACTGCTCTCAATTTTTGTAGTATATAAGTTATGCAGTGTTAGTGTATAAAATCAGATTAAAGCTATATACACGGATCTGATTACTATAATATACTTAAGTTTATCTAGTAAATAGACGTACGTATCTGGGATTTTAAGTAATAACAAACTATAAATCAATTTGAATTTGTTTTGTATGAATGTAAAAGAATACAAATTGAGTACAGTTATTGTACTTCAAAGCGGGATGACCCAGAAATCACATTATCTCCTTTTGTTTGTAGAACTATCATAATCATATTATTGTCGGAATTGGGTTTATAGGTAAGAATATAACGCGTACTAACTCAATTTTGATGTACGATTGCGAAATACTTAGTAATTTAATTAAAGCAAACAAAAAAATAGATTAAAAGGTCGAGTTATAAGTAAATGGTGATTTACTAATTTGTTGTCTTCAATTCGTGATTGATAAGGTATCGGTTGAAAAAAAATGTACTTTTCGAAATAATATGACGTGTGTTTGTAATTCTTTGTTCCTGTATATCACACCATTAATTAAACATACATAGGTTAAGTATATTTATTCTATGATCATACACACAACGGGTAACTAATGAATATTTTATTGTGAGAAATTGTGTAATTTTAAATGAACTTTAGTGGCCTTAGAAAGAGAAGACAAAATAGAAAATGTAGAAAAATTTGTTTTAAGTAGACTTTATGGTGAATTAAAAGTTCCAATGATTTCTCGTTGCGTCACTAGATTGATCAATAAGTTGGAATTCATAAATTACGTCAAACTAATGCACTACAATATGGCATAAATTCACGGCCAATACAGAAAAGTGTAGATAGCTGATTACAATCTCCTTAATCGCTAACACATCGTGTTAATTAGAATCAAGGACTGAAATACACATTACATTATATAACCATAGATTAGAAATACAAACGTATTCCATCACCGTTAGTCTTTGTTTATTTTACCTACATGTATAATTAATAAACTAAGTCATAGGTCAAACTATGGTATAATTTATTTTGCTGCCTTATTTAGGTATTGCACGTTTGAGCTATTGGATAACGTGTGTTGCAAATGAAGTGGTGTACGTAATACAACACCTGCCTTGTCGCCTGTCGGAATTTATTAAATTTACATCATGTTTTCCATACCCAGTAAGTACTAAGAAATCATTTTTTTTAATGAAAAATAATATATTGAATAATTTTTATCCAAATAACTATTATTATATTTTCGGAATAATTTATGTAGATATTTATAGTTAATATCATATTATTGGATATAGCCACGTGGATTGGCTTTGGAGCGTGTTAGCTTATCCACCCCACGCCTTTTTAATATTTAGCCCAAATTCCCAAATTATATTATTGTTTAGAAATACTAACTAAAAACTTTGACTACTTCATCATTTTAAATGTATTACTTTAGGTTACTCTCGTAACTATTCAATCTTTCCAAAATGGAATTAAAAACAATCCGGAATTTTTTTCAAATTTGTAAGAACACATTATTATTATATTGTGTGGTATGGTTGATTATTTAAAAATTATAACTTAGTTTCCACAACAAAAACCGAATTTCCAACAGTAACGTTTTCCTAAATTTCGTAGCTAAGCAAATGTATTAAAAATTAAAATGGGAAATATCTTACCGAGGATTTTGTACACTGGCGAAATGTTGCATTGTATGGACAAAAATAGTTTCTCGGCGGACCCCAATAGTTTTGTTAATTCAGCATGTATCGAGTTAATTTTAACGTTTTCCGTGTGGACGTTATCTTTAAGTTCTTGAAGCTCCATTCTCAAAGTGTTCATATTTTCCTCTTGTTTCGATGCTCTAGCCTCGTTGACCATCCTTTGGTCTTCTACGCGGTTTTCAAGCGCCGAAGTATCTTTGTGCAAGTCATCCACCTAATGAACATCGATCAAACCTATTATAAAACAGCACATAGTACCTACTATAGATCAACATTATTACATTTCCTCTGAGATTTGTATTCTTATCTATCTAATCCAACGTCATTCGCTATTATTTTGGAACGATCGTTCAAGAAACCGCTTTGTAGTTAAGAGTACCATTATTATTAAGGTGGGCCCCGTTTGTACGGGATAAGATGTTAATAGGCTTACTTCACTGTTGAGTTCGTTGATGTATGTAAACAAAGCAAAGTTCTCTTCTTCTTGACGGGCAAACAAATCCACGATTCGGTCCACGTTTCGTTCGCCAACATAAAGCTGCAGCCAATTCAATAGATCAGACCATTTTTCCGACTGCTCTTTGCGGTTGCTCAGTTCTGATTGTTTTCTTTCCTTTTCCTTTCGTTCGTAATCCATAAGTAATCGATGTTGTCCTGTTCAACGTGTTTCGTTACATATAAAAAAATGAATTTAAAATCGAAAATTTGCATGCGTGTACCTTTAACGGATAAGAAATCTTGTAGTTTCAAATCGCGTTCGTGTTGTCTTTGCAGTTCTTTCACTTCTGCTTTGTATACAGCTACATGTTGTTTGTCTTCACTGCTCATGACTTTTAATTTGCTCTGTGCATCTTCTCTGTGAACAAAACAAAAATGATTATGTCACAATTAGACAAATTATATTTTTAAAAACATGCTAAGAATTAGTGTAGTACTATACATGTGATGCGGAAAGCGAAAAGGGTCCTCTTGTCTTTAAGTTATTTTGAGAAAAACGACAAAATTTCGATTTAGGTCAATGTATCCATTTCTTACCAAGTATCAATAATTGTACCTTGGAGTCTCTAGGATTTGTATGTAGGTCAAATCATCGAATTTAATGGAATAATAGCCTAAATTAGTAAAAATCTATCACAGAAAAATTAACCTCTTGACGGTTCGCATACTTTAAAGTGCAATACTGTATTTGGGCGTTAGTTTGGACTATACTAGTTTGAATCTACTGTTTACAGATTCGCATCGAGGCGATTATAAGTGATTTTTTCACTTTAAGTTATAATAATTCCTGTAGACCCTGACTTCCCCGTCCCAACTGAACTGGTTTTTTTACCTTTGTTCATAAGCAGTGGTCGCTTGTTCAATTAAGTCCATCATTAAACGTTTGTTATCATCTAAACGCGCTGTTAAAATTCTATACGCTTCATTGAACTGTGACCGTTGCACAAGTAGATTATCGATTTCTTTCCTGAGGTGCGAATTTTCCGTTAAAACCTTATTGAACTTTACGGTTTTCTATTTTTAAAAAAAATTATCAACACATTAGATACACAGAAAAAAATTTATATATGTTGATATAAATAATAATTAATATTTAATTAGTATTTTATTATTGATTTCAGTCGTACCACGTGCAATTTATTTTCTAACAATTCCTCGTGTTTGCAAGTGTTGCGTTCGACTTTATTTAGTTTACTAGCCGAAGGTTCTCTTTGCTGTTTGAGTGTAGTATCCAGTTCGTTTTGTATTTTCAATACTTCTTTATCGATTTCATCGTGACATTTTTTTTGTTCTTCTAATTCATCGTTTGCAGAAATGAACTCATTCCATTTGTCAACTAAGCATTCTTTTAGATGTGTGTTATCCGACTCTTTCCGTTTGCCTGTACAAATGTTTATGTCTTCATATAGGGTCTGTTTTTCTTGTTCTAGTGTTGATACTATTTTCCTGCAGTTAACATTCAAATGTTTGCACAGTATTATAAAATAACAATGCTTAATAATCAATAGCTATTAAATCCGGTTGTCTAAAATAAAAGTAGGTACCTCTGTTTGGTTAAGTAACTGCCCATTTCTTCGGTGTAAGCTTTTTTGTTACTTTCCATGAGCATGTATTGTCGCTGGAGTCTGGCCAATTCTTCAGCCAAAATATCGGCTCCATTTTCTTCAATATCAATATTTAAATTTCCATCCATTTCAAATACAGCTGTGTATACCTCACAAAAAAAAACAGAGAATGAGCGTTTAATATACCGACGTCATGGGTAATCACGTTATTGAAAAAGCTAAAATCCAGTTGTAACTAGGATACCGGCATAATTGAAGGAACAGATTTCCTCCATGTACAGCAAACAAAAATGAAGATAATACAGTAAAGACGAAATATATAAATTATTTTTATAGATAATTTAATAATTAAATTAGTTTAGCTTACATTTAAAAGAGCCATATAAAAATGAATAATATATATATGAGGGTGGTTAAAATTTTCATTTTTTGTAATTTTGTAACTGGCACTACTTCAATTTTTTGTTATTTTTAAAAACGCGAGTATGCCGAAAATATTAAAATAAAATTGGTAAAACATATTCCGCTGATCCCACGATTTAAACAAAAAATAATGAATTATATATTTTTTTTATTATTATTACCCTCGACAGCAAAGGCCATTGGGTTAATGAAGTATAATTGCATATGTAAAATATAAAAAATTAATTTTTATAATAATTATTTTTGTTTTAAATAGAAATCCTAGTAATATCTAGTAATTTTTAATAGAACCTATTAAATAGAAAATAGAAGTAGAAATTGAATAATTCTAACTAGGTAATAATTCCAAGTTAGCTCAAAGTACTGACCAGAAATTATTCATTAACTTTTGCTGTGTCTTGACGTTTGTTTGGGTTTTTGACATAAATTACTATAGAATTCAAAAATAACATTGGAATCCGGGAGGGATGGGGGCTTTAAAATAACAACTTTAAGATGAATTTGCTGAAGTATGCGTAGGTTTTTTTGCTACTTGGTGTGGATATCAAATTATTTTTATTTTATCATTTTTGTGTGGCTTTAACGTTTAGTTTTTTTATGTTCGTTTTAACTCAAAATGCACTTTGCAGGACTAAGTAAAAAAATATGGCCAGAAACATTATTTAATTGGGTTTACTTAAGAGAGCAGAGAAAAACTATAGTATCCCTGTCCTCGTTATCTGAAACACATCAGATGCTTCAACGAACTTGTAGGGATTTCGCAGAAGGAGAATTAAAACCTATAGCGACCAAAACTGACCAAGAACATCTATTTCCCAAAAAACAAGTATTATACGAGTTGCGTGGTGCGTAGAATTAGATTTGGAAATGTAAACAGTTTTTCATGCTTATAGATCAAACAAATGGGAGAGTTGGGTCTCATGGCAGTTTGTATTCCAGAAGAGGTTGGAGGTACCGGCCTTGACTGTATGTCCTACGCTTTAGCTGCAGAAGAAATTTCTAGGTAAGCTAGTTCAACGAAACTACACACATTAATAACCATCCTAACTGATAGGCGTAAATAGAAAAAAAGGCTAAGTACCCGAACATTTATTTTAGCCCCTGACTCTTTTTCTTTAAACTTAAAAAAAATTTGAAAGAAATATAGCCGTTGCGCATCAGATATAAAAATGTCTACTATTATTTTGACTGTTGATAGATGCTGTGCCGCGACGGGTACCATAATGGCCGTGCACAATATTTATCTGAATGCTATTAATAATTTCGGTAATAAAAAACAGAAAGAAGAGTTTATCAGGCCTTTCACCAGCGGTGAAAATATAGGTTCATTTTCATTAAGCGAACCCGGTATGAAAAATTCAATAGCATAACTCTCCGGAAGAAAGTAACCTATACTTATTAGCTGTTTAATTAAGCTTATAGGTTTGGGCAGTGATGCGGGTTCTGTTACGACGAAAGCTATAAAAAAAGATTCCCTTTATTATTTAAGCGGAACAAAATCCTGGACGACCAATGGCTTGGAATCGAAAGCCGCCGTTGTATTTGCGTCAACGGAACCGTCGAAAAAACACAAAGGAATAAGCGCGTTTTTGGTGAAAAAAAGTTTTCCAGGTAAGACGCAATGAGACGTAATGTATTTTTTACCTTGAGCGGCAAGATAGTGATTAGCGCCAACTTCAGATAAATAAAAACTTTGAAATTACATGTGTAAAATATAGTAAATTGGTGTCTAATATTATATTCGATTTTACAATTTAGACCATTTAAACATATTTTCATTTATATCAATTTTTCATTTTAACTTTTATTTATATCGTACTCAATTGACTTAAGAGTCCATTGGCGGTGATCGGGGGGGGGGGGGATCTTGGAATACTAAAAACCACAAAACTTAACCCTTTCGCTACTGGCTTCCTCGTACGAGGATTTAACTTTAAAAATCGAATAAAATATTAACAACGTACTATCATTATCAAAAATGACTTTAAACACAAGTTCTAGTATAGATTGGTGATAAAAAAAATCGACACAGATATATTGATAATCAATATCAGCCGGATAAGTAAAAAAACTGTTTTGAAAAAAAAAATCCCAGAAACGAAAGTGTTAAAATTAGTGCTTTTCAAAGTCTCTATATTTATTTTTTAGTGAGAGATTTGTTGAAATAAAAATAAGTGTAGCACTTATTTTAAGTTTTAGTTTTTTTTAAGGTTTTTAAAGTCTCATTTAGGTTTATGTAAGTTACTACTATGTGTTTACTCCACATACTAATGGGGAAATTACGTAGGTATCTTACTACCTAATTATCTATATATGTGTATGTGTAATTAAAATTCTGTTTAAAAATATTTCAACAGGGTTTGTAGTGGGGAAAAGAGAAAACAAACTAGGCATTCGAGGGTCGTCGACGTGCAATTTTATATTTGAAGACTGTCCCGTGCACGAAGAAAACGTTCTTGGTGAACTAGGAAAAGGATTCAACTACGCAATGATGATTTTGGGCGAGTTACACTTTAATAAATAAGCTCAAAAATGTATAGCTTCACTCCATCAAGCACCCTGCACCAGCTTTAGGCTATACTAATGTGACTATTAATTGGGTTTTGTTATTTCAACAGACAGCGGACGTATCGGCATTGCGGCCCAAGCGTGTGGTATTGCTCAGGCATCTCTTGAACTCGCCGTCGATTACGCCAAGAAAAGATCAGCGTTTGGAGCACCGATTTCCAAAATGCAATCGATACAGGTATTCGGTATTTCCCCGGTACATAATCTTCGACGGAATTAAGAGTGCTTAACACGAAAAACAATTGTTTTAGAACAAAATTGCCGACATGGCGCTCAGATTAGAAAGCGCGAGACTGCTGACATGGCGAGCCGCTTCGTTAAAGGACATGGACAAACCTTACACAAAAGTATACTTATTTTTATTATCAACAACTAATTACCGATAGTCATCATGAATCTATAACAATATGAAGTGCAAACCTATTAAGTGTAAAAAATTGTAATTTGCTCTCCTGAACAATTTCAGTTGTTGTGACTTAAAACAACAGTGCACTAAGCCACGTTTTTAAATATTATGTAATAATTATTTAAATTGGTTGGCTTTACAGGAGGCAGCTATGGCAAAGTTAGCGGCATCGGAAACGGCCACGTTCAACGCACATCAGTGTATTCAGATATTGGGTGGAATGGGATATGTGACAGATATGCCAGCCGAAAGATATTACAGAGACGCGAGGATAACGGAAATATACGAAGGAACGTCTGAAATTCAAAGAGTTGTGATCGCGGCTAACATCCTAAGAGAATACGAATTGTAGGACATTTTTTAGGCTATATAACATGGGTTGTATTTTTATTAATTTTGTACCAGTTAAGACTGACGGTTAACGACAAATACACAATTTACGAACTACCATATTATTAATAAAAAGCATTCTTATGCCAAATTAGTCGCTGAATTTTCGAAAGTAGTCTGGAGAGGGATGGGGTTAAAACATCCCCTGGATGAGTTCCCTTAACTAAAGTAATCATATACTATTCACACTTTTTTTTCTTTATAATTTAATATATATATATATATATATATATAAGCTCTACGTTTTAGTTTTTACATGTTCTCGTTAAAATTTACCCATAAACCAATTGTACCTACTAATAATAAAAACAAAAAAAAAAACTTCAAGAAATAAACGGCAATTTTATCGTCTATGGTATATCTAGCTATAATAAAAGATAATTTTGTTTCGCCTATTCTTGTTTAAAAGTATAATATAAACTAATAAATATATTATATTATGTATTATATAAACACAGATAAAAAATGGAAAAAAAAATTTGAGATTGTTTTTTTAATTTTAAATATTTTGCACTTAACGTATTTCCATGTGTATGAATCTTACGAAAATGATCAAATATTTGAAAGTTGTAAAAAAACGTTTATAAAGTATTTAAGTGTATATTTAAATATTTGCACCATATAGTGATTTACACATCTACTATTCAAATATGCAATTGTTTCAGGTATTTTAAGTATTTAAAACTTTATTTATAATAAAATAGTACAATATATTATTATTATATTTCAATAGTAAAAAATTTTTATTTTGTTGCGCTGTTAGGGTTCCCACTTCCCAATCATCCGGTTATTATCATTAAATATCGAGTAAATCGGCCCTGACATTAAACAAAAGCTTCCTTGTACAAAATTTTTCATTTAAACGTTTTCTGTTGAACACTTATAACAACATCTATAGTTGGAACTTTTGTGTTAAAATTATTTAATAGTCGTTCAAATGTAACTGGCTCAAGATTTTAATTTTCTGCAAAACATTATAATACATATCAATTATGTTATTATAATTTTTTTTGTATAGCAAGAGCAATTCTTTCCAACTTTTCTAAACAGGTTAATTATGAGTTCATCAACTATAATGTCATTGTATGCTAAAAATTGTACATAAAAAGGTATAGTTCCTTAAGTATAGTAGACTATCCATTTGAAATTTGTTTAAACATGATTTTTTATTAGTTAATAGTAACCGATCAAAAACGAAATAAGTGAACAAATATTATTGTATTTCGAGTTGGCTTTCAATAGTACACTTGAGCCAAATATTGTACATAAAAACTAAATAATAACTGCAACAAATGATTAATACTTTAAACTCGTTTAAACATATGTTTAAAGCTGGTGAATTTTATTGTGAATACATTTCTAATTATTTCTAATAGAACATAATTTTATCTTTAATTTACTTACTATTTTGATAGTTTAAAAAAATGTACTTACGTTATTACTTCTTTAAAATTGTTATTTCGAATCAATGCCTTTACTCGTAGTAATTCTTCAGAGCACACCTGTATCAATACTAATTCTACTGGATAAACCTTTATTAAACACCACGATTTCTTCGACGATAAAAGTACCTATACAAAAAAAATTAGAACATGGTTTTCTATATTGCAACCTACAAGAATCTTAGCTAAAATAGAACCAGGTAACATTATACTATACTTACTTTCGAAAGTTTTAAAAAATATTTCGTTGTGAACAAAACTTAAGAAAAAAATGTATTTACCCTACATGGTTTATACAACCATGAGAAATAGTAGTCGATACAATGTAATATACACACTGTATAAGTATTATATTTATAGCTAAGTATTGCGTACATAAAAAAGTCAAAGTACCACGCATCGGTGTCAAATACAAAAAATGGAAATGTGTTATATAAATATTTAAAATAACATAGTCGGCAAAGAACAGGCCTATTGTGTAGGATTGCCACAACTTAAAAAAACATAGTTTTGAAGAAATTAAATTTTAAGATTGAAACTGCTCCCAAATTAGTTTTAAAGCTTTAATTTCAATACTTTGAAATTACTTATGTTATCCAATGCTTGTTATTTTAATATCAGGCTACTTAATTAAATTTTCACCAGACACCAGAAATTTAGGTTATTGTGATTTAGCAAAAAGGTTTTCAGAAATGTAAACTGCCACATTTGGTTTTTGTGGCAATTTTATCATTTCAAACCACATAATATTATGAACGCTATAGTGAGAAATGTGGCAGTTTTTTTTGTTAAACTTATTTAATGCTACATTATACAAAATGTGGCAGTTCATTATTGTTTCACGGGTGCCATCTGGTTAATATAATTATTACGTCAAAACGCCTAAAATCGAATAGAGAATCAGTCTTGATTTCTTAATTTTAGCTATAAAAACATCCAAACTATGCAAAATCTAAAAATGTGGCAGTATTATTTTTTCTTTAACTGCAAAATTGAAAAAAAATTCAATGCGAATACACATGTATTAAGAATGTATGTATAGAAACGTTGGTTGAGTTACGACATGAGACCATTTTGTAGATAAATATGATAGCAATAGAATTGTAGCCTTAACTAAAAACAAAACGAAATTTGTAGTAGTGGCAGTCGTACGAATAAATACCACGTATGTTTTTAAAAAGTCAATACATGACAGTACAAAACAACACAGTATTTTTTTTTAATATATTAGACAAATTGTTGGGGTTTAGTACCTATAGTATATCATTTGACTAGTAGTAAAGCTTTTAAATATTTTCAATTTGAGTTTTAAAACATATTTTCGACTATTGTTCGCACACAATATTAAACTGATACTCTTGCACCAATTTTTATATTTTTCAACTATAATTTATTTTGTGCTAATCATGTTTTTACGATTAATCGTGTTTTTTCTTACTGCAAAATTAGTCTTCGTTCAAGCAACAGATTCAAGTATTATATTTATCTATTTATATTATATAAATTATACATGTATAGGTTGTATGCTAACTTAATCAAGGTACCGAAGCAATGATTGTTCAGGAATATAATGTCCAAAACCTTGCTTGAAGTAATCATGGAATAATCATTACTCCGAATATATTATCAAATGGTTTATATAGATCTTCAATGAATCTTATAACAGGCAACAGCTTATAGTATGATTCAACGTGTTTTGTTGATATTAACTCTACGAGAACAATAATTGAAAGATTTGTAGAACTAGGAAGTTAAAAAAGGCAATCGTGTTATGTGACAGATTTAATAATAATTATTGGTTATTATAATCACTATTTAAAGGTTGTAGGGAATTATCTACATTTAAAAAATGATAATTACAATATCAAAAATTATATATTATTTTATAATCATCATTACCTATTATGTTTTATTACAACTATTACGATAGTATTACATCTAGAATTATATATTCATTTCTGTGTTGTTTTGAGAAAATTGAAAAGCTAATTTGTTAAATAATTATAACTGTATTATTTAGTATTCATTTAACTTTGATTTAGAAAAATATTGAGGAATGCTCCGGAACGATTACTCCGATTCCTTGTAAAATGAACCCAATATACTTTTTTCATTACAGGTGATGCAATAGATCTTGGTGATCACCAAGATTTAGATTTGGAGTTCAAACTTGACATGACGAGTAAAGATTTGTTGAATTATTGTTATAGTCATAGCACATTTCGTAGAACGAAACTTATCCCAAGGCAGTCTTTACTATACAATTCTTCTCAAAATTCGGAAGATACAGTAAGGGTGTTACAATGGAACGTTTTGTCGCAAACTTTAACTAATGGTGATTTTAGTAGTTGTCCTACTGAAGCATTGCTATGGGTTAACCGACGATGTCAAATACTCGATGAGATCCTGGCATTTAAATCAGATGTTATGTGCTTTCAAGAAGTTGATCATTTTGATTTCTTTAGCAGAGCCTTGGCCACTCAGTCATATAGTGGTGTATTTTTACCCAAGATATTTTCACCTTGTATTTTTAAAAAATTAAATAATGGACCAGATGGGTGTGCAATATTTTACAATCATCAAAAGTATCAGCTCTTAGGAAAACATGAGTTGGTCTATTTCCATTCAGCAGAAAATTCGAGTAGTCGACATGTGGCATTGTTAGTTGTACTAAAAAATAAAAGTTCGTTGAACAAGTTATGTGTAGCCACCACTCATCTCAAAGCCGAGAAAAGTGATAAGATGGCATTTTTAAGAAACCAACAAGGCGAAGAGCTTTTGAATTTTGTCACCCAATATACCAGTGACTGCCCGACTGTTATAATCGGTGATTTCAACGGTGAACCTACTGAAGCCGTATATACAACTATGATCAGTGACCCTCAATTAAACTTAAAAAGTGCATACAATACATTCAATAAGGAACCAGAATTTACAACATTGAAAATTAGGAATGGACGCGAAATAAAAAGAACTATTGATTACATATTTTACACTACAAAATACCTAACTGTTAGTGGCATAGTTGCCATGCCCCGTAAAAAATCAATTGGCAAAAATAGAATTCCCTCGTTTACCTATCCTTCCGACCACTTCTCTTTGGTTGCTGATTTATTCTTTAACAAACCATAAGGATTTCCTTATATTTTGTTAAAGAAAAAATTATAAAAAAAAAATAGAACTATTAAATATTCTTGTACATGACATTGAATTTGGTTTTGAAATTCCGACACACAACTTAGTAATATTAGTATTACTACCTCTAGGCTCTAACTTCCTCAGCCCCAATATGCTCCATCCTCACTGTGCCCCGACCCCACTGTATTGGTTTTTATTTACATTTTTGTAATTTAATCGCCTTGTCAACAGATGTTCGTAATTGTTAGTGTTACATATTAGTAAGTAATAAAAAATAGTAGTTTAACTTATTGTAAAAATAACTCTTTGTTTTATTTAATAATAATTATAAATTAAAATAATGTAAAGGCTATTATTTATAGTGTTTTTTATTAAACACTTCAATATTTTCGTAATTATAAAATAATGCATTTTCTCCTTCTTTTTTAAACCACTAGATATCACAAGGTCAACTTGTTTGCTGAGTCTTTTTTTGATCTTATCATGTGTTATTGGACTAGAAATTGTGTTAAACACATTCTAATAAGTACCCAAAAATAAGTGCAAATATGAAATGAAAAGTTTAAAAAAAAATTATAAGTTATGAAATGTTTCTTCTTCTTTGGTTTTTCAGGCCATCAAGACCATGACGCTAAACAAATTTCGTTCCATTTCTTATAACATTATTATTTTTACTAATTTGTATATATTTAAATAGTCAACCTTTTCCCCTTCAATATCGAGATTTACAGCTAAACCGTTTTATATATTTGTCCGATTAAAATTATGGGCTACTAAAACTTTTAGATTTTCTTTAGATACGGTGTTATCAAAATACGTTGAAAAACCAAAAAAATATGAGAGCTTATTGCTTAAGGTCTGAAAATTAAATTGAATAAAGACCTTATGTGAGTAAGTATATAACAGAACGACCAATAAAATTGCAGATCATCTTTGAACTAGGTCTAACTCGCTGAAATCAGCAAGTCAAATTAAAAACCAAGATGATTTCAGTTGAAAAAATATGTTATTCATATTATAACCATAGTGGTAGCTGAAAAACTGTGACCAAAGAAACCGATTCTTATCAACTGACGTCTGATAACAAGAATGATAACAGTTTACCTGATACCTCATGTCCTCCATGGCTCCATCAGCCATCATACCGCACTGTACCATTCGGCGAATACACCCGTAACCGTATTAAATTTTCACGGCATATTATTTATTAAGTTTTGTCTTTATTTTAATTAAAAGCATTTAAAAATATTTGACATACCTATAGTTCGTGATACATTGTGCAAGGTAGTTAGCCTACATAGTAGTAATAATTATTTGTATTTTAACTCTTACTTTACTTTATTATAACTTAATTTTACAGTTAAGTGTGTTTGTGAAATATTTCCAGCGTTAACTGTTAAGCATGCGGTCGGCTTGAAAAGTATTGTGTAAAAGTTACAATCTTGTATTTGTATAATGTCTGATTCAACGGAATCCGGGATCAGTTTTTTATCCAATTGGAAATTGTGCCTTGCTGTATCGGTACCTTGTCTTGCCGTTGGTCTTGGAGTTACATACTTCCTATATTCTAAAAAACCTGTCAGTTCCAAGACATCCAGTGACATCAATACTGATGTTGTCAAAAAAACCGAGAGCAATGGTGTTGTCCCAAATGTAAAGGATTCTAAAAAGGTTAATGATAAGATATTATTTTTAAAGCTATATTATTATGGTATTTATGTATAATACACATATTATTATATAATAGGTGTTAGTTGATCAAATAGAAGAATTTAAAAAGCAAGGCAATGCTGAATTTTCTAAGGGCAGCTATGACGCAGCTATCACATTCTATACCCAAGCAATATCTATGTGTCCGGATAATGAAAAAGGATTATTGTCTGTTGTATATCAGAATCGAGCAGCTGCTTACAGTAAATTGGTAAAGATATTAAATATAATCGTGTAAATTAATATTACAATACACTGGATTATAATCTTGATACCTAGTGGTTATACCACATACATTAGATAATCAATATATTATATTTTTAAATTGTTAACTGGCATATAAGCAATTTAAAATAAATTCTGTATAATCTATAATTATAATGTAAATAAGTTTATAGATGTAAAGTTATTAAAAAAATTTTTTTTATAATTCAACTGTAAATTATTCAATAATTATTCTATTATGTTATAGAACAACAATGAAAACTGTGCCAGTGACTGTACTAAAGCATTGGAACTAGTTCCAAATTATAAAAAGGCATTATCTCGAAGAGCCAGGGCGCTTTCAGAATTGAAAAATTTTAAACTAGCATTAGAAGATATCACTGCTGTTATCATGTTGGATCAATTTCAAAATCAAACAGATTTATTGTTTGCAGATAGTGTAATAAAGAATTTAGGTAAAATGATTAATAGTTTTTATTAATTAATATAGTTTTATACACTACACCCTTAATTATTTGTTATGGGACTAGTGTATGTTAATTAGTAAGTACGGCAATGATGATTCTTTACTGGTTATTTAGTTTTGATTCATATTATTTTAGCAGTCATAATAACATTTTAAAAAATTAGTCTTAACTTTAACATGGCCACGCAGAACCAATATTTATGATTGTTTTATAGGATAAACATCCGTTATCAAACTCATAAAATATAATGTTTTACAAAGGTTGCTAACCCTGTTTTTATAAATTTGTGTACCTTTGTAAATGTTGAAAATCTACCAATATACAACCCTTATAAATATTATATTCTTTAGGTTTGTTAATAGGCGTTTAACTCAAGTTTGTGAGCTATGTGGCCATGATTTTTACATAAAAATGTGTAGATGTACTAACACTTTTAGTTTTTCTACATGTCGTATAAAAAATTGATAAAGTAAATAGTTGAGACTGAATTTTTTTAATGATTTAATCAAATATAAACTAACCTTTTGTGACTTGTGCCTTTATATCAATTTTGTTGAATATTCTACTCATACTTTTTTAATTTTATAATTACAAATAATTATTACAGGGCAACAAAATTTGGCAGATTATACCAAGAATCATGTTTTTAATTTGCCTACTAAGACATTTATTGACAGTTACATGAAGTCATTCTGTGATGATCCATTTAACGATGAATTTTCTCAAGCTTTGTTGCAATCCGATGTGAAGTAAGTCATATAATATAAATTTTATAAAAAGTGACATAAATGTATTTTAAAATGTTACAAACTATAAATTAAATACATTTAAGCTATGCTATAAAATAATGATGTTTTAATTAAGTAGTTTTTGTGTTGTTTTTTAAGTTAAATAAAATGTTTAAATATTTTTAGTTCCGGACTCGAGTTGGCTTTGAAATGTATTAGAGACAAAAACTATGATATCGTTGAAGAAGCTTGTAAAGAAGAGTTGGAGAAGACTGATAATAGTTTAGTCCGTAGAACTTTAGCTTTAAATTTACTCGCTACATTCACTATATTACGAGGTGATTATCATGAAGGAATTAAAAATCTTACAGCTGTAATTGAAACCCCAGGAGTTCCTAATAAGGTATGATGTTAAGTAATTTGTATTCTATAATATTACACATAAATTTGTTTTATTATCATTTGGAACAATATAGTATTATAGTAGTATAGTAAACCTAGCCTTTTTTTCATCAAGTTTGTTTACATTGTTGTGTTCTGTTTTGTAATTAAAAATTGATTTTTCAGTTGATTATAAATTCGTTAATTAAACGAGCATCCGTATACCATCAACAAGAACAAGTGGAAAAGTCATTTGAAGATTTAAAAAAAGCAGAGGAAATTGATCCTAATAGCTCAGTAGTGTATCACCATAGGGCTCAAGTAATATATGTTTTTTTATAATAGGTATATTGATATATAGATAATAGAATTTTAGCAGCCCAACGGTGATTGTACCATCAGTGTACCAACTGTTTTCAACTCTTCCTAGATTCTTTGGTCTTTCCTTGTTTGCGGTGTTTTTACGCTAAGCCAACAACTGCTCTTTTTTTCCCCTCTGCGGTGTTTTTAGCCTTGGGCTAACAACCGTGGTCCTAGTCCTCTTCTGTCTTTGGTGTTTTCAGTTTCATACTTACAACCTTCCTTGCTTTATATTCTTTTATTAGTGATTTTTCTGATATTATTATCTATTGGTTCGTTTTATTCATTTTTTATAACTATTTCTGTACTCCGGACATATATTGTAAGTAAAAAACTCCAAACTTTGTTTTCCAAGCATAGTGATAATTCACCAACAGTGTGCTGTTTTTGTTTGTTTAAATTATCATAAATTATTATTAATATTTATGTACATAATTTTATTCATATGCTAGTAATATGTTTCTTAAAAATTCATAGATTTACCTGTTACAAATGAATAGTGAAAAGGCAGTTGAAGATTTTCGAAAAGCTGTTGAACTCAATCCTAAATTTGTATTGTCAAGTGTTCAATCGTGTTATGCTCAATACATGCACGCAAAACAAATGTCTAACGAGATGGATGTTGAAAAATACCTGAGAAAATTAAAAGAATTTGTAATTAAACATCCAGATAACGCTGAAAGTTATACACTTTATGCTCAAGTAATTGTATAGAATTCATTTTTAATATCCAATAAAATATCTAATATTGGCTGTTATTTTGTAATGTAGGCATTAACTGATAAAGAAGGGGCATTTGAAGAGGCAGATTCATTGTTTAAGAAAGTACATGAAATCTATCCCGAAAACGCTACATTCCTAGTTCACAGAGGTATTCACTTAGATATATTTATACTAATATAATGTGTTGCATCGCAGTTATTAAATAAATGGATACTAATATTCACAGCATTGATCGCTCTATCATGGAAAAACTCGTTTGAGGATGCGTTCAGTTTTCTAGATCAGGCGCTTAAAATTGACCCTAAATGTGATTACGCTTACGAAACCCTGGGAACACTATACATGCAAACGTGAGAAATTATTATTGCTATAAAGTTTTAAACATACTATATTTATTATACATGTATATTTAACATAAAATTATGTAAATAAAGAAAATTTAAAAATAAATCTGATAGAAATGTGAATAAAGTATGTTTATAATACTAATGTTTATATTTCAGTGGTAAATTAAATGAAGCTGTCGCCTGTTTGGAAAAAGCCATAAATTTAGCAAAATCGGAAAAAGAATTATTGCATGTGTTTTCATTGAGAGATTCAGCTAGAGCGCAGTTAGCAGTTGTCGAACGGCTAGGTTTGACACCACAAGTATAGTTGTTCAAAATCAAGCCAATTAAAATATTCTTATCTGTTGTATCCAAACATTTTAAATGAATGATTAAAGTATTTTTACAATAATTCTAAAATTGCATATAATATTTTGTTATTTATTTTTACATTTTAAATAGAAAATTTGTTTTTAAAAATAATTTAAAAAAAATAAAAAAACTATACTTTTATTAGTATTTTAAATAAAATATAGTATACGAGTATTTTATATTTTTTTGTAATACTACATTTATAGTTTAAGCATTTAAAAAAAAAGCTGTTTAAAAGATAGGCATAATTCAAATAATAATAAAATTATTTTAACTTTTTTTTTCCTCAATCGGCTTGCAGCATTTTAAGACAAAGACCTCAACTGCAAGACACAAAATATGCGACATGCCACTATTTTTCATAAAGTTCTTTTTCTTATTAAGAAAACAAAAAAACAAATTTGTCTTTAATGTGTATGTTTTAATAAGCTGAAGTAAAAATAACTTGACTATCCAAATGGATTTTGTTTCACTATTATTAGTCAGAATCAAGCCTAGGCATAATATAAATACATTTTGATTAAAAAGTAAAATAATTAATAAAAATAAAAATGCATTTAAATTAGGTATTACTTAAATAATAAATAAAATTGTATTTTTATTTTAACGAATTTAAATAACAAATAAAAATGGAACTAAAAGTTTAAAAAAATGATTTTTTTTTAATAAAAGTTTAAAAAATTAAATTAAATTTTTATTGAAGAGCTATTTTTTATTTGTTAGTTAAATAAAAAATAATCAGGTTTGACAGTAAATGAACAGTAAAATTTTCTTTAATAGATTTAATAGATTCTTTGGTCTTTTCTTATTTGCGTTGTTTTTGGCGCTAAGTCAACAACCAAGGAAACAAGAAATTCCAAAAAGTCAATGACTCGGAATTGAAAACTAAAGTGTTGTAGTGAAAATTATATTAGCATTTATTTTCAAAATTGACAGGCTGTTTCGTTGCGTCTGCTGTGTGTCTCGTGAACTTATCACAAATTTCGACAAACCATATGATTCTAAAAATTAAAATTAAAATAGAAAAAATATAGTAGGTTATTATAAACCTATTAGTTTTTGTGCTATTTATTTAAAATGTATATTAGTTAAAAAATAAAATTCCCAACAACTATACTCAACACTTTTGAAACAATTATATAGTTATAATATAGAATATATAGTTCTAGGTGCCGCCGGGCGCTGATTTATAAATTTAACAATGATTATTTTACCGACTAATTGTTGTATGTATTTATCATTTATTGTGTGTGTATATTCTAGATATAAGATGTGTGAATATACTGAATGCGATATTTGTTTTATTGAGTTTGAAATTACAAAACTATACTGGCCTAGTCTGTATAGCGATCTTCAACATTTTAAAAGTACGCATACAAAAAAAACCCAATTGGCACATATTAATACATAGTGTTAAACATTAATTTTGTTCTAAAGGGAAGTTGGATTGAAAAATCATAATTAAAGTTGTCGAGTAATTTATCAATTTTGTTTTTAAATGATTGCAAAATTTGATATTTATAATTATAATTACACTCTATTGCCCTAAAGGGCGCAAATAAACAATTCGTCTTCTTCTTATTATTATTAAAAGGTTCACTGAAGACACACCCATTTATTATGCATCAATGCTACAACATATTAAAAAAATATAAATAAGAATGTTTCATTAAAAAAGCACTAATAAAAAAAAGATGGTCCGACTTAAATTTTGTAGTGTTATGAGTGCTTTGGCTACTTAATATGGTATAAATTTGTAAGGCCTTTAGGTCTGAAATATTACCAAAATGGCGTTCGCTCATTCGTATATTTATTAAGGAGCAAAGGATAGGTAATATTTGGCAAAACATTATCTAGTAGCTATTTTAAATATGCCGACTCTTTTTATGTTGGAAAATTTAAAAATATTAAGTTATTCTAGGTTTAAAACTTTTATATTTTATTAATTATTTTATATAAATATTTTCTCTTTCTCGGTTATAAACAATTTAACTTATATTTAGACATAAATATAGATCTGCGTGATACACAACAAACTACAATATAAATTAATTTGCGAGGTGAATATAGAAGCATTTTGGATTCAAACAAACTGAATTCCCTATTTAATCTCTAAACACACTGAGACACATACTTGAGAGGGGGCTACACCCGCATATTTATTTAAGGGTCCGGGATAGGCAATTTTTTTTGCAAAATTTTAGTTTTAACGTAAAACTATAGTGTGTATTTATTAGTGCGGCAATGGCAATTCTTTTTTGGTAATATAATTTTTTTACCAGATTATCACAGCGGCCATACCGTTTTTAAATATTTGTGTAAAAAATTGAGTACATAAGCAGCTGATTGTCGCGTTGCTATCCAAATATTTGAAAACTATATTGTTTGCTAAAATAACAGTTTACGGTTACAGTTTATTCGTTACCTTCATTGTCGTTGCAACTGTACGCGTCCAGTTTGTATGTAAGTACGGTTATAATTTGATAATACATATTACACCCTATGTATCGCACACCTAGATCAAAACTGTAGCAACTCAAAAAACACCTTTTTGCAGAAATCCCAAAAAATGTATTTTCAAGTTAAATTACGTTAATAAAACGGGTTTGTACAATCAACGTACGTGCACTCCGGGCAGAAACTAAAGTTTTAAACGGTTTTGGTACTTAGAACTGTGGGATTAGTCATTTTGACAAAAGGTCCCTACAGCGCCATATTTTGGAGGTGATCGAGATAAATTTAAATTTGTTTTGTTGGTTCGTTCAACTTAGTTTGTAAAATCCGAATACACAAATAACTAAAAATGCCCACTTTTTGAGTTGTTACAGTTTTGATCTAGGTGTGCGATAGCATATATTAGGGTAGACCTTATTTTTGGGTTCGGTGGAATTTCAAAAAGGAATTATATTCCATACACATTATTGTATTATATTATTATTATTCCTAGAGCTACCAACTGTATACAGCTTTTTCTATCCTAAATATATAGCTCCGCTGAATCCATTTTGTTTGGTCTATATAAAAGTTTTATACGAAAAACATGCACTATTGAATTTAAAGAATACACATTTTCTGAGAGATTTAGTTTTGTTGATTTTTAATAAAGTAATAGTATATTGTATAATATATATATATATATATATATATATATATGACCAAAAACCTACTATATTTATTATTTACATATTTTTAAATAGCTATAACTAAATACAATTTCGAAAATTCGCTAACGACAGCCCTTAAAAATAATTGTAGTGTTTAGATTTAATATTAGGTGTTTTTTACAGTAAAACTTTTCGAAATTCAATGCAACACTGATCTGCGCCCACACGACGTGTTTTACATAAAATTTAGGTAAGCGATTTCAGAAATAAGTGATGAATATAACTTTATTTAATTAAGTAATTCCAGCAAAATATCATTTTTATACTAAAACCTTTTTAAAATAGAATTGATTTTCGATTTAGGACGTCGTTTAAGGAACCCGAAAATAGACAATATTTTTTTCGAGAGGGTTATATTTTGGATTGGAATTTTTTTTTTTTACTAAATCGGGTTCAAAACCCCGTAAATGTTCAGGAAAATAACAAGTGCTGTATTTGAAAATCAAAAACAAGTACATTTTTAGGTTTGACTGTATACACAATACAACAACAGCTTCACTCACTCTTGTTTTGCCTTGTTGTTCACAGTTCAATAATTTCAGCTTTGGTCATTTGACCGTCGAACATTATTATTCATTGTAGCCAATATATTGTATTGTTTAATTTATTGATTATTAAGTTGTTTAGATAAATCGCACAAGTAACAACACAATGGATCCCGTTTTGGAAAGCTTGCGGGCGGGTGAATTCGAAATCCGTTCTAGATTTAATTTTTGGAAAAATTACAGCACAAATAACTATGGTAAGATATTCAATTTTCGTTGTAATTTATGGAAAAAAGTATAAAAAAAAACCTTACACAGAGCGAAATGTCAAACAACTTCCGCTGGGAAATCGGGTGAAAAAATTGGTTGCCGAAATTGAAAATGGATCGGATAATAATATTGAGTTGACCATGAGCAATAACGACCATCGTCATAGACTGGTCAATTGTACTGATATGTCGGACGTGGTCACACAAATATTAGAGTGTCGAATTGGTTTGATTACCGATTATGAGTTTAAGTCGACAAGTTCATTATCTGACGTACCCCTACAAATCATGAATTGAAAAAATGTCTTCGGAATAATGTTTTGTACTAATAGTAATCATATTACAATGTTATAAATTCTTTAAGTATATTATTTAAATACATCCATGCTTTTTTTCCCATCATGTCTTCTCACCCGCGTCACGGACGCCGCCGGGCCAAATACTATTGGGTGGTCTCAGACCCCTGCAGGTTTTTCCGTCTTCTTCGCTCTCCGATAGGCCTCACACTTCCCGCTGCCGAGATAGTGATGTTGTAATAGGCCTTTGGTGGGCCCTCCTCGGCAGGCCTTTGTTCCGATCGGCTCGGGGCCTTCGCCGATCGGCTCCGCTTGCCTTTCCGGTGCCGTGGACACCTCACACGGCCTGATCGGACGACTTTTGGATTTTGGCATTCTGGGACCCTGGTATCTGAAAACAGTTTTTTCGAATTTCAAACCCCCCTCCGTGGGCAGGCTTTTGGTCCGAATCGAACGCGGTCTTTGCCACTGATCCCGGCTCGGTCTCCCGTTTGCGTAGACACCTCACACGTCCAATTTGTTGCGGTGCGCCCCCTAGCGGGGTTTTTGAGCGTAACTGCCACTTAACGCACTCCGTATACGGGCCGCACACGGAGTGGTGCGAAAGCACAAATGCTGTAAACCACCCACTTGGAGAATTTATAATGTTTGTAACATTGTTTTGTTTAATTATTATTATTCATGTTTTCTAATTTGTAATAATATGTAGGTACACATTTTGTATAATATGAAAATTTATAAAAATTAAAAAATAAATTTGTAAATATAATAGTTTTGATTAATAATTATTGTTTGTTTTTGTAATTTGTATATTATATGTGTAACATACAAATTATAAATTTTAATAAAATCAATGTATTATTCAGCATATTATTAATTCAGTTAATATAATAAATCGTGTCTATCATTAAGTAAAACATGGGAATATTATTTAGAGCTTATACACGATTATAAATTGACACTTAAAAACTGTACATTAGAAGTATGCAAGATATATATTTATAATAATTCGATTATTATTAAAACTGATGTGATCTGATCTGATGTACATTTCGCACATGATTATTTTAGGTATTCGTGATTATTATTATATTATTTTCAAATTCAAACATTTTTATTATCATATTAGAAAAAATGTTCAGGGCCTATTTATATTACCAGTTACCACCTTAGACACTGTCTATGTGTCCAAGGCACACAATTGCGCTCTCTTCAGTCTACACATTATTATATTTTTACATTCAAACCATTTATTAACCAGAAATTTTACGAATCATTTGTCAAATACGCATTATATTATTTCGTTTTTTTTGTGCCATCACTAGTTATTATTATTTCAATCAATATTACATAACTGCTTTTAAAATAAAAGCTATAGGATAGTTTTGCAAATTACAACAAGTCAATCAGAACTAAGTATAGTGTTTAAATCATGTGTTTTAATAATACTATAGAATAGCCATAATTAATAACAAACAAGAATGATGTTTAAACACAACAAAAACACGAACATAACAGCATTATAATAAATATACAACACAAAATTCACGAATAATTCTTTCGAGTGATTGACAAAGCTAAAAAGTATTTATACGGTCTCAGTAATCTTTACTTTCTTCAATGTCTTCGGGGGCCATTTCTTCGTCATCGAAGTCCACTTCTTCAGCTGTAGCTTCCTGTCAATATCAAAGAAAATCGGTCAGGAAATGTATTATGTTATGTTATACTGAAGTACATCGTAATACTAAACAACTTAAACAATTATTAAGCATTTGCATATATATTCTGTCCTACAGCCAAACAATTAGTAAAAGACTCAACATTCTTCCAATATAAAATACTAGAATGTCCGAAATTAGAAAACAAGTGGGCTTTAAAGTAATAATACATTGAAAATACGCAAAACTTTATAAGACAGCAGCTCAAGAGGGGGGGGTCTATCTCTCATATCCCCCCCCCCTTTGTCAATACGCCACTGATTGAGACATTTGTTCAAGTTATTGGTTTTAAAATTAAAAACTAATAGGATTGTTTCAATATAGTATGTTACTCTCTAAACCATTGATTGTCAAAACTTTTTTTACATGAACATACCCCATATAGCATAGGGATCTGTAGAAAATTTGGGTGACGCTTTCGCCACCAGGAGCGGATTATCTCTCTAAGGAATTGGGAGGGGATGGCAATAAAGGGAAATCGATAAACCCTGAATAACTAATTAGATATTATTGAATCAACTGATAATAGTATCAGCTGATAAGAGATGATTAATAGTAGACAGAAATTCAGTTAATCATCTGTGCCAGGTAATCCTAATCTAGTAGACAGCTGACAGACATGTTCATGATCCAAATGTTTTTCTTTCAAGGGAAAGGTTGTACGGATTTTGTCTGCAAAGCGCTTTATTACGTCAAACAATATTTTCACGCTATACAATAGATAAACAGAGTTTTTCACTCATAATACCATATAGGAGATAGAACACTCCATAAAATGTCAGAAGGCCCACTATCGCTTGCTTTTGCATCTTTATTCCAATCGTGAGCACGTAGTATTAATCTTGTAAATCTCTATAATTACCTGGTATTGTTGATATTCGGAAACCAAGTCGTTCATGTTGGATTCGGCTTCAGTGAACTCCATCTCGTCCATACCTTCGCCCGTGTACCAATGGAGGAAAGCTTTGCGTCTGAACATGGCAGTGAATTGTTCGGATATCCGTTTGAAGATCTCTTGGATGGCAGTCGTGTTGCCGATAAAAGTGGCCGACATTTTCAGACCTCTCGGGGGTATATCACACACAGCGACTTTCACGTTGCTGGGTATCCATTCCACGAAGTATCTAACCAAAGAAAATAAGATTTATGATTAACACAGCCGATAAGCTCGGCACATTTTAATTCTGGATTCCGCGGGCAAGTCCGCTGATATGAAAAATAAAATACCCTGAATTCTTGTTTTGAATGTTCAGCATTTGTTCATCGACTTCTTTCATGGACATGATACCTCTGAAAATGGCGGCTACAGTTAGATAACGACCGTGCCTGGGATCGCATGCGGTCATCATGTTTTTGGCGTCAAACATCTGCGATGCGTTTGTCGTATTAGATAAATATTATAAATAAACACTGTTTTCATTATACACTCACTTGCTGAGTGAGTTCTGGTACCGACAAAGCTCGGTACGATTGGCTACCCCTAGCCGTTAACGGTGCAAATCCCGGCATGAAGAAATGCAACCGAGGGAAGGGAACCATGTTAACCGCCAACTTTCTCAAATCGGCGTTTAGCTGACCGGGAAATCGAAGACACGTGGTCACGCCAGACATGGTTATCTATACAGTTTAATAACTATGTTAGAATTGCACAATAAAATAAGCTGAAGAATCACATATTTTTAACAGTGGCGGCCACCTCAATCCTCAACTCTTCCACTCGGACTAGTCTTTTACATCTATGCTTCAACGATAGCCGTCCTTATACCTATCACACTTAATTTCAGTTCCTTTATTCTTATACCATTGATTAAATTGTATGACAACGCCTAATGCTCTGACAGTTTCTTATCTGTCTCGTGCCATGCCGATTTTCTCTTTCGCGATTTATCATTTCGGAATTTCGACACATTATGTGATTATGAGAACCTTACCGAAACCAAATGGTTGAGATCGCCGTACGTCGGAGAAGTAAGTTTCAAAGTCCTGAAACAAATGTCGTACAACGCCTCGTTGTCGATGCAAAAAGTTTCGTCCGTGTTTTCGACTAGCTGATGAACAGACAGAGTGGCGTTGTAGGGCTCGACCACTGTATCCGAGACTTTGGGCGACGGAACGACACTGAAAGTGTTCATTATCCTGTCGGGATACTCTTCCCTTATTTTTGATATCAACAGAGTACCCATGCCCGAGCCGGTACCTCCGCCCAAGGAATGAGCCAACTGAAAGCCTTGAAGACAGTCGCAGTTTTCGGCCTCGCGCCTTACGACGTCCATAACCGAGTCCACCAGTTCGGCGCCTTCTGTATAATGGCCTTTAGCCCAGTTGTTACCTGCAACCGTCATTTGATTTTTATTGTTATTATATCGTAGATCGATAATTATTACAATACAATGCCGCTAATTTCCATTACTTTACACCGATAGGTTAAAAAAAAAAATAATAATATTGATAATATTTAATGATATACCAGCTCCGCTTTGGCCGAAAACGTAGTTGTCTGGACGAAAGAGCTGTCCAAAAGGACCAGAGCGCACAGAATCCATGGTACCGGGTTCGAGGTCGACCAAAATCGCTCTTGGTACGTATTTCCCTTCTAAAAATGGATTATTAGTTATTAACAAAAAAAAAGAAAAAAGGAAATCGGTTCAATTCTAAAATAATTTGTTGTTTTCTTACGGGTGCTTGCTTCATTGTAGTACACGTTGATCCTTTCGATTTGTAAATCGTTGTCGCCGTGATAGGTTCCCGTTGGATCGATACCGTGCTCGTCAGAAATGATCTCCCAAAACTGAAACAGAGTAAAGCCGCCGACGAAACTGAATTACTATGGTTTATACCAACGGAAAACATAATTTCTATAATTATATTGACATTTGAGTGTCGTAGAGTAATGATTTTAATATAAAAAAAAATGTGAATCCCTTCAAATGTTCCATAACTTATAAGACTTCACAGCTCTTTCAGTTTAACGCCCCCTAACGATACGTTTTCTTTAAGGGTTGGTTGGTGTTATATTACGGTTCGATGTTTAATCAAATAAACACTTGCCGAAGAGGTATGCCGTACTTTGTAAGTGTAGGTATAATATTCTCTGGTACCTGCTGTTACTTGTCTCATTTCATTAAAAAAATAATGCTTTCTAATAAATCAGTTTTACTTAATTATTTATATCATGATATCGAACAGACTTTTAAGATTTCATTTGAAAACCATTGTGATAAATAGTATGAAAAATAATCAATGCGGCAAACAGAAACAAGATATTGTCATTTCAATATTATTACAATACTGGTTATTTGTTTAATTGTGACATCCTTAAGCAGTAAAACTACAGTGATTAAATATACAACTTAAAAAATACAATTTTTAAGTTTTAAAGGAAATCATAACAAGAATCAAAATCATCACGAATATACCTAATATTGTATTGATCTCATATCTCAGTTATAAAATATGATATATTTGTCTTGTTCTAAACACTTTAATATTACATCTGACATCAGTTATGGCTTGTAATTGGGCTTTTAACAGATATCTGTATTAACACGTGCATATTATTAAAAGACGCACGTTAAGTCCGGTTCAATGACATAAGCAAGTACTAATTGAAAAAAATTATTCTTGTTTTAAGTTGACATTTCCGTACATAGTATTTTTAAGTAATAATTTACACATGTCTAGTAAATGGTACGAGTCACATTAGAAACCGGCAGATACTCTATTAAATATTATTAATAGTACCCTGCACGACTTAATTAAAAAAAAAACAATTTTTTTGCAATACTTTCCTTATTATAATAAAAAACGTTACAGTAATCTATCGATCGATTTCGAATAGTTGAAATTAACTAGATTTTTTATAGTTGTATAATGATTCCGGTTTTTACCATAAGCTATGAATTAAAATATGTAAAACCGTTGCACGCATGAATTACTATATCATTTACATACTACATAGCTACAGGAGTTTTACTAAGAAATTAATGTAGGTACATTGTACAACTGTTGAAGACGGAAAAACGTGTTCTATAGAATATTAATTAAAATTATAGGAGCGTTGAAAACTCTTCCGAAAGTGAACATGTTCGGAGCTATTGGGTCATTTGTGTGACTTATGAAAGGTAGATAGATATTATAAAATACGTTTATGGGTTTATTCGAGGTATAAAAAAAGCGAAATTTTTATTTTTAATCTTAGCATCTAATTAACTAGATAAATCAACTAAATAAAAAGTTTTAATGGCATATTTCGAATCCAAAATGTAAAATCAAATTACTCGTTCAGCAAAAATAAAAAGCAATATCTGTAAGCCTATTTTTAAATGAATAGATCTTTGGAAAGTGTTAAAATTTGAAACTGCAACGATTCCATTTAATATAAGTCACGCATTTTCTTAGGAACAATTGCAATTTTGTAGTCTGTAATTTTGACAAAGTTTGTAATTCAAGTGAGTTTAAATTAAAGTGGTGATTTATTCTACATCATAATACATTTTTTAAGTATAATATATTATTTGTTGTTAACTTAAAACCATATCAGATTATCGAGACCACGTAACATTTTTAATTGCTAGGTTATTCTCGAAATATATGGTTGTTACTATTTAAGGTTCAAAAATTAATAAGTAAAGTTCTGAAAAGTAATAAAAACTGAAAATATTTAAAAATTATACTAAATTAAAATACGTCAACATTTTTTTAAAAGAAAAACAATATTTCAATGAATTTCCCAGATACTGAGTTACGTGAGGGTAAATGAATCACCCTGTATATTTGTTTTCCGACACTATTTAATTACTTTGTATATATGCCTTGTATGTGATACGTAGTATATATAATATACAACAACAGCATGTGTATACACATGTGTAGGTACTGTAGTGTGTGTAGTATTTAACAGACAAAAATAGCATTGAACATATTCATTATTTTCATCTGTGTTCAAGTGCGGTTCTTGTATACGTTTATTTTAGAAGCATAGACTGCATACAAACTCTGAGTAGATAAAATGAAGAATTTTCCAAAATATACATAATATATGTCATAGTATATCATATATCATCACTTGTAGACAAGATACTACATACAAAATCATGTGATAGGTCCATAAATCATAACGCACAATTTATTTTTTAATTACATTACCGACAAGTATAATATAATATAATAATAATCTCGATAATTGACCAATCTAATAGAATTTAAACTCAATGGTAATTGATACTTTAATGTTGTTTTGCTCATCTCCGTTTCGAATGCTATCGGGCTGTATTTTAAACGTTTACTGTTTCCACGTGGTCAGAAGTGTGTAAAATCGTCGTGTTGTTGCGGCAAAGAACGGTCGGTATTTTGTTTCTGGAATAGTGCCATCACACCAGGATTCGTAATCAAACGGGATATCCAAGAAAAATGGACACATGGGAATGTCACGACATTATGGTCTATGTGGACTATGGTCGTATACCCGGTGTAGGCTGAAACGTCTAAATATATATTTTAGAGCTTTAATGGGACGCTGCCAAACAATTACCGAAGACCGGATTGAGGATCAGTTTTCAACAAAAAAAAAAGGGGAAAAAATACTGATAAATAGAAATTTTGTCAACAATTTGGTAGGCACCAGGAAAAAAATCATTATATAGTTGAAAACAGGAGCGGCTTTTAGGTGTATAATATAGTATTATCACTCGTTACATGGGGTCACTACCCCAATAAAAGTTAAATTATATTGAAGATTTGGTTTTCTTTTTTGTCGATGGGGCTGTATTGTAATTAGGTTTTTAGTTCGTTCCTACCATCTGTAAACATTCAAACTGTCTCTGGTTGGATGTTAATGTAAACCGGTCGATTTTGACTCATTAGGTACACATTATGGTAATTTTGTGAGCACAATATCGACGAAACGACTAGTGCAACACACGTGCGGTCGACTGAAAAAAAACAATGTGATGACATTACTACAACGCACGATCAGATGCAAAGGGCATGAACGAATCGACTAAATAATTGTATTATAATAGATTGTAAAATAAATACTACCTATACAGATAATCTTTAATTTCGGTACGAGTCAAGAAGTGCATGTTATCAAAAAAACAAACAAAAAATACACAATTGTAAATTCGAAAAAATCAAGTTTATTTCCGTTTTAAGTAAAAATAATATTCGACAATTGACTGGTATTTACTGCTAGTCTAGGGATTATGGATACCTAGTTTAAATATACTACCTATTTCTTAGCAATAAAATGGATACTTGCTATGCGCTATTCCTTTTACCTGTGTATGCAAAAAGACACTATAATCTGTTGGTAAGATCGCGCGGCGTTCTATTTTTATTTTATACCTATTTGTTTGAAAATCAACAAAACACAACTGATTAAGCACTTGGTTTTCGGTGGTTGCGCAGCAGAAGGACCAATGGCGTCCCCAAATCGTAATTGAAGGAGGGACAAAATGATTTACAATAGGTATAAATAGTTTATGTTATAACTTTATAAAAAAATGCATAGCTTACAGTAAAACAAATGATCCAGTCGAGGGGGTAAGGCTATCACCCGCCATTCCCCTTTATTTGGGTATGCTTGTAAGAAGGACATAGATATAGGAATGAACAACGTTTAAAGGAGTGACCGCAAGTTATTGAGGGGAGGAAATTCCTTTTCGATTCAAAATCGATATGAGCTAAGTAATAATTTATTACTTAAATTACATATCAATGGCTTAATTAAAAAGTTATGTTAGTACATTTTTGGGCAAAATACAGTAAGGCAGGATAGAGATTTTTTTTTTTAAACGTGGTAAATAAATTTGTATATTTTAACCTCTAAAAAGCGTAAAAAAAATTCGTCAATTACTGTAAACAAAATATGTAAAGGACATAAACATTTTTAAATGATCTCTTGTAAAATCGTCGGTTTGTACGATATACAAAATGGTTTATTATTAATATGTAATGTATATTAGCGGGTTATGTTGTATTATTAATAATTCGTAATATTATAAAAATGTAAGGTAAAATATTAGTTGTCTGTATTTTTGTAAACCGTGCGAAGATGGTAAAAAAAAAGTTAGGCTGCTTCAATTCGAATTCCCTACTTAAATTTTCACTGAAATCATACCGCTGCATAATAATTTACATAATATATTTTACTCAGTGTATTAAATCAACTATGACTGTTAATTATTGTCTACGGCCAGAGGTGGGCTCGAGATCTATATGAGATCGACCAACAACCATAATAATTTAAATACGTAGGTATAGGTAATCATTGCTATATTATATTAGGCGTATTTATTTTTGTGTTCTCACTTTGGCTCCGATTTGATTTCCACACTGTCCGGCTTGCAGATGAAGTATTTCCCTCATGTTGTAGATTTATAGGTATGCCCGGTTACTGAAATACAGAATATTAAGAACACGGTCGGATATTTTGTGGTCGCGCTCGGCCGAAGTGTTTGGCTCAAATGCGCGCTACGGCGACGGACCAGAACAGAGAACTCGTTCAAATTACACACACACACACACCTAAATTATAATATGCTGATTGTTGTACTATGCCGAGATGTTGAGTCGGCCGTCTCCACCGTTGGTCGCCGTGACTGTGTATGACGTACGCAACGGATATGCGTTAAACAAGTGGGGGGGGGGGGAGAGTGTATTAAAAAGTATAACGTGCCATCATACTCATAGTCTGTGTTCTTTACCACCACTCTGCACTTGTAATAAAAATTACATATTATAACAGTATCACTGTTTTGTACGTTTTTTAACTTTTTTTTTAGCATTGTGTTGGTATACCGCACAGGACGTATATGCCGTGATTTTATACAGTAAACATGTTTTAATTTAGACAAGAATCATATTATAAAGCGATGAAAATAACTCGTAAAACGCGATTCCTCGTTCCACTCGTATTAATGTATTTTTTGTACGTGTATATTCCCCCTAAAAAAAAAATTTGATACGTCAAATATAATATTATGATTAAATTCTAATTTTTTAGTTTTTAATAATATTAATTGGTACTTAGTAATACTTGGTAGTAATTGGATTTCACAGAATAATCAATGTGACGCGCATTTCTAGATTTTTGACAAATAAAACGCATTACTTTGATAAAACATTAAATTATAATATGACTCGACAATTATTATTGTTGTAGTGTGCTAAAATTCGAACCAGCGTCAATATAATAGTATGTAAAATAGAAGGAGGTAAATTACCAGGACAGTAATAACAGATATTAACTGATTAAGGGGAACGGAAGGAGAAAAATGTTATAGTTTATACAGATCCTGTAAAACATTAAGTCACTTTTTATAATTTCTAACAAATGCATTTCAAATCATTATTTCTTTTCGCAAAGCTTGTTGCTGAACTTCTCTATGGAAGCAAAAATATGCATTTGATTTTAGAATTGCGTTAACTTTTATGTTTTTACTTGTTTTATAACATAATATTAGGTATAAAATTTAATTTTATAGCATCTAAAGAGTTTTTTAAAACAGCGTTTTAACTTTTAACCCCCAAAATGTAAGCTTTCTCAGAAAAATAACAAAATCAAATTATTAAAATTTAACAGAGAAATAAATTAAAAAATAATTTAAAGTTTTTTGTTTTGGTAATATTTATCTAACCTCTTATTCTACATTTTTACATTTTAGCTTTGATCCGAAGCTGTTTTATTGTTAAATTACAGATAAAAGTTCAAAATATGGCCAGTAGGCCGACTTCTTTTTGAAAATAATAAGCAAGAGGTACAGCTGCGCAATCACCTATAATCATATTTTATCTAATTAGGCAAATTTGTTGTTTTCTTAGGTAAAAAAATATAAATAACACCAAATTATAAAACAAAGTAATTATTTATTTAAACTAATACACCTTATTAATACCTTTAAACATATAAACAGACAATTGTTTAATTGTTTTTTCCTTTTCTTTTACTCTTATGTTCATTCACAACTTTGAGCACTGCATGATTTGAATCTTTCAAGTGTTGATGCAGTTTGTTTTTAGACGAAAATACTGATGCACATACACCACAAGCGTGGTTTGAACGTTTTACTTTGGTATTATCTACTAGTTTTAATTTCTTTTTATTCTTCACCAATTTTTCCGATACACGTGAAGGTCCATCTACAGATGGGTCTTCATGGGTTGTAACTACATCCTCTTTTTCGGTTTCAGCATTATTATTAACAATATTATCACAAACAGATTCTTGATCATCTCCATTAGTCTGCTTTGCACTAATTAATACAACATTTTCTTGATGTTTTTTAGATGTGCGATGATTGAAAAGAGCTTTTTCAGTTTTGAAAGATTGATCACAAGACAAGCAGTAAAGAACATTAAACTCTTTAACATTAGATGACTGTTTTTTTTTCTTTTTGCACACTTTTCTTTTACTGTCGGCAATATTATCATCTTCACTACTCAAATCTGCTTCTAGTACATCTGAATCTACATCAACGGGTACATTTAAATGGACATTTTTCTTTGATTTTTTTTTGTTAAATTCAACCTTATTATTTTCACTTTCTACGCTGTTTTCTGAATCATCAGAACTACTGAAATTATCACAATTTTCATCATCACAACTATTTTCTGCGTTTGACTTGCTACTGCTTTCTGCATTCGAATGATGTTGATCATCATCACTAGAATGACTTACATCATTAATATCCGAAGATTTTTTGCCTTCATTTGAATCACTGTTAATTATGAGTTCATCGTTCAACATCTCAGCTTTAATAATTTCAATATTTTCTTTATGTTTCTTTGAATTCTCATGATTCTGAAAAGCTTTTTCTGTCTTGAAAACTTTGTTACAAGCCACACAATATAGGCAATCAACAGTTTCGTCATTAGACTCTTCATAGTCACTTTCTCCATATTCAGCAATCAAACTTTCTTCAATTACTTTCAATTCTTCTTCAACATTTGAAAATTTTGTCCATTCTGATTCTTTGTAATTTGATAATTCTATTTGTTTCTCTTTAATTCTTTTCCGTCTGGCTTCTTCCATTCGTTTAACATTTTCAGCTGATTTTTGTTTAACTGTTTCTGCGTACGCTTTAACTCGTTTATCACGTTTGCGAACAAATTCCACTAAAGCTTGGATTTCATCATTACGTTCTTTTTTTGCCTTGTCACGAATCTTTTTATTTTCTTTTTCCATTAATTTAGCAACTCGTCTATTAGGGGCTTGCCGAATGTCATACTCGTCTAACCAACCAAATGGTTTGTGCGTGCTGAAATTACACCAAAAATTGTAGAATGGCCTAACGATTTCTGAATAATCACTATTAGATTGTCCAAATGTAGGTATTTCATCGGAATCTATTTCAAAGTAACTATTTTCTTCTATTAAAATATTACTAAATACCTCACGGTACACAGTATAAAATCCTTTTTCGTCATCAGCAAATCCTTTGTAACATGACGGAGAGAAATACTTAAATAAATTGATCTCGTCAACGGGGGTATCAGAGTTGCTATTGATAATATACTCGCGATGATTGTCATACCACTTGCGTTCACGAGGATCACTTAGCACTTCGTAGGCTTGTTGAATCAGTTGAAACTGCTCTTTAGCCTCTTCAATATTGTTTGGATTTTTATCTGGATGCCACCGTAATGCCAACTTTTTGTATGACTTTTTCAGATCTTCTACTTCAACATCTCTGGATACCTCCAGTACTTCATAAAAACATTTCATTGTGAGTCTTATTGATTACCTGCCAATTATATTAAATGTTTAGTCTTAATCTAAAACCACTGGATACTAAATATTATTATAATAGGTACAGAGAAGTAATTTGATTACACTTATGAAGTATAATATTAGATATTTAAAATCTGACTTACTTAACGATTATTCATTTTCTATAAGCAGATACAATTTTACTTAAAATTAGTCTACCGTCTAATAAGTAATATTTTATTTATTTATTTGACAAGTGTAAAATAAAAGAGTTTCAGCAATAAGAATTAATAATGATAAGGTTAAAACATGACAAAGTGTAAACAGGTAGATCAGCAATTTGTGTTATCGTTTTTTAAATATGGCTGCTGGTTTTCTTTCATAAGAAATACACGGCAAATTTGCGATTATCTTAAATAGTGTCATACCTATTTATTTAATCTATGCTAAAATATAGAATAATATGTACAACAGTAATAATTATTATACATACACCTGTAATAGGTTTATGCAGTATGCTGTTGGATTATTGCTGGTTTATTCTGTAATATTGTGGCCATACTGTAGTGTGGTGCATAAAGTGGTGTTAGGAAAAGTTTTTTAGTGATAAACTGATAAGTGATAACTATACGGCATCGGGCATATGCTTATTGCTTAAGCGGAAAAATTGTAGAATTAGATTTTAATTAATTCTTAACTGTTTTTTAATATTTCAAGTTTAAATTTCATACCTTTATTTTGCCTTCATATTTTCTAGGAGTTTGTTACAATATGAGGGTAACTGACGTACTATGGAAAAAACTTCCTAGAGGACACATTTTTAGAGGGTAAGAAGAAATAATTATATGTTATTGTTTATAAAAAATTAACATTTAAGTGCTTTGTATAAAAATAATGCTGTACACTTTCTAAGATGCTTACCGAACAGATTTAAAAAAAAAAAAGAATTCAATTACCACCTATGTATTAAAAACAAAAAAAGATTTATATATATTTTAAACTTTAACCTCGAAGCTGAAAATGTTTAAATAACTACTTAAGTTTAAATCATTAAATTCAATAAATTAGTGTTAAAAAAAATTACTAAGAACCCCCGCTTATTTGACAGTAAATAAAAATGTATATTGTAATTAAAAAATATTTATTTGATACCGTTAAGTAACATTTTTTTTTATGTTATTAAAATACAAAGTCCGAGGTCGGATCCAATTACATTCTAAGTAAACATATACTATAATGTCCATTAAGTCAAATATTTGTATAAAAAATATTAATGACAGTAAATATATTTTGATGAAATCTCTTTCTAACTCTACTTGTTAGTTATTTATATTTGACATATAACAAACAACAGTACCCATTTCTTTTAAATTTATGACCTCTTCATTTTCTTGAACATATATGATTTTTAAACAAAATAGGATGATGATCTAACAATAATAGTAGGTAATATAAACTTTGTAGTTTTGTAAATCAAATTTTCTTAAGATAACAAAAACAGCCTGAATCGATATTGATTAATTTTCAAACAGTTAATATAACTATAACATTTTTTAAATTTATACTGTGACTATTTTAGGAAAAATCGTCTTGTTAAGCCTGTAACTGGACTAGATATAGCTGCAAAAATTAGAGATTTTGAACAAGAAGAACAAAATATGTTTTACTTGAGATATCCTTATTTAACAAAGGTATAAATTAAACTACTTTTATAAATAATAACAATACAAGACTATAAATAATGTATTATATATTACAGGAAGAGTCGTTTAAACATTCAAAGGAACAAGGACGCTTTGAGAAATGGATGAGAAAATGGAAGGTTATGCAAGCAGAAAAATTTGCAAAACATAAGCCAATGGCTGATCATTTAATGCATCTACGATCTTCAGATGGCTGGGAAAGTTATTAAAAACAGGATTGTTAATGCAACAAATAAATTAGATTATTTAATAACTAGTATATACCAACTTTACTTTTGTGATTACATGAAAAAAAAACAATAAATTATAAGGATTTCATATAAATATTTTAAAGTACACTTGTAGAATGACAATGTTTGTTGTGGTGTATATAAGATAAAACAAATTCATGTGTTACAATAATCATAATCTAGTACAAACGACTTCATCATCATCTTCATCATTCAACCATTTGTTATTAATGGCTTGATCTTTTTTCAATGTCTTACCACTTGCCAAAAGCTCGGCAAATTTCGCTGCAACGGGATCGCTCCCAACTGTTGCCACTGCTAAGACATCGTTATCCTTGCAATAGTATATAACTGCTTTGAAGTTCTCTAAATCGCCATTAATTAAAATGTCGTTATAACCATAACCATAACCTATGGAACACAATAGCATATTAATAGTTGATTAAATTGAATAATTTCAGTGGCGTAGGTATAAAAACTGTTTGTACTCGCCTCCTACTTTTTGTTATGAATACACGCAAAGTAGGAGTACCCAGGCACTACGCCACTAAATATTCTAAAGATAAAATAAAAAACCAGTCTAATTACCGGCATATCGAATGCCAGTTCCAAACAGCATAGTCCAGAAAAACGGCACTGAATGAATAGGGTTTATTTTTCCAAGCATTTGAAGTGCAGCTGTTTTACCGTGGTAAGTAGCTAATTGCCAGTGACCGATCGACGCTTTAGTGTTAAAAGGATAAACCGGGGCGTTGGCGACATCTCCACCGGCAAAAATTCCCTTAACATTAGTTTCTAGATTCTAAAAAACAAATGTTAGTAATCATTACTCTGGCTTGGTTAAAAAGCTAACCAACTAACCTCATCGACTTCGATTGTACCATTAGCAGAGTTTACTATAATAGAAGAACAAGCTAAAAACTCTGAATTGGCTTTAGCCCCTGTTGCTATTACACAAACATCGGCCTTGAGCTTTTGGCCATCAGCTAGTTCTACTTCAGATAATTTATGATTAAAACTAATAAAATTTTTCACGCTCGTTTTCATTTTGAACACAACTCCTTTTGATTCAAACAATTCTTGAACACGTTCACCCAAATCTTTGCCTAAGCTCTCCATAAAAGGAACATTACTTCGTCCAATTACGTTTACAGATTTCACTCTGGAAATAGCTGATGCAGCCACTTCCATACCTAAATATCACAAATATTAATACGAATGAACTTAAATGCATTTGTGTATTATTGAAAGGTATAAGTGTCCAATTAATACCAATGAATGATGATCCGATGATAACCACATGACAATCGGGGAATAGACTTTGAGATATTTTAGCAGCATCATCTGCTGTGCGTAATGTAAATACGTTGCTGAATTTTGAAGCATCAGGGATTGTACGTGGTCTAAAAATGTTTAACAACAATTATTAACTGGTCAATATTTAAAAACGCCAATTAAAGTATTTGAACTTGAAAACAGTTTTGGTATTATTCAAATACACAAAATTTAAAAAGTAGTACTGAACCTTCATTTTCGAACAATTTCCATCACTACTAAAAAAATCATTGCTATTTCTTTTCTGTAAGTGATACCAATTACTGTTAATAAAAATGAATAAATATGATAATATATTTACGTCATTCCAGTGGCAATAAACATTGAATCAAAAGCTATTTGATCATTATTAGATAGTTTGACGATTTTTTTATCTGAGTCAATAGATTCCAAACTGGTTTTTGTTAAGACTTCAATATCACCATTCTAAAATAAAAATACAATTTTAATCATTTATTAGATATACATATTATCTTATATTTATAATAATCGTTGTTCTGTCCAAAATACCAATTTGCAGATAATATGTTATGACTTTAAAATGAAAACATTGTTGGTGCTTCTTGGTTTTTTCAATTATTTTATTTAGGTATTTGTGAAGAATAGCATAAAAAATCAAAAAGATATTTAAATGAAATAAAATTGAAATATTTGCTTGCTTTTACAACTAATCAAAATCCAACCAAAGCACATTTTATTCAATACTCAATAATATTATTATTACATAATTGGCATATTAGTAGACAAAATAATATATTAAAAAAAAAACCAAATATTTACATCGTAATATTCCTGGGAACGTAACAATATTGAGTTGATGTCAGTATTTAGCGCTTTACTCAGCTTTGTACGGTCATATGGTAAATAATTGTCTTTGGTAATAAGTATTAAACGACCATCAAAGCCTTCCTGCCTAAGTGTTTGTACACAACAAGTTCCAGCAGGTCCTGTAATACATTACACAGTTATGTTAAATCAAATTGCAAGATTTTATATTGAAACATAATTAAAACTTTTTAAATGTATACATAATTACCGCCGCCAACAACAATAAATGTTCGTTTATCACATGGATTACGCTTGATCAGTGGTTTTTCAAATTTGCCATTTTCGAGTGCACTCTTTTTAGTTGACACCTTAACATCACCATTTGTTACAGTTACCTTATAAGATGGAATATTATCCAAACCGGGAAAATCTTCAATATCGCCTGAAAATATTAAAACCAAATGTAGAGCATGTGAAATTAAAATAAATATGTTTAATACATTATATAATATTCGTATTTTACCTGACTTCAAATTAAAACATGCACCATGCCAAGGACATCGTACTCTGCCGTTGCCTAGTGCGCCATTTACTAAAGGAGCTCCATAATGGGAACATTTTGAACCAACAGCGAAAATTTGGTTTTTCTGCTTTACAACTAAAACTTTGCTTCCATTGTTTCCAACTTCAAATTCTCGCATTCTTTTAAGATCAAATAAAAACAAAAATGAATATGCTAGTTAAGTTTATTACATGTTTTAATAAACACCTACCCATTTTCAGGTATGTCATTTTCACGACAAACGGTGTACTCAACGTCATCGCAAGAACCTATTGAATCATCAGTAGATCAGTTAAAAAATAATATTTAATAAGGTCTGTTCTAAATGATGATACATTATTTTGCAGCCACAGCAGTTATGCCATTTCACACGTAAATTATTATTTATTTATAACAAAAACACACACCCGACATTGTTCTGCAAAACACACGCAATTGGGGACATATACTACTTCTAAATACTAGTCTCCGACTAAATAACATTCAATGACTGCAGGGAATACCGGGTTAATAGCCTGAAACCATGCACATATTTAAAAATTATACAAAACTTAAAAAAATATGAACTATATTAAATGTACAATAAATTTTAAAATTTCCTTAAAAAATAAAATTGAATGTTATTCGTAGCGGTACAGGGAATAAACACAAAATTATTACTTCATAAACTATAAATAGTCAAATAACACAATGGTGCGTAACCTTTTTTGTTCCATGACCCCCAAATTTATTTATTTCGATGAGGTGACCTCTACCAACATTTTATAAGTATACATATGTTACTTTTTCATTTGGTGTTAAATTTTATGGTGAGCCCCATTAAAATTTCGTGATCCCAGGTTGCGCAACACAGACATAACACACAAAGAATGGGATGCAATCAGTAGCAGCGTAGCCCTGTGGATATCCGTAGGGCGCATTTAAATTTAGGGCATTTACAGTTTACTATACACTTTAACATGTATTATAGGATACAAAAAAAATGTATTGATACCCGGCGATTTAATCTCTTGTTACGCCACTTAATGCAATGCCCAACAATAATCGAAAATGATAAAATCTGCATTTTATATGGTACTATTATCTTGGTATTACTTTGAAACAGTTGTTATTTTTGTAAAATATTTCGATTTGGACATCTTTTTGAAGATTTTAAAATAGTACATAGAATCTGTATAACATTATTTGAAAATCCAGATGAAAGTTTGAATTATCAACGTAAGATATTATTATTAGAATACTAAATTCTAAACAAATATTTTATTAAAATATTGTTTATTCCTTTTTTTCCTATTTGGGCAAAACATTTTTATTTATATCATAAAAAGAGATTATTTATTAATAAAAGTTAATTATTTATTATTATATTATTCTAGCTGTTGAACCTAGCTAGCTGTTGAATTGTATTATAAAATAGGTATTATACAAAGAGCTTAACAAATTACATTAAAATAAATTTATGCAGGCAATTATTGTATCTTTAAACTATGATCTGTTACATAATTGGTATTTTTTTTTTAGTCGTAGTTGGCAAATTAAAAACTGATTATTTTATTACATAAAAGGTGATAAAACCATTGAAGCTAAAATATATTATAAGATATAAACTTATGAAAAGTTATCATGATAAGAAAAAACCTTGCACTAATCATTAAAATATACACAAATTAATTAAAAACAATTATTATTTCTTAAATATTATATTTTAATGTTTAATTTAGTTGGTTAGTAGGTGGGCCCAAGAAGTAACCATTCACTCAGACCTGTAGGTCTATTATGCACATAATGTTTTTTTAAAATGGTATTTGTTTTTCAGTACATTTTTAATATACCTTTAATGATGTCGGGTTTTTATGAAGTATTGTAAAATTTTGCAATGATTTTTAACATTTTTGTATAACAATTAATTTTTTAAATTTAAATTTTTTAAATTTAAAATTTAAAATTAAATAAAAAAATGTTTTTTAAATTTTAAATCTTTAGTGATTTTCCCGATTTATATGTTAAACTTATGTAGGCACTGATATTTCACAAAATACTACTTTTAATTATATGTTAAAAAAAGTAGTGGTTAAGTAGTATAATATATTGTTATGCTAAATTATAAAAGCAAACCCTAATAATACATATTAAGTAATAGTTCTGTATAACAACATTTTGAATATATTAAATACAATTACAATAAAATATGACCATTATTTGACCTGTTTAAAGAACAAAAGGTGTAGCTAATGAATTCTGAACTACCAACCATGTTTATAATGTAGTTTCCTACAGGCTTACTTATATTTGCATTATCTAATTATTTTTTAAAATAATGATCACAATGATAATTATAAAATGTAATGAAAAGATATACATAATATTCACATAATGGAGATAACTATAAATTATTTTTTATTAATAATTTATGTTAATTACTTCTTAATATTTAATTTCAGTAATGTATTATATCCAATAAATCTTGGCCTAAATATGTCACTAAAAGGATTTAAACTTAAAATGTTTGAATTAAACAAAAGTACCGCTACAATTAGACTACAGTTGAATTATTATATATTGAGAATATTATCTAAATTATATAAAAAAAAATATTGCATTATATTTATTTAAATATTATATTACCTATATCTATTGATAATATTCAATAAAATAAATATATTATCTTAAAAATAAATCCCAAAAGCTTTACACAAAACACACAAAGCACAAAAAAAAACAAATTCCTATAAATTATAATGAATGAGTTAAAGCTTTCATAGATTTTAATACTGTCTTCAATATTTTTAGATTTATTCACATGTTCATTTATTTGTCGAAGCGCAAAACCCAATGGATGCTGTGACTTGTCATAATTAGCAAATTTCTATGAAGTAGACTGTATAGTAATTGCTTTTATAGTTGTTTCTTTAAAAGACTGAATTTGTAATGGGCTTAGAACATCATTTAAAAACTGAATATGTAGATTATCTAAAAATACTGTAGGTAATTAAATTCTCGAAATGATCAGATATGTCGCACAATGTGTCAAAAGAACAACTTTTAAATGCACATCTCCAAGCTTTAATGGCATATCCTGTATAAATTATACTTTGCATCACCATGATTTATATATATAATGATAAAAAATTGTGATTGGCCAATAAATGTTTTTCACTAAGTAAGCTGCAAGATAATGCCACTTACTTTCAGAACTTTTTGATGCTATTGATCCCATTTGATGAACTATTCTTCTTTTGATGAAAAGTATACTGTGTAGTATACGTGAACGATGCAGATTGTATAAACTTATATTGAAGAATTGTGTATGGCTTATTGGTAAGAACGCAATGTAGATTTTTACATAATTGGTTCAACGTCACTGGAATTTTGCTAGAGAGTGTAGTTCAGCGCAAATGATACTTCAACAATGACGACGGTGAACGGAAATATTATGTAGTGATCTTTCGGTAGAAAAAAGTGAAATGTCAATAACGAGTTAATATAAGACCTTGAATGTAACGCCTAAACATTAGCAAAGTCGCAGCACAGTCGAAAGACGCACAACGGTAACAAAATATGTATAGGAATTTAGGTACAAACACTGTTAAGTCTTGTCCGGTTACCTAGCAGCAATTAGCAAAGCCCGCAGTTCAATATTTAATATCTGACTATCAAATATCGATGACTGATAATAACATAAGCAGAAATATTATTATTCTTTCATCGCTATGACTAGGACTGGAGACTGGAGAGGGCAAATAGTTTAAAATAATGTAATATTATGTAACAACATGCATGTACTGCTGTTATCACTTAAATTCGGAATTAGGATTGCTTATCACAGCTCGCAACTTCTATAGATTGATTCCCGCCAATAAGTTGCAAATCGCAATGGAAATTGGAAAGCCGAGGAAGTTTCGACTTGGACCAATATGTAATAGCATTCAATATTATAGTTTATGCCCTAAAGGCTGTGATGTATGAAAAAAAAATCCATGTTGTCTTAGCTGTCTTTCTCGGTCGTTAATGATCCAACACCAAAAATGGTGTAATATATGGGTTTGAGTCACCCGACTTCTTGATTGACTGCAATTAACTATAGTGACAAGAAAATATTTTAATACTGAATACTAATAAATAATAATTGTTTTCTATCTAAATTATAATAATGGCTTTGGACCTGAGCGTGTTTGACGACTACACACAGTCATCGTTGATGAGAGGTAAATCAGGGTATAATTAAAATCTTATTTGCCAAATATTAATAAAAAACAATTTGTTTTTTCATAAAACTTTTTATTAAAGTGTATTATTATATTACGAATTTAAGATTTGATTTAAAAATTCACAAATACAAAATTACCATACTTATGATAATGTTATAACTGGTGTTTGAAAATTATTCATTGGGGAATTGACTTAGTTTGATTATTTGACTTAGTTATCAGTAAAAAAAAAGTTTTGTAGAAGCTACTAAAATATGAACTAGTTATACAACAGTATAACACGTTTGACTTGTTCAGTGCCTGTAAGAATAAAAAAACAGTATTGATTCTGATAATGAAGAGTATATGATATAACCAAACACATACATATTTACTGCTTTATACTTAAACATGTAAAAAATGTCGTATGGAGAAAATCATAGTAGTGAAAAGAAATTACACTATTTCGTTTGGTAAAATTATTTTGCTTTCTTATTAGAACATTATTTGAATGAATTGTAGCAGTTTACATAAAATTGTTTTACTTATATATTTTTTATAAATTCAAAATTTTCTGTTTGTATTTTTACCTCAATTATTATAGCATTAGATTAAATTAAAGAAATAAAAACTTAATTTAACCTTGTTAAAAGCATAAATTAAATTGGTTATGCATAACCAATTAGTTATTTAATTGAATTGACATAATATTAATTTTTTTTTCCAATTGTATCCAATAACTACTGTTTATAATTATAGAGTCGATATTGACAGCAAAAAGTGTATTCAGTTACACAGAAGTTGAACTCAGAAATAAAGCCAATTTAACGGCGTCTGCTGCAAGAAGAGTATTTATTGAAGCATCTAAAATTGGTCTACTAAAATACAAGTAAACATTGTATATAATTTATACATTTTATTAATGTGGCATGTTTTATTTAAACATTTAAATAATAATATACAAACCAAAGTAGACTAAAATTCAACGATGAAATTATTACGACGGGATCCAAAGATATAGATGACATGTTAGGCGGTGGTCTTTTCCAGTGTGGCATTACAGAGATATCGGGAGAGAGTGGTTGTGGAAAAACACAATTTTGTCTACAAGTCGCACTTACCGTTCAGTTACCATTATCTCTAGGAGGAGCAAAATCTGGTTAGACGTTAATTCTCATATAGTTTCATCTTTTAAATTTACTTTCGTTTCGAATAGGAGCTGCCTACATTTGTACAGAAGATCGGTTTCCTTCGAGTAGAATCCAACAAATGATTAGTAACATATATTCTAAGTATCAGAGTAACAACAGAAGCGATAGCTTAGAAATGTCACAAATAAATTATGGAGACAATATCTTAATTAATCATGTCGCCACAGTGGTAAATTATGGCAATGTTTATTGTTCTGTGTGATTAATGGATAAAAGTATTTGAATGTGATAAAACAATTTTTTTTTTTTTTTAGGAAGATTTGAAGAAATGTGTTCATAGTATGCTTCCCAAAGTGCTGAATCATAAATCGATAAAACTCATAGTCATAGATAGTATAACTGCTGTATTCCGAGGAGAATATGCACAGAATGAAGCTCAGCGCAGATCTAAAGATTTAAGAGATGTTGCATTTTGGTTAAATAATTTATCAGTAAAATTTGGGTTATGGATCCTGTGTGTCAATCAGGTGAAACATAATTATGATGTTGTGATTTCAATTTATAACTTATCCAAATAATCATTGACTTGAACAGGTGACATCCTCGTTATCAGAAAACGATGGCAGAAATTTGGTTCCTTCTTTAGGATTATCATGGGCTAATTTAGTAACAACGCGACTAATGATGTCCAAAACAGTAAATTTTAGGTACATAGAATTGATGTTTAGTCCACATGCAGGTCCCAAACGTATTCCATTTACAGTAACACAACGAGGAATTGAAACAGAAAATTGAGCTTTTAATGAGTTTATTTATAATTATTGTTTCTTAATTTATATTATATATATATATATTTTACCTAATGATCAGTCATAATACCTTTTCCCATTGTTTTATAGTAGTTATATAAACAAATACAAATTTTTAAGTAAAAAAAATATTGATTTTTAGATTTTACCATGAAAAACATTTGTAAAGTGATACTTAAATCATTTTTTACAACGATTAAAATACATTTGTTTTTTCACCGTAAATGATTATTAAAAACTTATATACATTTATTTTATGAATCTAAAATTGCATCACAAGTTAATAATTGAATATTGCTATTCAAATATGAGCGAAGCAGATGCGTAACTCACAGAAGAATCACTCATGTTGTAGCATTGACTTGATTGGGCGTACTTGAGAAATTTGAGTATCATATTTTGCTGATTAGATGAAGACTTTTGTAGATGGCTGGCAGCCTACAAGAATATTATAGTTAAATTATCATCAATTCATGGCAGTTGTACATAGTTACAATAAAAAAATTAGTTACTTATTTTGTTAACTATATATAAGTAATATTTTTCATTTTAAAAACCGGATCAACAATATTAAATTATACAATATGCATAGATAGTAAAATGAGAATATAAATTAGATATGTATACCTGTAATAAAACGCTAATGGGATGTCTGCCACATATAGTGTTTGAATAAGTCTTCAAATATTCGACAAATGCTGCTGGCTTTAAAGTTTCAATAATTTCCATGCCCTTGTGATCTAATGTTTCAATACATCGATGAATCTCGCCCCAAGAACGTTCGTAAAAAGTGTAACGAAAACGTTGACCCCAATGGCAAAAGTCAGAGGAAATCACAAATAAATTAGTCGGGTCTGCCAAATATTTTGAAAAAATTTGTCCATACAGTGCTTCTTTGTCTGTGCTTAATGAGCCAACCATTACTGGCACAATGGTGAATTTATCCTTGTAACTAAAACATTCAAGCATAACATTATTTTATGATTAGTTACTTAAATATATTTAACTTATTACTCTTGCATCACTTTGGCAATATATGGTAATTGCATTTCCATGCTGTGTTCGTCTTCATCTACTTTCAAGCTCATTCGCTCAAATTTCCCAGTTGATTCAAGTTCTTCATAAACTGAAAAATTATAAATAACACGATTTACAAAAAAAAATCAAAAAAATCTGTTATTATTAATACCTTCACTATCTATTTGTAAATCATAGAACGGTGTTCTGTATTTTACAGCACTTGACAAAGCACACCCAGAGAGACGAACATTGTGAGAAGGACCCAATATAAAAATTCGTTGGCTAAAAACAACAAGAATCATTTTCCAATAGGTCTACAAATAGAATTACTTACACCACAAATGGACTTATTTGACGATAAGCAAATGCTGCACATGCTCCACAATATTGATAACCAGCGTGACTATAATAGTTAAGTAAACAAAATAAACATTAAAAATTGTGTAAGTTTTACAAGTTGCAGTGCTTTAAATAAAATTTGCAAATAAAAACCCAATTTCTCATTAATGCTGGGCTGCATAAAGAATTAATAAATTTAATGGACCAATCACGGCCCACTAAATTATGTTTAAGGGACTATTAAAGGTTTATGCAACCCGGCATAAATCTTTTATCTCCTGCCATCGCCAATTCAATATTCACTCCACATACCTTAAATACAGGTTAAGCCACAGCTATATGTAATAACTAATTAGTACATTTAAATGTGGGTTTAACATTTCTTAATACTGAAGGGCAGTATTATGTTTTATGAACAACAATTCTTCCATACAACATAATCTTTAGTTTAATAAAAAAAAAAAAGCCTTATTCAACCACATCTAGTTCAATTTTTTTTCATCCCAAAAACTATCGATGGAAATATTTTAAATATTCATATTTTCCGAGAAAATTACCCAAAATGAATCACCCTGTACTGATATAATAAAAAAAATATATAAACTAGTAGGTACTCTAAAAATTTAAGACCGTGAATTCCTTTTTTAAGGTCAACGGTACAAAAGTCTGGGAGAAAAAAAGTCTGATAAAAGGCCTGGATATTATTTTATCATACAAAAAAAAAAAGTAATATTTTATTAATCCTAGTTGAAAAATGTATGTATTAAAAATTATTTAATTGTACCTTTGTTTAATTTTTAAGTGAAGTCTGTTGATATAACATATATATGTTATATATGTATTTTAGTACATTGTGTATAGTAGTAACCTACAAGTATTTACTTTTAAAAGATGGATTTTTTTTTTTAAAAAAAAAGGGACAAAATGATATTGTTACATTATTTTAAACTTATCATTATTATGTAGCTTAACGGGCCTTGAGGGTCCAATGCTACCATCATTTGATGGTTTCTAGATAAATTTGCTATCCGGGATGGTTCACCAGTCCGTCGCTTGAGAGGAGGATGACGATTTTACGTCCAGAAAACTGAGAGCCTGCGACTGAATGTAGAACCGGCAATAGTGAGCGCCAAACTGGACTAACATCTATAGCTTTTATAATTATGATTTCTTTATTAATTTTTTGTATGCCACCAGGCCTTATTATCCAGTATTCTTTATTTACGTTTGTTAATTTTAATAACCAACACACATTACAATTTTTTAGTTCTATTTTCCTGATAGGTCCCAATTATGTTATACGCCTTAATAATAGTATTCAGTATTCTAAAATTCTGACTATTTTTTAATTAACTAATATGATCAAAAAAAGGTTAGAGTATACAATAAAAACAAATTGATTTAAAAGGGGTTTACATACGGAGCTATAATGGCTCTGGCAGGTCCATGTGTAAGATCGGCTGCTCCTAACCAATTCTCTAGTTGATTGTTAAGTTCTTTTGCTGTAAATAAGAACAAAGAACTTGGGTTTCGCTAAATTCAAATGACATAACAATTATTTTACCGGAGTCAGAATACCAGCTTCCAGCATGACTTGCTCTGCGTACCGCCATTTCTTCCAATATTGGATAGAATTTTTTTAAAAAAATGTAGCAAAATGATATAATCACTATACAAACTTTAAGAAAAAACGAATTATACCTAGTTAAAAATAACTTAAATAGTTTAAAGATTGGAATTTTTTACAATTTACATACTTGATACTACTATTGACTATAGTCTATAACAGTACTTTACAAGCGAATAGCGATACTACTGGTACTTGGAAGTGAACTGTGAAATAACCAATAGGATTACACCTTTTTACAATGAAGTGATAAAATTAATTTGATAATATATACAGTGTAACCAATGCCATTATTGATTTGTACCTTTTTTTTTACATATGTTTAATGGTTGGTAGCCGTGTTTTTTGACTTTGAGAAATGTTATCAGATAAGCGTAGATAAGCACTAAGCAGTCTTCTAAAATTATATGGTGCTGATAAGACGTTATAAATGGTGTAGGGTGTAGACTGTAGTCGGACGTGGAATTAAATTCGATTCACTTCGAGTATTATATTGTTGCATTCTTGAGAATCCAAATTATTTTGGCATTTCAATTTGGACCAAAGTTATCAGTCCCGGACGACCTGCGACTGCGTACGCAGTTCCATGAATTAATACATATTTATACATATTTGGATCACTAATTCGGCTGTTATGTCTGCTTCAGCGATTTATATACTGGATGTCAAAGGTAAGGTGTTGATATCGAAGAACTATCGAGGAGATATCGCACCTAATGTCATTGAAAAGTTCATGCCACTGTTGATGGAGAAAGAAGAAGAAGGTTCACTAACGCCTTTATTACAAACGGATGAGTGTACATTTACATATATAAAATGTAACAATCTGTATGTTGTATCAACGACTAAGAAAAATGCTAATATTATGCTAGTATTTGTTTTCCTGCACAAAATTGTACGTGTGATGAATGAATATTTCAAAGAAATTGAAGAGGAAAGCATACGTGATAATTTTGTTGTTATTTATGAATTGCTCGACGAACTTTTAGATTTTGGTTACCCACAAACAACCGATAGCAAAATTTTACAAGAGTATATCACTCAAGATGGACACAAACTCGAAATACAACCGAGAATTCCAATGGCTGTCACTAACGCTGTGTCCTGGCGTTCTGAAGGGCTTAAATACAGGAAAAATGAAGTGTTCTTAGATGTGATAGAATCTGTAAATTTATTAGCTAGTGTCAATGGTAATGTTTTGAGAAGTGAAATTGTGGGCTCAATTAAAATGAGAGTGTATTTGTCTGGTATGCCCGAGTTGAGATTAGGGCTTAATGATAAAGTTCTTTTTGAAAGTACTGGAAGAGGTAAATCTAAATCCGTAGAGCTAGAAGATGTTAAATTTCACCAGTGTGTACGTCTCTCAAGATTCGAAAATGACAGAACCATATCATTTATTCCACCAGACGGCGAATTTGATCTTATGACATACCGGTAATTATTACATTGAGTTTAACATTTATAAAATTAAAACCAGTGTGTACTGTATTGGCAATTAAAAGTTTATTACTGGAACAGTGAACTATAAACTAGAATTTTTAGGAGCGTTCGTATAGGTAATTTTTCACTAAACTTAACATTAAGCTAAAATTTATAAACATATATTAACACAGGAAAGAAGGATCTATTTTGATATTTAATTTGTTTTTCAATTTTTATAACACATGCAGGCTTAATTTGTTTTAAAAACATATATTTTTATTTTGAACAGTTCTTATGTATAAGCTTTCATGTTCTTAAAAATAATCCGATTTAAGTTTTGAAAAAATATTTGGATTCAAATAGTATAATATAATTTTTATTTGTAAAATGTGACGTATAAATAAGATTTGAGTATTAATTTAATTATATTAGCAAATTTGTTTTTATTTTCACAGGTTGAGTACACATATTAAACCTTTAATTTGGATTGAGAGTGTCATTGAAAGGCATGCCCATAGCCGTGTTGAATACATAGTGAAAGCGAAATCACAGTTCAAAAGACGCTCTACAGCTAATAATGTTGAGGTAGTTATTCAAGTTCCGATGGACGCTGACTCTCCGAAGTTTAAAACTACAGTCGGCTCAGTTAAGTACATGCCGGAGCAAAATGCTCTAGTGTGGTCGATAAAGTCATTCCCTGGAGGCAAAGAGTACTTGATGAGGGCGCATTTTGGTTTGCCAAGTGTCGAATGTGAAGAAACTGAAGGAAGACCGCCCATTCAGGTGAGATTTGAAATACCGTACTTTACAACTTCAGGAATACAGGTTAGGTACTTAAAAATTATTGAGAAAAGCGGCTATCAAGCATTACCGTGGGTGCGATATATTACTCAAAATGGAGATTATCAATTAAGAACTAACTAAAACCTGTATTTTGATGTAGTACTAAGTTAATTCCATTATGAATTAGTTTTATATATTTAAAAATATAATTATATAAAGAATTTTTTTTTTTGCTAATATTAATAATATGAAATTAGTTTTAGTCTTACGATTACAACTTATTGTTCCGTCCTAATTGTTGTATTAATCATTTTGTCATTTAAACTTCACGTTAATTTTATTTTACTAATGTAATTTTGAGTAATATACAAAAAAGTTATGATGAATGAGCATAATAGTTGTATAGTAAAGATTTTTTTACATTTTAAACAATTATTTTATGTAACATTATTATTGTTAATATTCATTTACCATACAAATATTTAATTTAGTTAAAATAAGCCTTTTTTTGCAATTTTTTTTTGATTTTGTCAAAATATTGTGTTTACTGTTTATATATATTTAAAAAACTGTATAGTAAGTATAACTGTATAACTGTTTTACTTATAATAAAACTATAGTCATATTCGTGTTTTTAATTCATTTTCTTAAAAAATAATTTTATGGAATAATTGTTTTAATACCATGAATAAACTAATAATAGTGGACGGTTTTGGTGTTACAATGATATGTATTATATTTTTATTATTTTTAGCTATAGCAACTCCTGAAGACCTGTGACTTCTATAACCCAATTTTCTATATCTCCACTATACCCTAACCTTGATATGCTGGTTTTTATTTTTCTGATCATGCAAAAAACTGTAATTTTGTTTACAAATGAGTACACAACAGTGTAGATTAGTATCATACATAAAACTGAAACATTATATGAATGTATTGTGAATTTTTTTTATTGTAAACGAATGGGTATATTTGATTACATACAGATCTGTAGAGTATACACTTCAAAAATTAAACATAATTTAATAAACAGGTTTTACAAAATAAATAATAATACTTCTACAGTATAAATATCTCCTTTAAAAAACAAATTAATAGTATTAATGGTATAGGTATTTTATGTTATTTACAGTAATCGAATTAAAAAAAATATATTTTATTTAAAAACAATTATGGAAGTAGACCATTTTTTTTACGCTAAATAACTAAAAACTTTTATGAATAAGTTTTTATTTTTTTTTTGCAACTTTTTTACAAAACTTTCTGTATAACTGTTCTAAAAGAATTTTTTAAATAGCTGTTAGTATGGACTTTCATTTTTGTTTCAAAATTATTGTTTTTTTTTATAAAAATTTTTTAGATTGACTATTTTTATCTTATTGTTAAAATTGTAGTTTTTTTGAAAAAGTTCTAGAACTTTTTTTGAACCCCCGTTATTTGTAATAATATAGATGATTATTTAAACAATAGAAGAATACATAGTAAGTACTAATAAATACTTGATAGTCACATTTAACTGATTCACTTATTATTTTTATGTGAAATTTAAATGTTTATTGTTGGAGGTTAAACAATTTTGTAATATAGTAACAGAAAATTAAATAAAACATTTAATTACTTTTCCGTACTGTAAAACGATTCGTGTGTGTATGAAAAAATTACAAATATTCTACATAAATTATGAGACTAATTCTGGTTACAGTAGGTAATGAAAATATACTAAAAAAATTTACTACCTATACTAAAAAATATATTATAAGACTAACAGTATGATGAATGAATTCGTAGTACGAACTTGGTACGCTGTTGTTGTGTTGGAAAATATTAACATATTTAGATATTTGGTCGCACTGCATGCGCGTGTTATCAAATCGTTTGTCTTATCAACTAAAGTTTACGGCCCAATCGACTGCCGACTTGTCAATATACTTATCTGCGGTGTAAAGTGTAAACAATTTCCAGAGATATACAGCTCGTACTATTATTGATAAATGCAGTAATATGCATTGGTCGAACGTTTTTTGAATGAAATCGTTTCGTTCTGAAATTATGTGAAATGTTTTCGGGATAGGCCGTCATTTACTGGTCGTGTACATCTATGTGTTTGTTGTAAATGTGGTAGGGATCTTTTTTTTTTTATCGTGGAAACTGGGTGCGCGGACTCTTGCACCGATGGAGGATCCGGCCATTCCTATTGAACTTGATGACATCAAAAGACCTGATCAAGTCGTGACAATGGCCACTGCTGACAATTTGAAATTTGGCGTGCTCATTGGGCTCGTCGAAGTGGGCCAAGTTACCAACAAGGAGGTGGTGAACACCGTTTTACACCTGGTAAGCCAATTAGTTGCTATTGTCAAGTGATAACAATGATACATTAGTCTTGCTCTCTATTTGAATTCATTTCAAATGAGCTGTTGTAAAATATGCAAAACTGCAATTCCCTAAGACGTGTGCTTATTTATTGCTCGTGTCCAAAATTAATATTTAATAAAGAGGAATCAGATTTGAAAAAAAGAAATATGTATGTATAAATATATTTGAATTATGTGTTATGAATTTGAATAATTGATCATACTGAAATACTAAAATTAGTATTTGTACTCAGTGTAGTTTCTAAAGAATTGCTATTAAAAGTTAGTCGAATACGTACTTAACTTAGATTGTACTACTCGGCGGTTCCTAACCATTTACCTTAGTCTTTTTTTGTCATATTTTGCTGTTTTCGAATATTGTGTAACATATTATTTATACAGGGTGATCATTTTATCGTTAACCACTCAATATCTTCATTGACTGGTCGATAACCAGTATTAGTTGTTCAAAACTGGTTATCAATCAGTCAAAATTTGTAGTACATTATTCTAAACTTAAAAAGTTAATAAAATGTATGTATTACCATTTAAGTTTCAAAAACTTCTATCAAAAACACTAAATTGGGAGGGGAGTAAAAACAAAAATTTAATTTCTTATTAAACCCTATGAGTTATTGAGTGGTTCACGATAAAATGATCACCCTGTATTGCGCTATAAGTTAAAAAACATTGAGTAAAGAAAAGAAAAACTAACAAAATTAAAGATGCGTTTTTAGAATAGTATAGTAACATGTAAAGTAACATAACTAAAATCTTATCTCAGCATTATTAATGTTTACAAACATTTTACACTGTTTAGTAAAACAATATTCATTTTTTTCTTGAATTGCCAATGTTTGCAACACATTGTGTAGAGTAATTTAGCTCTAATTCACACTCGGTGTTATTAAATTTTAATTAAAAACTATTTTGTTAACACATAATTTTCTGTTTTTAATTATTAGTATTATTATTTATGTATACATCATACAAAACACAACTTCATTTTTGTGCTACATACATTTTGTGTGTGTAACACTAGTGATATAATATACTAACACTATTTAGTATTTTGTTATATCTTTTATCATAGAGTAATTATAGACAGCTATTAGTAATTTTAGACTAATTGTAGTATAGATAGACAATTTATTAAAAAATGCAAGTGTATTATGTATATGTTGGGGAGTGTCACATTAAATTGCCTATCTATGGTATATTTTAGTCTAGGTCTATTGGAATTTGACGTTTTTAATAGCTATACTTATTATTCAGGCATTATCGGTAATAGTAGGTATTTTAAAAATAGTCAGTATTTTTGATAATTACTAATGTGCTTAACTAAAATTTACCGTGTGACTCATTTACAATAATTTATTAATTCCAATTATTAACTAAAATAATTAACCAACTAAGGTGTATTAAGTATAATCAAATTTAGTATTTAAAATTCTATTACACTTATCAAAACATTATAATAATTAACTATAAACCTAAATTGTAGTAGGTATGTAAGGTTTTAAATATTTACGTAATGCATCAATGTGGGTATAATCACTGAAATATAACCATTATTATACTAGCCAACACACAATTTTTTTTTAAATGGTAATATATACTGAAAATTGATTTTCTTTGGAATTACGTCCTTTGCTAAATAGGCTGACAATATTGTTTTTAATGTACTACAAAAATCCCAAAGGCATATACAAAAAAAAACGCCTCAAACGATTTTTTAATTTTTAGAAACTTGAAGTTCCTTTGAAAAAGTAATATTTGATCAATTAATGGTAAATTAAGTTTTAAAATAGTAAAAATTAATTGTGCTCCTATTTTTTTTTACATTGAATGCATAATTTAACAATATTGTTAAAAATTACCCATCTATAATTGAAAAAAAAAAATTAACAAGATTGACCTGCTAAATATTGCTTTGCGCTATTTTTTTAAAAAAATGTTACCTATTTAGAACGAAATACTTTAATAATAGGTAAGAAAAGGCATACCTTATTAATTTGTCATGATCTGACTCATAATATAATTTATTTTTAATGATCATTACAAAAATCAATATTTTTCTAAATCTAGATTAAAGCCTGAGGCATTATTACTGGTGCTACTTGCTCTAAATAATAAAGGAGTATGCTTTTTACTTATACGAAGTATAAAAGACAGCTTTTTTCCCCATTCGTAAATTTTCCAATTCACTATTTAATTATACTATTGTTAGTATTTTTATGTTTTTGACTGTATATTGATAGTACTTAGTTTTAAAAATCATTAGGGTCGAAATGAAGTTCCAAGCAAAAATCACATATTACTGGCTTACTTAAATAAACAATTTTTCCAAAACATAATATCTGATTTATTGGACAACAATTACAGAAGTTAAAAAAAAAGGTTAAAATAAGTTTTTTTTTAATAGAGTTATTTTTCCAGACCAGTAGATTTTATTTGTCTTGGAGAGAATAACTCGGACAAAACAAATTTGTTTTTAACTTTTTTTTTTTTTTATATTGTAAAATGGTTGTTTAATTCTGAAAAACATTTAGTTTTTAAAAACTATGTTTTGTCTTTTGTGTTGGTACATTTTTGTTGAAGTTGCTTACCCTTAAATCCCGCCCATAAAAAATTATTCTGTGGTGTATCGGCAATATTTAACCGTGGTTAAGTATTATATATAAAAAATGTAACATATATAAAAAATTCACATTATTAAGAAACGTGGTAATCATTAACTGTAATTTTATTATTATTTTATAATTTAAAAAAAAAAACGAATTCTTGTACACTTACAGTTAATAGAAACTAAAAAAAATGTAACATACGAGCTTATACTTGAATTCTACTTCTTCGAGCTCGTAAAATGGTTATTGTTAATTCGATATAGTATATTCAGGTTATTGTTGTGCGAGCTATGTGTCTAGCTAACAATATGTGTTCAAACAATACTACTAGGTATTCAGCTCAAAATGTGTTTAATTCAAACAAACGGTCTATTAAAACGAAACATATACAAACCACAACATTCAAATTAATTAATTTTATGATGTTTAGTCATCTCCGCCAGTCATTACTTCCATGAATTCTGTAACCGATAAAAATTTGTAATTAAATTCGTGGTATTAACATTTTCCTGACGTGTCTGTATTTTGTCTTGTAATTTTATAACTTGTGTTTTTCTTAAAATGTTGGCATGTCATTCGCATACAATGATTAAGTTTTGGTTCCTTATTAAGGGGAACGGAAAGCGCCAAATCGTATTCAAATAAAGACTAAAACAAGAAGTCACATTCTGTATTGTTAACTAAACAGATTACATTTTTTTATTTTTATTAAGTATAACACCTCTATGGAGGCTAAAAAGACGATTTTTTTATATTTCTCTTTTCAACGTTTTATTATAAGCGTTTATATTTTTACTTTTTCTTATGATATTTTTTAATAAATCTAACTAATTTTCTGATTGCTAAATCAAAAATTGGTCTCTAATCCCCTATAAAGAAAATAGTAAGCTTCACATAAAAAAAATAAAAATTTAATTCCGTCCAATAGACACGCCGGAAAATAACTTCTACGAAAGTCATTTTATATCAAAATTTCGCCATAACTCGGAGAAAAATAACTTAACTTAATATTTTTTTACATTTAAATTAGTCGGCATACTTAAAATGGTTACTAAATAAATGTTTGTCAAATATTGCCCATAAAATGATGTATAAACAGCATTAGATTAATATTTTTTTCTTCGTTCATTTTAAGTTACACTTAACTGTTTTATACGAATCTAGCCATCGGTTTAGTTATCATTAATGAACTCTATATTATTATACTCAGTATCAATATTTGTGCATCCCGGTTAATGTAATATAAATATTCTATTAAATAAATAAGATTAATCCTGTAGCGGTCTTCAAGGACATCGTCTATACCCGTAATCCAGGGATAGCATATTCAGCTAATAATGGCAAAAACGTTATTTTATCTTAATGTATTATTAGAATACAAATTCTTTTCACACTTTAATTGTTTGGCACCACACAAAAGGAGTACCTAGGTATAATTTGGTATTTGATAAAATCTTGAGTATAGCCAAGTCATTAAAGAGATCATAATACAGTCTTACGTCGGAAATTACCAAATTAAATCGTCATTTTAATCAAGTCAGATTTTTGATGGTTAATAAATACTGCTAGATGTCATTATGTTTATGTTGACGTTTTTCATGCAGGATGCAGCATTATTTTATCCAAGTGTTTTGTTTATATATAATACTTAAAAGTAATTTTAAATAGTTTATTTCTAGTTTTTTTTTATAATAAAAAATTATTTGGGTCGTATTGGAGAGCTAAGCTGCTCGGTCGCCAAGAAAAGAATGTTGGCGTTTAACCAGATAAGCATATCGTTCCACTCAATATATTTTTAATGTTCTTTTTTTTTTGTTATAAAAATACAAGTTTTATAATAAAGGCAATCACATCTCCGAATTTATTCAATAAATTTATGATGGGTGTATTAAAATATAATACACGTGTGGTATCTTATAAAGCGTTATAATTTAGACTTAAACGCTGAGTTCAACGATTCAATATTTTTCGTTCCTTTACTTTATTTACTTTTACATATAAGTATGTATATATATATATATATAAATCTGTATGTAAACAATAGAATTTGTTTTACAGTGTTCGCGATTTTATTTTGTCGGGTCAAATATAGTTATAAAAACTAATTAAATTTATTATTTAATTGATTCGCTTATTTATTATGATAGGTATTCGTGAAGCTATTTATCAAACAATAAATGAAGTCTCAGTTTTGCATAAGGTTGAAAGCATTTATTAGTTTAAAAAGTAACTAGACATGTTATTATTCATTTTCTAGCAATATACTGTGTTAACGAATGCTTTTAACTATGAGTTTGACCTCATGCACATGGGACTATAATCAATAGCCCGCTCTGTTTACTCAACAGCTGTACAAACAATGTGTTGATGCCACTAAATAAAGTAGTAAATTTTGACATTTAGTGTTTGAATTGACTGATGATATGATCAGTAAATGTCCATAATAATTGTATTAATATTACTGAGAGCTTCTGATACGTTAGGCATTAAGGTTTATATGGATTGTCAAACATTTTTACTTATAATATATTCTATTAAGCTATTAGTTATTGTATTTTAAAATTACGTGTCAAATTAACTAGATATTTTTAAGATTAAACAAAATATCACACAGCTGATTTTAAATTTAATAATTAAGTCATATAGTCATATATTTTGGCTTAATTTGTATTCATTTTTGGTACTTTTGGTTTATCGCGAATACCTAACGGGTTTGTGACCATCAGTGCGGTAGTCCACTGCATATTTAGGTAGTCGCGATCACCCAAAAATACCTAATTTTTTTTACATTTACGTGTTCATATATGAACAGAATTACTAGAAGTTACTTAGTACCACATTTTAGGAAATGGATGATGCAATGCTTCTAAAACTACATTCCCAGTCCGCAAGGTCTTGTACCTGTATCTAAAAAGCATAATTATTGTAAATCAATTGTACAAAAATACGAACCATCAAAATCCACAGTTCCAGAACCGTCTGAATCGATTTCTTCTATCATCATGTCCAAATCTTCGTTGGTAATTTTATCATCTAATTCTTTTAGAATCTCTCGTAAGACATCTGTAGTTATATAACCGTTGCCTAAACAAAAGAAAAAAAACTTGACGTTATAATACTTATCTTCAATAATAATCTTATACTAAGCTATAGTTTAACCATTTATTAGTATAACAACCTTCTTTGTCATATAATCTGAAAGCTTCTTTTAATTCAGCTTGCATGGCTTCTGCATCTTCCGGTTCATCTTCTGTTAAAAATCCAGCTGCTAACGCAACAAATTCTTCGAATTCCAATTCTCCAGAACCTGTTAATAATGTATTAATATTTTCACTTTATGATTGGTTTAACACTATACTATAATTAAGTTATAGATTAACAATAAGAGCTAACTGTTATTAAATAAGTAATATTATTATTCTAATAATTAAATTCTTATTAAATAAAAAATAGTATAAATATTACTCAACGAGCATAACTTGATCATGGCAAAAATAAGGATATAGGTTTTTTAAGAATTTCATCTTTTAAGCTTAATAGTACTTTTAATGTATATTACCAGAATTTTAAGTAGAAAAATAACGTTTATTAACCTTTCTTTGTATTATGGGATAAATATAGGCATTATTTGACAAAAATGTTGTTTTAATAAATTTGTATTATGTTAAATAATTTTCAAGTTTGTAACTAGTATTAGCTTTAAGGTATAGTTTTAACTATAGACATTTCTCTTTAAGTTATAGTGATTTTGATGGTTAAAATTGCTTAACGGGAAAAATGGCGATGCCTCATAATAAGTTCGAATTTTGATAGATTTGGAAAACTTTTTACAGTTCGCATAGAGTTCCGATTTTCATGTATAATATTTCTATAGCTATAATATATGTTTATGTCTTAAAATGTTTAACTTAACTATACGATTTTTTTTTTGTTAGTTGAATAAAAAATATGAGATTTATGCGTACTGTCGAAAACAAAAGAAAAATTATTAAAATCCGATTACTTTATGAGGCGTTATTGTTTTTTCTGTAAGCAATACAATTTTGGGACCGGGCCCCTTAAATAAGTTATGGTTTCCCTATCTAACTTTGTATGACTTACCGTCTGCGTCAACTTCAGCTATAATTTCTTGTAATCTATCTTCAGACACCTCATGACCCAGCATTTGGAGGATTGTGCCCACCATATTTGTTTCTATGTGACCTTTGTCCTGGGCGAATGCGTCAAATGCCCGTTTTAAGACTATTGTCAAATAAATGTACAGATTAATAACTATTTTATACATATTGATTCAAAATAAAATTATTTTCTTATAATCGGTATAATCAATGAGTACATACTAAAAACGTATGATGTAAATAACAAAGTTAAATAGAAAAATATAATATACTCACGGGCTATTTGATCTTTATCGAGGTCGTCCTGAAAATTAAATACATAGTATTACAAGGTTGCCTATAGTATATTTCATTATTTAATTAAAGACAATTTACTTTTGATACCATTTTGTTACGTCTATAAAATACGAAAAACAACTATAAAAATCGCGTCGCTCTCGCCGACGAATACTATATCCAAGAATTAAATTTAAAGGTGTCTACTATAGCACTTAAGACAGCCGACTGACAAACGTCAAATAATTAAATGGTCTGAAGCCAAGTACCGATTGTCTCTCTACCGGCTGGTGTTCAAGTTATTATTTCGCCTATACGGACTGTCTATTCCGTGAACTATTTGTGTAGAAATTCCCTGGTTAAAAGTATAGAATATTTATGGTGTTTATTATCAGAGAAATTGTTCTCTTTATTTCGTCAAAGCAACGATCTTCTAGAACGTCTGTAGCAGTAATATTCTAACAAATCATATTGTTAGTAAAATTGTATTTTGTTTTGCGAGTTAATTAACCGATATTTTTGGTAGATAAGCATTAAATTATTAATCGTATTGTATACTGTTCTCTCTATATCTTAAAGAAATATTGCTATTTTTAACTTGTTTTAGCTATTTTATCGGTTTTTTAGAAGTCATATGGTTAAAAGAAATTTTTATAAATAAGTGGTGCATTGGACACTATTTTGGCATTCGATTATGGTTTTGTTGAGTTTAAATTTAAATGTCATTTGGCGTTCGTGCAAATCAATTTTTACTTACAAGACTCTATATCGACGTCCTAGTTCAAAAGTACGACAAACCAACGTTTATTGTAGTAAAAATTAAACGTTAAACTTTTGTATTTCCGTAGACTGTATCATCACAAAATTAAAATATTTATAAAATAACGTTTTACAAACCTAAACCTTTAAATTTGTATGAAGAAGAGAGATTGTACAACTTATGAGTGTTACAATTTACAGTTTTGATCAGGGGCATTGTATGGGGTTCATTAGTTTGTGACGTTAAAAACGTTTTTAAATTGCCTTTTTGGTAGTACAAATAAAAGTGGAACTACTTTATAAGAGTGATTTTTTCAGATGATCTCATGAACGTTGCAAGGCAATTTTTACACAACTTTCTTAATTGTTAAATATTAAAAAATAATAGTATAACATAATATTATTAAATATTATAAATAAAAATCAAAGTAATAATGGTCTTGGCAGTGACCAAAAAAGGAGTCAAGCGCCGGGCAACCATAACGTACAGTGTACTGTGTACACTATGCTATTTTTTAAATATTCTTCTTCTTACTCTAGTGCTATGGTCGCTTAGCGAATGTCAGCAACCACATCGCATTATTTACTAATATTGTAATATGCTTATATCGTACTCGTTCGTAGCTGTATTATTGCTACATGTTTTTTGATTTACTGTTCTATGAATTATTATATTTAATTGTGTTTATGAAAAAAATATTTCATTTATCATCATACACGTGTATGTGTGTGTGTGTGAGTGAGAGTGACACGTTTAAGTTGCAAAACTTAATATTTAGTCTTAAATAATTGTTTTATAATTCCGGCCGATTCTCCCCAGCAGGTAATAGCTCCCGGTAGTCGACTGGCAGTGTGGCTTATACACAAGTTGTACGGTGTATTTTGCAACGTGAAGTTAAACAGGCTTTCCTGCTGTACCTATTTCAAAATTCTCTCGCTCGTACCCCTTGTTTCACTCCTCTCGCCGTTCGCAAATTATTTATTGTACTTACTACTATTTCATCCATACTATGCAAAACTACCAACAATGTAATAACAATACGAGATACGGGTTTTACCAGCTAATATTTGTATCATTATTTCGGTTGTATATTAAATGTTTTTCTGCTTTGAGCTATTGGGGGGCAAAAATGTATTTCTTGATTACGTTTTTAACTATTTATTGATGCATACACACAACATTACTTAAATCAATATTACAAAAGTCGTTTCGAGCTCTAGTAATAATAGATTACCTACAGAAGTTTTTTCAATTTGTTTCTGTAACCTATGTGTATTTAAGAAAAGAAAAACAATTAGCTTACTTTTCCAACAGCGTTGTCTTTAATATGTCTGCCTTTGCTATTCGTGCTAATCAGTGATAATTGGTCTTTGGTTTTTGTGGTCTTGTTCTGTATTAAAAGAGCCCATTTTTGCAGAGGAAAGAAAAAACAATTAATTTTAATTTTTTAACATTATTTCATATTGTTCGACTGTATCTTATTGTATTTCAATTTTGTTATATTAATATTCTAAACATATTTTTCTGGTTTTTTTATATATATATATATATATATATATATATATATATATATATATATTTATATTGTTATAACTCAAGTTTATCTAAGTATCTTAAGACGAATGATTCAAATCATATATTATTTTTTCTATTGACGATTTATAGTTGTTACGTTTAGTGAAACTGAGGGAATTTACAACTAACAAAAAGGTAAACATATTTACCTGTCGAGTTTGTAGCATAGTTTTGCATTAGAGAATTAGTGGGCGAACGCGGGTTTCTGTAAAAGTTAATTAAGTAAATCTATGTAATTAGTAGTATGTTAGTAGTATAACTAACATTGTTACAAATCAGTATTTTTTTAAAAAATGTTTTTACATTATACTTGGAAGTAGAGTTCCGTTACATTATGAGTATGAACAGTTAAATAAAATTACAACGTTCAGTTCATCAGTAAATAACGAGCTAAACATAATATTTGTTTAACAACTGTACGTACATTTTTAAGTTTAACCTTTGTTCATACAACTTACTCATTAACTTCCTGTACTTAAATGAAACACATTTATGATTAAAACATTAAAAAAAAAATTTATATTTTAAACTTATTATACAAAATAATAATTTTTATTTAAAACTGTTACATATATTTTTTTTAAAACAGTTTCATGGAATTAAAAAAGTTATTTTTAAAACTTTTAAAATAAAAGTTCAATTATTTGGTTAATTATAATTTATCAGTCTTTAACTTATTTTAGAAAAATGCTTACATTACACGTAGGCAAATTTTTCTAGCTAATGTACTAATTTTTGCATCTCATGAAACCTCATCACAACCCTTCCAACCTTTATCGCCGGCTACATTAAGCATAATATTATAAATTGGTTTCGCGGCTTGATTGAACCATACTCAATAAATGTAATTTGTTAATAAGCCCGGTTTACCTTCTCGTTTACAGTCGAAGGTTCGAACCCAACCCAACCAAATTTGGACTGAGTTAAAATCCAACCGGAATAATGTACTTTGGAATAGAACAGAGTATTAATTTTATATTATTCTTTTAATTTTTTTTTTTATTTTCTAGCTTTTTATCCCAGTGTTCATTATCTACAATTATTTTTGTATAAGTAATAGAAATTAAAATATTTTCCACGCCTACTATATAATATCTTCATAATATGAACTTATGTTTTAAAATAAGAATTTCAAGGTAATATATAAAAGTTTTTAACAGAAAATTTGATTTTGTAAAATTAAAGTAAAAATATAACTTTTCCTTGTATTGAAAAATGTGTTACTTGTTGAATTTAAGTACAATTGGAAAATAAGTTCAACATTTTTTATTTAAATGAACAAATCTATAACATTTATTTGGAACAGTTCAACGAATCATTTTATATTGTTCGTGACTTTTAATGTTAGCAAACGTAACACAAAATTAACGGTTAATGCATCCCTGCTTGGAAGTGTATTTTGCAACTGTGTAAATGAAAATTCTCTATTTACTGTTTAAATGAGCATCACAATTGATAACAAAATAAACAGTATATCTACTAATTTAATATCTGTATACAAATCTGGTATCACAATTTGCTTGTTTTACCGTTTTAATTTATTTTGCAATTAGCGAATGGAATATTTTAATTAATAATATTAATATTACATGAACTTATTAAACTAAGAAGTGTTCCTAATAAGAAAAGGGTTCTTCTTAAGCGGAATTCGTTTTAATGAATATATGAATTGCTGCTGAAATGCGATTATAAACAATATTAATAATATAATTATTTTAGTGTATTTGACATTGCTTTAATAATTAAAATCCAATTACTACTCCTTAGTGTTTGCATTTGTCGATTCTCTAAAGTATACATTTGCAATACTATTCTCGTTTGTTTTGTTAAACATAAAATGTTATTTCTTCCTTGATATGATTTTTTTGGTTTTGTTTTAATGATCATAAATGTCTTTGTTATAACTGATTGTTAAAAAAACAAACTTAAAACAATAACAAAGAAAGTTTTAATTGCAATTAATAATAAAAATCTCGTCAATTGCTTACTCATTTCCATTACGTTGGACGTTGTTATGCTAAAATGTTAATCAATAATTTTTTTAAAGTTGATATTTTGGATATTTTAAACTATACGTGTTGGTTTTATGATTCTCATAGTCCTGACATCCCAATTAATATTATCGAAAATTGCTCTTATATTTTTTACCAGAGACTGGTCTGGTTAATTCATACTAGGTTGCATGACCATAAATCGCAGGGTATATAGCCAATTAAAATCGGCTCTGTAACAATAATTGGACCCTTGTTAGTTAGTTATGGTTCACAAAAGATAAATTACATTTGATCTATATAACTAAAAAATATAGTCGCATTATAGATGATTTAATATTTTAAAATTAAACAAAAGAGGGCCATTTATTGAAATATATGGAGCTTTATTTAACCACATTGAGTGTGATCCATTCACTGCACTGCACTGTAACACTTTTAAAGAATTTTATGAACCCTTTCTAAAGCAACAGACTTTGGAGTTGCATTCCTTGAATTCCACGTGCGCCCCCTTATGGGGTAATATAAATACGTATTTATAACGTTAACGCTGTCAATAGCGTCTATTCAAAAATGCTTTTTAAGTAAGGTAAAAAAAAAATAAGAAAAATATTATGAAACGTTGATCAACTTTACGTTACGTTGACAGGTGTTTTTTATGTACAAAAAACGATCCTTTTAATAATATCTAGCTTAATTGTAGGAGTTATTAAAACTCCCTAACTCCCCTCTCGGTACAGTAGTTGATAAAAAAATAATATTTTTCTGTAATATAACTTGATGTCTGCTGTCAATTCTAAAAATAAAATAAACATTTAGAAATAATAATTATAAGGAAGTCGTATAACGTATTTTGTTTTCTAGATATTTTAAGTTCATTTTAAATGGATTTTTGTGACATGACAGCAGCTCGTTGTAAATTATAGGACTGAGCTCGTGTAATTCATGAGCTGTATTAATAAAACGCAACCGTATAAATTTTTCCTTTAGTCCGCTTCGCTAAACTCAGCAAAATCTTTGAACCTGACAGCAATTTATAGGCTTTTAATAGTTGTCGTTGCTGAGACAAATATCTATTATTTTTTATCGTTTTTGGTTATATATATATATATATATATAACAGCCTTTAGTTATTTTCTCTTGTTATAACGGTAAACGTGTACTTATTTCATTTTTTATCTATCTCTGTTGACTTTTGATGAAAATGTTTACTGTTAGAGCTATGCATTACCTTTGACAGGCTTGTGTCACGATTTTATAATCGAAATAAATTATTTAAAGCGCATATTACTGGTAGTTAATAAATGTACATTATTTATTAACAAATGAAATAAATTAATAAATAATTCATGTATATAAACAATGGTAAACACGTATTTCATTATAAACGTCTCCAGAATAGTGTATGAAATGCCCAAACAAGATTTTTAATTTATATACTCATAACAAGGAATGGTTATTGTTAGCAATAACACGATAACGGTGCTATTATGACACACCTCGGCATACAACTCTAACAGTTTATATTTGTATTTATTGAATCCAGGGTATTATCAAAAATGCATTTTTGGGGTTCAAAAGGAGTAATTGCCTTAAAAATATTTATACAACTACAGGGAAATACATTTTTTAATTTAAATTAAATTACTATTTTTCTTCAAGTATAAATTCTATGTAAACTTAGAAAAAAAAAACGCCTACGATGAATTTTCGAAAAATATATTTGTTTCCTTCAATTAGCTACCATTTCAGTGACTAAGGGGAAAATAATTGCTGAAATACTTCAAAACATGTTTTCAAATGATTTAGAAAAATTATTTCTGAATGAAATCATACATTTCAAAAGTCATTTAAAGTCCTTAAATTTAGATAACATCAAAAGTATACCGAAAACTATACAAGCAATGACCGGGTTTTAAGAGATTTTTTTTAAACAGTTTTTACTAATGAATTAGCCTTTTTTTACTAAAAACCCTTGGGTGAAATAATTATAAACACGGCACTGTTTTGTACAATTTTAGGATTTGTATTGCTATTTGTTAATATTATGTTTGCTTTTTTATGTATGTTTTTAAACAATAGATAATAGCATAACGACCTAGTGTAAGGGCAGTAAAAAACGTCCTATGGTAGTGCCTAGTAGATTGTGTTGGTACGATTTTCTTTGTAGTGCGCGTGTGAAAGAAATTGAGATATTCGTCAAACGTCGGGTGCGATCATCGGATTATGACTACTATAATATAAGTACATACGATGATGAGTATATAAGAGATGTCATTTATCGCTTAAAGATGGCAGCACCGTGTTCCGGTTATCCGCCGGGCAAACGGCGGTTGCACTACCCTCTGCCGGCGTTCGTTGATTCGGGGGAGGCTGTCTGCTGTGCCGCCACTCTCGCCGCAGTCGTCGGTTTTTCGCACACGGGTCGGCGGTCTTCGGGTGTTTTCTCTCCGTTTCGACTTGGACGCCGTCGTCAAGTACTAGTTACGGTAGTATATCCGCGTGTGTTATTTTTTATAAGACCACTCGAGTGGATTTTTTTTTTTTTTTAAGTGCACTACACGTCTGTCTAGTATTTTTGCTGTCGGAAATTTCGTACGGTTGAACTCGGCGGCAACAACCCTATGCCGCCGCTGCCTGATAACTCGCTTATCCGCCGCCACCGTAGTCAAGGGTCGTCCAGTAGAACCACCGCTGCTTATATAGGTTTTATTTTTGTTCTAATCGTCGGGTTAATGACACGAAATTGCTTTCTCCGATATGTCACGTAATTGTTTATAGTTAACAATTAATATCGAGTTTCTATAAAATAATGGCCGTATAGAAACGCGTTTTTATTTATAATTATCATATATGTATATTAAGCATTGTGTCTCAGGATGACAGTTACATAACTGAAAATACTCATTTGCTAGTGATTAATTGAAATCTTTTTGTTTTATTAAAACCACACAAACAATTTTTAGAGAATAATTGTAATGTCAAAAAGTTTATAATTTTAACGAACGATTGTTTAAATTTTATCGTAACTGTCATTTTGTGGACACGTTATGCATGTGTATTGACGGGTGGAAGTATTTCATATTTCGGTTAGGTGAAACATATCGAAAAGCAATATCACGAAATGGTCATTCGAGTAATGTCAACGTTTTCTTTAAATCGTTCAACCAATAAACAAAAATCATCGTCTCTAGAACATTTTTTGTGTGATGGTTGGACGGCGTTCCGTATAGGCAATGTTGCTACGTTTGTGCTCTTAGTAAATGCTGTCGTAGCGAAAAACTAAAACCGAGGTGTCTAAAAATGTCGAAATGACAGGATGAGGTTGTGAATGGATGCGTGATATTGCCTAAAGGAAGTTTTGTGTAAAATCTCAGTAGGGTGACGGGAAATTCCAGAGTTCCTAAAAAATCGTTGTTGTTAAAACTAAAATCATCTATACTTGTCTAATCATCTATACTTTCTAGATTTAATTTAATTTTTAGAAATTTATGAACGTTGACTGCATTTTCGAGTTGAAAGTTATTTAACAAATGTTTTATTACCAATACAGTTCTTGTTTCAGAAAATATAGCTATAGTATTGTAAATTATACGTTTGCATAATTTATGTAAATGTTTATACAACGACGTATAATAACAAATAGGAATGTCATTTTTTTTTTAAATTTTTATTCTTTAAAAAGTAATTGGTATATGATAATTCAATACAATTTAACCAAAGCCTACATTTAACTTCGTGCAATTCAGTCGGGAGAGTATACTTTAGGCTCTTAGACTGTTTGCATGATTCGTGAACAAACATTTATCTAATACTTCATGGGAATTTTCCATCGTTAGTCAACTAAAAATTTTCTATTTCTATATTTAGGACTATGTAAAATCATAAACCCCAAATGTTAATTGTATGCATTAATTTTTCTTGCTGTACCTAAATGGATCTTCTTAAAATGTTAACTGGTTAGAATATTGTATATTTAATTGGCAATTTCATTAAATTTAATTCAAGGAAAGTGGAAAAATTAAAAAATAATTATCTGCTGAGCAATCTAGTTAGATGTCTATAATCAACAGAGGAGTTGTTTTTATTTTTAGTATATCTGTATACGCTTTAATTTGTAAATTAAATGTACAATTTTGTGTGGGAATATGATAACTACACACACTTTTGTCTTCGTATTTTATGGTTATTTAAAAAATTATCTATATCAATTTATTAGTGTTTAATGGATATTAAATCGTATTTGCTTAATCCATTTGTATGTACAATAAATATTTTAATTAAATTTTTAAGTGTTATTTTTATGATTTTCGTTTTAAAGTCTGTAAAAAAAAAACGAAGCGTATTATTCTAGACGTTTATATACATATACCTTGCTATCAAAATTGAGACTTTGAAGAGGGATAAAGGCATTTGGTGGTGGGTTTTGAGCACAATAAAAACGAATATAGTTGTTCGGTTAAGATCCAAGCGTCGTCTGAATAAATGTTTTTTTTATGATCATACTGTAAAATTATCCAGTTTCCAAGTGTAATTTTTCTGTAAAGGGAATTGTGCAACAGCACATAAGCTTTTGAAGGTTAAAGGCGTTACAGTATAATATTCTTTCTTATTTTTATAAGATTCGTTTCATTTTAACCGTGTGTCCTTGTTTTATATTATCTTTTGTGCATGGAATGTACGCACCACTTTGATTTACTGGATACTACAAAACATTTTACTTAAAGAGGATGCTACACACCCGTTATTTATCTGCCAAAAATGGTTTTGCAGGGGACAAGTATACGGTATTTACAGTAACCGTACACAATTTTTACAATGGAGAAAAACTTTATCTATGCCTTAGCGTTTTTAGGTTTTTGATAACTTAAACACATACAAAATTATTCATTTGTAATATTTCTTTTTTTAATTTATAAAAAATCAACTGTCAATACTGGCCTCACATACTTGTCCAGCGTAAAAAAGTACTGTTGAAAAAAAAATGTAATCTATCCTATAGAAATGACTGTGGTAGTCTGACAAAAAAAATGGCAATCAGTAAAGAATCTATATTATTATATTAATAAGTGTACACAATAGTTCAAGCTCTAAATTAAGATTTTACGAAAATTTGCCATTACATCACTCCTTAGGAAATATATTTTACGTTTTACTCATATTCTCTGCAATAGAAATAATATTATACATATATATATATATATATATAGGATGTTAAAATCATCTACAACGGATATCTTTATGATAGTTTATTTTCCTGATTTAAGATCACTGTAATTTATGCATTTTATGATTAAAATGAAAATACTTCTAGAATATTATTTAATACCAACAAGATTAAAAATAAAAATAATAATATTTAGTCATATAGTACTTTGGTAATTACAAGTTTTCGCATGCATCCATCCTTAATGAACGTTTATTCTGGGCAAGTTTCATAGATTTTAAAAATTTGTTTGAAATAAATACGACGGTATTTATATTCCCGCTCATTTCGTTATTGATTTTAGCATTTGTTCGTTTATTATTAGGCGCAAATTTCGGAGATATTGTGTAATGCTGAATATAATTTGCATAGATTTATATTTTTTTATAAGGGGAAACAGACGGTATAAAGAACTTAAGAAAATGGTTTTAATAAATGTATTTATTTTTTATCCGAGAGATAAAAATATTTTTTTTTTTTTTTAAAGGAGGCAAAATAAAATTAATTAAATGGTCGTAATGTGTTTTAATTACCAGAGAGACTGTCGGTGTCAGATATTTTAACATCTTGAATAAGTCGGCTACGTTAAACGCAACGGATTGCGGTTAATTTAACAGATTGAATGTACCGCTTTCTTTTTAGTAACCGTACATCTTTAATTTTTTCTCAATTTTCGAAATATCTTTTAGCGTACCGAATAATGATTGAAAAAATGTATGCAACTCGTTATAATTAACTGTCATAATTTATTTAAAAAAAACTCAAACAATTGATAAGTAATTTGCTTCGCTTCTATGTGTATGAAATGTTATAATATTTTGTCTATCTCGCATGAGTAATTTTAAAACTTGAACTTTAAACTTAATAATAACTTATAACTTTATTAATTTATATGGTTTGTGATATTATTTAAACGTTTGCACAGAAAATAGTTATGATTAAAATTACAGAATATACTTAATTTTTTTATCGACTATTTACCGGTGTAGTTTAATTGGCCATTTGGATTGCGTATAGACAACCCATTTCTATTTAAAATCTTCAGTGATGCACGATAGTGTCTATGTACGTACAGATATCTTAATGTGGCCTATTATCAAATATCTTCACGTATATCGTTAGCAACTTGTATGGCCGTAACTGCTAAATTGCTAAATTCTATTCCTTTCCAACATTGAATATCTGTCTTTTGTGTTCTCCCAATTTCTTGCGGGGCATTTAAACGACTCGTTGAAAATGCAACCGCACTACACGCACTCGTTGTTCTATTCGTTCGGATATCCCGAGTGCAAGGACAATTACAAAGTCCGGGTAGCTTCCGGCGAACTGAGCTGTATTGTTCTTCACGCTTATAGGTTCAAATTATTTCGTTGTTCGCTTTAGAATGAAGTAAACACTTCAAAATTATGTTGTCGACATAGTCTCTGATTATTAACTGAAATATTGTACAGCGCTATTTATTTATAATACGTTATTCCAGAAGAAAACAGAAAAACATATGACAAGTTGCTTACATCACTGTGTATTTAAGATATCCACGTGTGAATAACTTGAATACTTATATTTTGAGATTAACTCGACGAGGCGCCCTGTTATTATATTGTTTCGAAATTCACACCAAGTAACTTTATACGATTCTTTTGATAGTTAATTATTAAGTAAGGTGTTAATGGAGATTATAAAACAAGTACTGTTTTTATTAACAAATGTGTCTTTTTTTTGGTTTTAAGTATACTATAAGAGTTGGTATTTTGTTTAACAATCTACAACCTGATAACATGTATACCGAACCTGCCTCAAGCCAGGTCGGGTAACGATCTGAAGTAATTAAAAATGTTTTCCGCTGAGCGCTTGTCTCCTTCCGTATCCACCATTTAAAACTTAATGATCACTTATAAATACAAAAGCTCTACTTCGCCTTGTGTTCCTTTTTTATTAGGTAATTATATGGTAAATAGTATGATGGTTTGTTTTCTATGTGTGATAAGTCTTCTTGTACAACTATAAAAAAAACAAATGAAAGTCTGCAATCTACTAATAATAATTCCTACTCTTTTAACGGAGAAATCAACGCTGTCTGCTGGAGATCAGTCGTTTTCATTAAAAATTGTGTGGCGTTAGCATATTTTATCGATTGTACGTCACGTTGACCGGGATATAATCGGATAACGAGCTCTATAGCTGTTCAATTATAAAATACAATAATATGCTTGGCGGGTGACAAGTTTGTATTGGATGGCGCATGCATATTGTATAGAAGTGAGTGCCGAATGACTCACATTGTGAGCTTTCAACCAATACACTTGAAAAATTCTCAACAAAAATATTTTTTGATGACAAAAAAATTAGTTTCTTGCCAAAAAAAATATGTTCAAAACAATCTATACGGTTTACGAGAAAAGCAAATAGGTTTTTTTTCTAAAGTTGTTGATTACGTCCGTAACTCAATTTATTTGAACAATATTTTATTTCTTGAACTTCAGAACTTTCTTAGGAAAAA